TATCTATTAACGCTTGCCTCCTTCTCTAAGCCTTCAGAGGCTGATTAACATGGGAACATCGACCCAGTCTGTTGGTGTAGCTGACAGGAGGCGTCAGTAAGGGACTGTGTGGGGAGGAGAGTGATGTCAGGCTGTCACAGCTGGCTGCTTCCCTTGCCCAAAGACTGCAGCTCTTGCTAAGTGGCCCTCCTGCACAGTCTGTCTTCAACTTCCAGTTGTCACCTCTGACCTTACTCCTCAGGCCAAGGATGGCGATGTCCCCTGCCTAGTGCCAGCTCTGGGATGCTGCACTATCCTTTATGGCTTTCCCCCACTCTACTCACATCTTTGGAAATAGCCCCCTTACTAAAGTGCCCCAGCTGTGTCCCGTTTCCTGCCGGGACCCTGACTGGCCCAGCCAGCCAGGGACTTAAGTTTCTTCTATCTTGTTTCACCAGTATTGTCCTCGTCTACGTGGTTGGAGCTGGCTCGCCATATTCCAGCCCAAGTGAAGAGGGAAAAAAGCCAAACACAAATGGAGGGTGTATTAGTTTCCTATTAGCTACTGTAACAAATTGCCACAAACTTAGTGGCTTAAAATGACACAAATTTATCTCACAGTTCTGCAGGTTAAAGTTCCGACGCAGGTCTCACTGGGCATGGCTGTGTTCCTTTCTGGAGGCCCTAGGGGAGAATCCCTTTCCTTGCTTTTTCCAGCTTCTAGGGGCCACTTACCTTTCTTGGCTCATGGCCCCCTCCTCTGCCTTCAAAGCCAACGACATCAGGCCAAGTCCTCTTGGGCTGCTGTCTCTCTGGCTCTCTTGCTTTCGCCCCTGCCCCTTTCCATCTTTAAGGATCCTTTTGATGATTATACTGGCACCACCTGGATAAACCAGCGTACTCTCCCCTTCTCAAGGTCAGCTGATTGCTACCTTAATTCCATCTGTAAACTTAATTTCCCTTTCCCATATAACATAACGTAGTCACAGGTCCTGGAGATTAGGATATGGATGGGGGCCATTATTCTACCAACCATAGAGGACAGCTTCCTTTTAAGGTCCCTGGAAATTACACCCAAACACTTACACTCGTATCCTGTTGCCAGAATTGAGTCACATGGTCACACTGAACTACAAGGGAGGTTGAACTACAGTCCTTGGCAGGCAGCTTTGTGCCTGTTTAAAACATGGAGCAGTTCTAGTCCCCAAAAGAAAAAGGGGTAGAATGGATATTGGACAGCAGTTTCCAGCCGGTGCCCCCAAAAGGCTCAGGCATTTTTGCCAAGATCTGCCTTCAGATTTCCTTTACTTCATTGTGCCAGGTTGGTGTTTTTCTTAATTGTTTTCACCTACTGGCTCTGATCTGCCCTTCATCTGCAATTCGCTTGTAATCTGGGAGAAAAGATAAGAATTGTCTGCTTAAAAGGACTGCACCAGTTACCTCATGGTAATTTGTTTCCTGATCTTTATATTGATTTTCTGATGTGACTAGCTGGGTTCCACTTGCTTTTACCTGGCCTCTGAGGTTCAAACGTTGACTGTCTTACTCTTATCCTACTCTGAGATAGAGTAGGATATCCACACCTAACATCTCAACTTCGCCACGTTGGTTCCTCACACACCTTACCAGATCTCCTAGTGTTGGGTAGATGTGATTTCCAGCCAGCCCAAATTATAAAACTAGTAGGACAATATAATAAAGAAAATGTATGTAGGTTGATGCATGTAAATATTTCATACAGAGAACTAAAATGTATCATCTAATCATATTATCCATTGACTATGTATGTATAGGTTCTTTACATACTTTGATTCTTTTTTTGTTTTTTGGTTACTCACATCAAATCCTCTTTCTTAGCTGTGAGGCAGAGCTGTGCCTTCTGCAATGAAAGATGATGGAACATCCTGCAGGCAGAACACGTGGATCTGAAACCAAGAGTGGAAATACATACCACACTACTCATGGTTATATCCAGATAACTCGAAGGCAAAATTTTACTGTCTGTACCTGTGACTTTGAGCTCTGGTCTCTAAGGAACTATGTTTTTACTAGATGACAGAGCAGGTGTTCCGTTGAATTAGAATACATACCAATACCCAGCTAGTTCGGGATCCTCAAGCTAAAGGATAAACAGCCAAAAAAGGAGGGTGGTGTGTAATTTTGGCTGGTGTAATTGATCCTGACTCTTACCGGGAAATAGAGCTGCTGGTGCTCAGTGGCAGCAGGGAGGGGTGTGCCCGGGATCTCGACAATCCTTGCACCGCCACGTCCAGAGAAAGATGTAAGCGCACTCTACCCCCAAGTGGAGTGCTGGGAGATGATACATCTCAGCAATAGCCTCTTGAGTGACAGAAACGAAGTCTGCAGCCTCCATCTGTTCTCAATATGCTATGTTTTGTCTATATTTGTATTTTTATTATCAAATGTATTTCATTTCCTTTTTATCTCCCTTCCTTCCTCCGCTATTCTATATTTGGTGTTTGGTGGTGCAGTTTGATTATAAGTTGCATTCTATCCAGATAGGACTCTATCCACACCAGTAATGGTGGGCTCAAGTGATGAGACTTTGGGTTGGTTTCCCTGGGAGACAGGGTGGATGTGCTTCCATTTTGCCAGGTGCTACATTTTGTTCAATGGAAGCATTTATTTTTGTTTGAGAAGGGAAAATGGGGCACGAAGACCATCTTATGATATTTGGACATCTCAGAGATGAACTTTAATAGAAATTTGTAGTTTTTTGATGCCTGGCATCAAAATATTTCCTACTTTTCCTCCAAGATTCCAAAGATAGGTGAAGGTAAAACTCCCTGCATAATACCAAAGCCCAAAGGGGCAGATGTTCTCCTACTTACTCGATGGCAGCCAGGGCAGGGGAAGTGGGTTGGCCAACTGGATACTCCCACAAGGGACGTAGAGCAAGAGTGACACAAGATGCAGAGACAGGTGGAAGTCCCTGGGATGGTGGAGGGTGTCCAGTGGGGCTGGAACCAGCATCCCAACCTGAGTGACTGTACTGAGGTGTGATCTTGGGAATATTCCCGGATGCATAGTTGTCCTAAGTGGCATTTTCTCCAGCCATTTTTTCAGTTGTGTGGTATCAGATACCCTTTCAATAAATTCCATTCCTGCTTAATAAGCTATCGTTGGTTTTCAGTCTGTGCTTCCAAGAACTCAGACTGGTAAAATCATAATATTTAATTGGCTTTTTATTGTTTTTAGGTTCTTTGCCTTAATATCTTGAGTGCTGCAATGAATTAACCACAAAGGTTTTTCTGCCTCATCTTTAAAGATTATTTCCTTAGTATACAGGTTCAACAGCAGAATTACTGGGTCTTATATCTTGATATAAGTTGTCAAATTACTTTGTGATGTATAAGATGCTCTATTTCACTGAATCTTCCCTTGGACAACTGATACAGCAAGTAATAGAAGTTAGAACAATTTATCTGACATTAGTGAGGAATGAGATTTTTCACATATGTACTTTTTTTTTTTAGATAACTAAAGCTTATTAAGTTTAGAAAGCACAACCATATATAATTGAAATCTTTCCAAAGTACATCACATTCTTTTTAACCTCATCAAACTACAATGCCCGGGGATCTCCTGAGATGATGAGTTTATCTTCCTTTTCACTTGATTTCCCAGATAAGTGGGCTTTTCTAACTGCTGGTTTTTTTCTGCCTCTCCAGAACTCAATAGCCAGTTAGTCCTCCCAGTCAGCAGATAAAAACTCTTCCCACACCCCTAGCCTACTATTTGCATAGCCTCTGATCACTGAAAAAAAAAAAAAAGAACAATTGAATATTGCTATTGCAAACAAAAAAACATGCATTTAATATTGTGTATCATTTGTACAGAGTTGAAAGTCAGTCCCTGTTGGGGAAGCTGGAGTGTGTTCCACTCTCAGCACTGGAGTAAAGAACTTAGACTTTGTGATGGCTGCATTTTTTTGGCTCTCTGGATCATTTTATGCATGGTTCATTGGTAGAGGTTTGCAAATCTTAATGCTGGATGTGTGGAATGTTACAATCGTATACTTCAAGAGAGATTTCTGGGTGGCCCTTCCTACAGAAAAGTTTCCTTCTATTCTTCAAGATCTCTTGGGCAATAAATTCCACAATTTTCTTTAATGGCCTACATTTTAAAGAAATTTTCTATTTATGTGTAATCCTAAAGCCCTTTTGTTGAATTTTTAAATCCATTTTTTATGAGCCAGTCCTTAATTGAAAAGCTCCAGCTGATCTTCCTCTTTCATACATCAATGTTGATGTATTTCTTAAAATAATCCCTCTGAAAGATGGCTTTCACAAACAGAAGCAATGTGCTCTATTATAAATCATATGTGCAAAAAAAGCTGATGTAAAATCACTCATTCTGAAATGAGACAATCTGATATTTTATACTAAACAATAAGAACATGATTGCTAGTCTTTTAAAAATAAGTAGATTTTTATAGCAAAAATGCCTGCATATTATGAAAAGTAGTTCAATTATCTTTGTGAATACTTTCTTTTCTTCTATTTCCTTTTTCCTCTCCTTTCCTTTATCCTTCTTTCCTTCCTTCTTTCCTTCCTCCCTCCCTCCTTCCTTTCTTTTTCCCTCTTACCAAGTGAATATGAATACTGTTTCAATGTCATTTGCAGAAAACAGAATCCTCTAGTTGAGAGAATGAGCATACAGGAAAACAGATGTGAAAGCAAGTTACATTTTTAATTGTATGAATTTTATCCCAAAGAGAATAATCCTTTTACAAATAAAAGCAAATCCAAATAAATATAAAATATAGGACAATATATGGAATACATTCATATGTATTCCATATTCCATCCTAGTTTTGGAGATATTTAGTTAGCATTTAGGTTCACTTAACTGAAGTGATCATTCATAAATATAGTACTTATGTAAACTTTTGCTTTCCATATGTAACCAATTATTTTTAAGTTATGAAAGAGAAAGCAAGGCAAGAGGAAAGGTTTCTGAAACCACAAACAATCTCTTTACTTCCCCTTCTCTGTTATAAGGGGGCACTGAAGTGGCCTTTTGCTGGCCCAGTTTCCCCCTCCAGCCACACGGAGCAGCTGCATAGGAAGGAGAGGGTGAGGGGAAGGGAAGGGACCGTTGGTATTTTACAAGTTCAATGCAGCTCCTCGAGTTTGCACAGCAGAACCCAGAAACAAAGTCACAACTTTTGCACTTCAACTCTGACTAACTGTAGCAGGTAGCATATTTATTTTCTTGTTCAACAATTTCATTTTTAATGGCAACAACTTGATCTTCTAGTTGTTTCAGTTGATCAGCTTTTTCTTGTCTACTTAGATTCAAATCTTGGATCTTCTTTTCTAAATCTGAAAGAAGAAAATGAAAGAAATGATATGTTTCCATTTGATCAATTCTTCCTGGATAGCTGCATCATACCAAGCACAGGGATGTGTGTGCCTCTTAAAGGTAGAGTTAGTTTTGTGTTATGATTCAATGGACAAAACATCTATTTTCACTGGACTCCTCAAGGTTTTCACCTGTACAGAGAAAATTAATATTTTTGTTTAAAAATTTTTATATCTAAAGGCATTTATCAATGTGAGTCTGTTGCTGGTTAGAATTCATTAGAAATGAAAAGATGAGTAACAGCCTTGATTGGATTTGGTGAAGTGCTATATATTCAAAGATTTCTTCTTATTATTTTAACTTCATTTTTAAAAATGTGTTTTTCACCTCAGTGTTTTCCAATCTCTTGGAAAAGGAATGACATTTTCATTTCTTCATTCTTCTTCCCTGTTGATAGTAAAGTCTCTGAACAGTAAAAGCAAAGTGATGCCTTTCTTGGCTTCACTCATCCATCCATCAACCCATGGGTCTGTTAATCCATCCATTTAGCCAGCTATTCATGCCTTAATTTATTCATTCTTCATTCAACAAATATCTTGGAATTCTGGAAAACCTTAACAAGAAGCCCATAAGTAGTGGATAGAAGAGGTGTAGAGACCTACAGTTAATAGTGTGTGGTGGCCTTTCTAAAACAAACTCAGACCTTAGGTAGAAGTGGAACTTCTAGAAAGAGGAAGGAAAATGTCCACTTTGCTTGCTCAGATCACACCTGAGTACTGAGTTGATTTGGAGTAACTGTCAAACTAACATGTTTGGAGGAAAAAAGCCAGATTCCTGAAGAAATCTGAAACTGTCCTATGAACAAATATTGAATTAATTGGTGATGTTTCATGGAGAGAAAAGATTCAGGGCATGTGCCATAGCTATTTTCAAGTATTTGAAGGGGCAGCTTAGGAAGGAGTGTACACATGTTCTCTGTCATCCTGAGGAAATAGAATGAAAGCCAGCAGGGCAAGCTCCATGAAGGAAGAATTTGTCTGAATATAAAGAACTTTCTGTAGTCGTGATGGTTCAAAGACGAAAGAGCTGCCGTGGAAGGTGGTATGTGTTCTGCTCTAGAAACTTTACAATAGCATTTGGGATTGAACAGGGGATTCAATACTGGAAATATATTTGGACTAAAAGGAAAAAGACCCCTGTGTTTCTGCCAGGTAAGTTAATATGATTGATCTGGTTTATTTTCATTTTCCCCATCAAACCCATTCTCCATCCTATTCTGTGTTCTGGAAAGCTAAACTTCATGGAGGACACTCCTGGCTGCCTTGACCTCTGGTTTTCCTTCATACCTGGCCAATGGACATGCTGACACATGACCACAGGGTGGAGAGACCACAGTTCCCACCCCTGTTCAGCACCGGGATTCTGGCAGTTCTTTCGTCTGAGCTCTGGCTCCTACAGGGCAGCCTCTTCACTGATGGGGCAGTGTTCACAGGGCTCTGGTAACATTCCTGCCTCCCCTGTCCCTTCAGGCCTAGGATGCTAATGGCTTCTGACTGTTGCTAGTCACCTGGTACCCTCCACACCCTCAGCTGGTTCCCCTAATTCTTGTGCCTTCTTTGTGGTTCTTCCCACCAAGAAGTACAATCTACTTCCCTTCTTTCCACCCCTCTGCCCCTGAACCTGGGCTGGTTTTGACCAATAGAAAGTAGAAGAAATGATGTTGCAGAACTTCAAGACCTTGCATCTTTCTCTTTTCACTCTTGGGAAACCCTGAAACAACCAGGCTGTAAGGCAGCCCGGGATAACACACCGTGGAGACAGCACGCCAGCGACTCAGCCCAGCCCGGCCCCAGCGGACCTATTAGCTGAGCTGTCAGCAGAATGAAGCTGCTTGAGTAGCCCAGGCGAGGCCCGCAGAAGAACCACCCAGGCAACCCACAGCAAAATAAGAATGGTTGTTGTTTCAAGCCATTACATTTCGGGGTGGTTTACTATGCAGTGAATAGATAATTGAGACAAGTCCATTTATAAATATGTTATCCAGAATTATGTCTGAGTACACTTCTGTCTCTTGCTGTGACCCCAACTGACCCAAAGTTCCATGGGGTGGGGGGTTATCCTGGCTGCCAATCTAATTTCAAGAACTACAAAAGTTTTAGTCAATAGGGATCAGTGGAAACAATCTGGAACCCGACATAAAACATAGGACAGAAATATTCTCCCCAGGTTTTTGCTCCTGTAGTAAGAACCAGGGTCAAAATAATAGAAACTGATTTTCACAGTATTGTCTATGGAATGTAAGATAAAAAAATTCCATCTTTCCTAGTATTTTGTTTTAAAAATTTTAAGGAAAATATTTAAAAATGAAAAAAAAATTACTCACACACCTGCTGTTTTTAAAACAATTACACAAATGTACACTGAAGTAGTTGCCTCTTTGTCCCTCTGCCTCCCCAGAGATAGCTAATGTTAGCAGTTTGGTATGTCTTTTTCCTGACTCTGGCCCATATTAATGTTGTAATTCATTTTTTTCATGTCATAGTGATGATATAAGTGGTTGTAAAGCCAAAGACTCATTTTCTAAAAAAGAAGCATTTATAAGTGAGGAGTTTTGGTTATTTTGATATTTAAGAGTTACTTATATTCCTAATGAATATAATTAAAGTTTTGGGGGACAATAAATACAACCAAGAATAAAAGTATACACTCATCATTTGATATTTCTTGATGATTTAGAGGTAGTTAAAAACATGATGATTGCCAAGAGAAATCATGAATATCAATTGTGGGAAAAAATATTCTGATTAGCTTACTTATTGTTTGTGTTTTATGTTTTCTATACTTTGTTTACATCAAAATGTCCATTTTGATCAAAATCCTTGTCCAGAATGTGATTCCTTCTGGATTGCTATCCAAAGATCTATGCTAGATTACCTGGTGACCTAACATACTGGCCCAAAAAGAGTTATGTACATAAGAGAAAAAATAAGCAGTGTCAGGACAAGGTTTCTCAGTCTTGACACTATGGACATTGTGGGCAGGATAACTGTTTGTTGTGGGGCGCTGTCCTGTGCATTGTAGGATATTGAGCAACATCCCTGGCCTCTGTACTATATGCCAGTCGTACCCCCAGGGTGACAAGCAAAACTGTATCTTTAGACATATTACCCCCAGTTGAGAACACTGAATTAGGAAAAAGGGCATTTCAAGGTGACTAAAGGAAATCTCATTTTGTTTTGATTAATGCTGGACAAATGCTCATTAACATCTTTCTTGGCAAATCCATGCAAGAGGCTTGTATAATTTGCAGTCCCCAAAACACAAGACCAATTCCTACTTCTCTCTCCTCAGTGGACTCTTATATGGTTAAGCTAAAAATTGAAATTGGTATAACTTCTACCAGGAAGGGAGAGTAGTATGGAGTTATTGTCAAACTATTGGAGTGGGTAAAAGAATAGATACCTGTTATTCTTTTTATCTTGTCCTCTGTATCTCCAGCCAATTTTTCTGCGGCATCTTTTAGCTGTTTTACTCTTCCTAATGTTTCCTTTGTCAGTCCTGTAGCGCTTGTTTTATGTTGAAGGATAGCATGTTGTTTTTTCAGTTCAACAAACTCCTGTAACGGAACAACACTCCCATGACCAGAAAATATTTATAAAGCATGCACACATGCATGATGATTTTTCTAATAGCATTCATAAAAGGAAGACAGAGGAAATCGTAATCTAGTCAATATGCTTGAGTCATTTTGATATTTCCAACAGGGCTTTTGTTTGCATGCATATTTTTTTCAGGCTGAACGAAAATATCTCAGCTTCAATTAAAAATAAAACTTCTTTGTTACAAAATATCAATCACTGCACGTCAAAGTAACCATTTGTGAGGCATCAATTGCTTGTTTTGCACTATGTTATGATGGGAGATACAGAAGATAGAAATGACCTAATCCATCCTTGACAAATCTCTGGTTTACTTGGGTCAATCAGTTGTACATTGAAATGAAGGACAGAGCGAGTGATGAAGATACAGAAGCAGCAAGGACACCTTATTTGGCCGGCTAAAAAGTAAGGCAGAAATGAGACAGAAAGGGGGTGTGAAAGGAAGTCAATCTCTCTTGGAAATAGAACAGAAATCTTTGGGTTAGCCTGTGTGCTTGACAAGCTGGAAGGTTAAGTATATGAATAAAGGCCAGAGCTGGGAACGAAATATGGAGATGAGAAGAGAGTGAGTAGGAAGTACCTTTCTCAATCTCTGTTCCATAGAAAATGTTCTCAACTCCTAAGTCGGTGGAAATGTACTCAGTACATTAGGAATTAAAAGCAAGGGAATAGACCAATTGTAAAAACACTAACATTTCTTTCGTTTAAGCTATTATATTATGAGACCAACCAAAGACTTCCTGTTAAGAAAATGAGTCGATAGGTTCTTTCAGCAACCTAAATTAATGGGCCACTTTCCACGACTGTTTAATTAACTCACTCTGATTTTGGTAACTTGATCTGTTCTCTTTGGCAGGTGACTTTCATTTATTGTTTTCTTTATATATTATGTGACTGAATTAGAGTAAAGGGCAAATACATACAATATAGACAAACAACATACATTGGGAAAGTTTGGAAGTTCAGGGCAAATTTGATTTATGGGCTATTTGACCAGGACACCACTAAGAATACTAGGATGGACAGATCGGGGAGGAAACACTCCAGCATGACCTGGCCAGAGACTTCTGCCTCCTACAGAGTCAGCCTGCCACTATAGAAGATCCTTTGTTGTCAGCATCCCTCAGACATATACCACTGAATCATACATAGACCCGCACAAAAGGAAATGCTGGGAAATGGCACAAAAATCTGGGGTTAAAAGATTCTCTTTCACGGAAGCACAATTTGCCTGCTCTTGGTGGCAGAGGTAGGACTAATGACCTGCTCGACCCTCCCAGCCTGGCGGTGGGCGGATTCGGCCTGAGCTTTCACACTGACGGCTTGGTCCTCGTTCCTCTGCAACTTGGTCCACAGCAGGGAAAGTCCGTCCTCCAGCTCTGACGGCTGCTTGGCTGAGTCCAGCTCATTCTTCATGTCCTTGGCTTGGTTTTCAGCCTATTGTTGATTTAAAGACCAGAAAGGGACAATTTCTTTATGAAACAAGAAAATGAATGCTATAAGCTGAGTGGGAAGGAAAATAGTGCCTTTGCTTTTTCTACTGCATGTATTAAAAAATGTTACAATAAAATATTTCAAACATACAAAATGGTCTGAAAAAATATGACAAATATCCATGTAGCCACCAGCCAGTTTAAGAACAAAGCATTGACAATGAGCTAAGGGCTTTAATGTACCATTCCCTGTCATATCTTCTCTGTCTGCCCCCAAAGGCAACCACTATCCGGAGTCTAATATTTGTCATTCCATGTATTTCTATAGACTTTTTTATAATAGCCTATACAGTATTCCCAATAATATGTGGTATTTTTCACCTTCTATAAGTATATCATATTCTAAATTTCTGCAACCTTGTTTTTAAAATTCAAAATTATGCTTGTGCAGGTCATTTAAGTTAATTTCTATAGCTTTAGTTCATTGATTTTTTTACCAACTTAAAGTATTCTATTATTAGAATATACAATTTATTTTTTTATTCTCCAGTTAGTGCAGGTGGCTTCTAATTTTTTCCCTTATAAACAGTAATATTTTATATTTGTTTCTTATTTCAATGACTATATTTATTATATCTGGTAGTCCTGTTTATATTTCAAATCTAATTGATTATTTGTTAGCTCTTGCTTCTTGTTCATTGGTCATACTTTTATACCTTCTTGGATTTTCTTAAACATAGTGAACATTCTTATTTTATATTCTATATCTAATAATGGTAATATCCACTGTCTCTTGCATCCAGATTCTGTTGTTGATTATTTCTAAAGACTCTTGTTTGAGGTAATGTGTTTCTTTCTGTGTTTGGGGGAAATTCTTAAAGGCTAGCATTTAAGGTCATTCCTTTGGAGGAGATTTTTGCCTCTGTCAGACATCTGGGAGCACTACGAAGCCAAGACCACTTCAAATTAGCTTGTTTTTTGGGGGCCACCCAGGTAGTGTGAATTCTAGCCCCAAATTTATATGCCAGCCAGTTTGCGGTTAGCAAATCTTAGTGGAGACTTTACTCTCTGACCTAGAGGCAAGTTTCTCTATTGGGTGTGTGTGTGTGTGTGTGTGAGAGAGAGAGAGAGAGAGAGAGAGAGAGAGAGAGAGAGAGAGAGAAGGAGAGAAGAGAAGAGAAAGGAGAAAAGAGAAGAAAAGAAAAGAATTTAACATTTCACTGAGGGTTTTACCTTTTGGATTCCCAGCTCTATGAAGGGATCTTGTCCCCTCCCCTGCATGGGCTTTGATTTCTGTCTGTCATGCATGGTGACCATTAAAACCCAAAGCTCTAAGGCACTAGGGATTGGCAGATTCCCTCTACCTGCTGTCAGGTTAGTGCTTAATTACCTTTGGATTCATGCTTTCCTGTCATTTTTGGCCTCTGAGGATATCCTAAGTTTCTTACTAATTCAGCTCTGCACTTAAAAAAATTAAATATCTTATCTAACATTTGTAGTTTTTTTTTTTTTTTCTCCAAATAGGAGGGTTCCTTAGGGTATTGGTCCACTATATTTCTAGAAATGGAAGTCCCTTCCTATGCCCTATGGCATATGTGAGAATTTTCCTAGAGTAGGAGCCTGCAAACTTTTCTATAATGGGCCAGATAATAAATATTTTACACTTTGGGGTCCATAATTTCTGTTGCAACAATTCAACTCTGTGCTTTTATACTGCAAAAGCAGCATGGGCAATATGGCCTGTGGCTGCATTTTGCTAACCCTTGTTCTAGAGTATATGCCTAGAAGGGGAAAAGTAGGGGGCCTACTTGTTTTGCTATCCTGTACTCATAACCTCTTCATAGCCAACCCTTTCATTTCCTGGTGCATTACTCCTGTTCTGTTGCTCTCTGCTCTTCTTTAGATTCAGGTAGTAAATCTATAAATCACAGCTGAAGAATAGAGGCTGAGTAACTCACAAGCTGTAAGGAAGGGGCTATGACAGAGGATGGAGCCTTGGAAGAAGAGATCTTATACCACAGGATTAGGGCCTGCTCTGTCCTCCAACTCTAGCCTTCCTCTCCCTGGTCCACTATATGGGTCAACCCAGCATCTTGCTCCCATCGAACTCTGGATGCAACATATTTTTTCGGGTGAGATGTTCTTTCAGTTTGAGGATACTCTGATGGGATTGCATGCAAATTTAGTTACAAAATATTGCAATAATTGCTCTATTTTTCTTTGGTTTGTGAGCTTTCAAAACTCTCTTCCTTTCCCTGGTGCTAGAAGGGATGTGCTCTGGCCTCATATCTACCATTAACTAGCTGTGTGACCTTAAGCGGTCACTTAAACTCTGAATCTTAGTTTCCTCATTTACAAATTGGTAGTAGCACCTGCCTTGGTGTGACCCCAGAAATGGTCATAATGAATGAAATGACGCTAGAGAGGGCTCTGTGGAGCATCAATTAAGTGCATAATGCTGCCGACATGAATGTAACAGTGCCACTAACATTAATGTATAACATTAGCTAAATGCATCATACTACCAAAACCTTATTTTATCCTCAAAGTAATCCCATCAGACAGGCAAGGCAAGCATGACATTGGCATACATAAAAACTACAGTGCTGTTTCCACCCTCAAAACCTGTTTCAGGTTAGTTTCCAGGGAGATAGAGAAATACCTGCAGCACATTCCTTCTTATTTTCGTTATCTCTGCAGTCAGCTGTGTGATGGCCGAGTTTGCCCTTCCTTGAGTGATGTGAGCTTGTTGCAACTTGTTCAACGTTTTGTCAAGATTTAATAGAGCATTTGCTGCTTTCCTAAGGTAATACATTAGCATATCAGATTAGATAAATAGACAATTATTCATTTCTTTCACTCTGAGAGAGTTTATTTGACTCAACCAAAAACCTTACTGAATTATTTATAAATTTAAATTACTCTTAAGCAAGGGAAAGTGCTGAAGTCTTTGAGATAGTTATATTTAAATGCCAATAAAAACACATACACATGCATGCATACCCAGTAGATACAGATTTCACCGGATATGGAAATTAAGGATATAGATCTTGTTTTCTCTTGATCTGTCATAAGCAGGGAGGTTTGGGGGTATAACTGTCAAGCTTTGCACATAAAAATTATCCTCAGCCAATTTTGGTTCCATAATTTCTCAACTGTAAGTGACACTCTCCAAACCCTTATTGGAGTGCAGGGAGTGGGGGGTGGGGGGATGGGGGGGAGAGTGGAGAGGCCCCACTGAGGGCAGAGAGAGGCTAAAGGCCCTGCATTTTCAGGCTGTGTTTATTCAGGGTTATTTAAGCCTCACTAACATTCCAGCCACTCAGGGGCCTCATCAGAGGTTAAAATCACAAGCATTCCAAGTGATACAGTCTGTTCTGCAGACATGAACTCACCTCAAGTCAACATTCACCAGATACTTAGATCTATGGGCTCAAAACCACCTTGAGAAGAATGTTCTGAGGGAGTGAAATATTAGACAGACCTTTGCAGAAGCATCATTGGAAATGCTTGTGCCCAGAGCAGAACTAGCTAAATTGCAAAATATTCCCTTCCCCACCCAGCCCATCCTCTCCTCCCACTGGTAATCTCCTTTTCTCTTTCGAAACTTGAGGAGCCTTCCCTCCTCACAAAGCACCCCCCCCCCAACAAGCAAGCATTTCATTTCTGTAACATTCCAACATTCCTGGGGCACCAGTGTTCATTCTTCTATTCCCCACCACCATATCTTTTTACTGTATTCTTTTTGCCCTTTGTATTTTCAGCGTAGTGATTATATCAAATTTAGAAAGTACCAAAAAAATAAAAAAAAACGTAAAAGGGGAAGTTTACCAGTAATCCTGCCACCTTTAAGATATTGGCCTATTCTAGCAATTTTGTCCTACAAAACTTTTTCTTTTCATGACTGAGATTCTCTTCCATGTATAATCTGTTACCTGTTTTTTAAAACCATATTACAGTGGATCATAAGAACACTCACCCAGCTGCAACAACAACTCAATAACCAACACCAAGAAAACACAAAAAACCTCCAAGAAATGGAACAAAGGTTCAACAAAGAGATTGACACAGTGAAAAAACTTTAACGAAGTCCTGGAGATGAAGAATCACTCAGAGAATACAAAATACTGTGGAAAGTCTCAAGAACAGGGTAGATCAAGCAGAAGAAAGAATCTCAGAGCTTGAAGATAAACACCTTCCAATTAAATAAATCAGTCACAGAAATACAGCAGAGAAACAAGAGAAAAGACCAAAGCCTACAAGAGCTGTGGGATTATGTGAAAAACCTAACGTGAGGGTCATAGGTTTACCAAGGGGAGAAGACAACATCAAGCTGGACAAGCTTTTTGAAGATATAATAGAGGAAAATTCCCGGCCTTGCTCAAAATCTCGAATACAAGTTCAAGAAGCCCAGAGACCCTGGAGATTCAATGCAAACAGAAGACGTCACGTCATGCAGTCATTAGACTGACCAAAGTATCAACTAAAGAGGCCCTTCTAAGAGCTGTAAACAAAAGAAGCAAGTGACATACAAGGGAAAGCAATTCGAATAACATCAGACTTTTCTAATGAGACTTACAAGCAAGGAGAGACTGGGCCCATCTCACTCTTTTGAAACAAAACAATGCCAGCCTAGAATATTATTCCCTGCAAAACTAAGCTTCATATATGAAGGAGAAATAAAAACATTCTCAGACAAGCAAAGGCTCAGAGAATTCACCAAGACAAGACCAGCCCTACAAAAAGTACTTAAACAGCGTTACGCACGAACATCATAATATATCCACGGATATAAAAAAACAAAACCAAAGATATAAAGGCCAGATATTACAATGGCTCAAGACAAGAATCATAGCAACAACATCCAACCAACAGAATGATCAGTAATCTACTTACCTATCAGTTCTCTCATAAATGTGAATGGCTTAATTCCACTCAAGACATAGCTGGCTGAGATGAGAAAAATACAGGCCAATATATGCTGTCTCAGGAACAACAACCTGCAAGGATGCACATAGACTAAAAAAAAAGGTGGAGATCAATATTCCAAGCAAATAGAAGCAAAAGAAGGCTGGTGTGGCAGTTCTAATTTCAGACGATTTAGTTTTTAAACCAAAAAAGTGTAAAAGACAAAGAGGGTCATTATATATGGTGAAGGGCACAGTCCAACAAAGGAGATAACAATTTTAATATATTGCACCAACTTAGGTGCACCCAGATCAAAAGAACCTTACTGGAGCTAGCAAATGAGTTAATAGCAACTCCATAATCGCCGGAGATTTCAACACCCACTGACGGCACGAGACAGATCCTCCAAACAGAAATTATAAGAGAATAATAGACAAACAAAACTCTAGAACAATTGGGTCTGACAGACATCTACAGAACATCTACCAAAATCCACTGAATATACGTTCCTCACAGCTCACGGACATTCAAGATGCCATATCTAGGACACAAGAAATCTCAAAAATTTAAAAATAGAAATCATACATGTACTTTCTCAGATCACAGTGGAATAAAACTAGAAATCAACCTAACAGAAACTCACATTTCTACACAAAAACGTGGAAATTAAACAACCTCCTACTAAATGATTACTTCGTAAATGAAGAATCAAGACGGAAATAAAAACTTCTATGAAGAAAACGACAATGGAGAGACAAGTTATCAATCTCTGGGACACAGCTAAAGCATTCTGAGAGGAAAGTTTATCTCCTAAATGCCTATAACCAAAAGGCAGAAGATCACAAATAGACAATCTAATGAAACGACTCAAAGAGCTGGAAAAAAGAACAGACCAACCCCAAACCCAGCAGAAGAAGTGAAATCAACAAGATCAAATCAGAACTAAACGAAATTGAAAACAGGAAAGCTATTCAGGAGATTAATAAAACAAAAAGTTGTTCTTTGAAAATAAACAAAATTGACACGCCATTGGCTAAGCTAACGAAAAGCAGAAAAGAGAAATCTCTAATAAGCTCCATCAGGAATGAAAAAGGAGATATCACAACTGATCCCAAAGAGATACAAGATACAATTTATGAATACTACAAAAATCTTTATGCACACAAACTGGAAAATGTGGAGGAAATGGACAAATTTCTAGAACACACAGCCTCCCTAGGCTCAACCAGGAAGAATAGATTCCCTAACAGACCAATCTCAACAGCTGAAATAGAAACAGCAATTAAAAATCTCCCTAAAAAAATGTCCGTCCAGATGGCTTCACACCTGAATTTTACCATACTTACAAGAAGAATATACCTATCTTGCAGAAACTATTCCACAACATCGAGAAGAACGGAAACCTCCCCGACACCTTTTATGAAGCGAATATTACTCTGATACCAAAACCAGGAAAGGATGCAACAAAAAAGAAACTACAGACCAATATCCCTAATGAATATAGATGCAAAAATTTCAACAAAATTTAGCTAACAATCCAGACACTTATCAAAAAAATAATCCACCACGACCAAGTGGGCTTCATCCCAGGATGCAGGGAGGTTCAACATACGTAAATCTATAAATGCAATTCACCACATCAACAGAAGCAAAAAAAAGACCACATGATTCTTTCAATAGATGCAAAAAAGCTTTTGACAAAATTCAACACCTTTCATGATACGAACACTAAGAAAATAGGCATAGAAGGGACATACCTAAAAATGATACAAGCCATATATGACAGACCCGTAGCCAACATCATACTGAATGGGGAAAGACTGAAATCATTCCCACTTAGAACTGGAACCAGACAAGGCTGCCCACTATCTCCACTTCTATTCAACATAGTGCTGGAAGTCTTGGCTACAGCAATCAGACAGGAAAATGGAATCAAAGGTATCCAAATGGGGCAGAAGAGATCAAACTTTCACTGTTTGCTGATGATATGATATTGTATCTAGAAAACCCCAAGGATTCAACCAAGAAACTCCTGGAACTGATCAATGAATTTAGTAAAGTCTCAGGATACAAAATTAATACACAGAAATCAGAGGCATTCATATACGCCAACAACAATCTAATTGAGAACCAAATCAAAGACTCAATTCCCTTCACAATAGCAACAAAGAAATTAAAGTACCTAGAATATATAACCAAAGAGGTAAAAGACCTCTACAGGGAAACTATGAAACACTGAGGAAGGAATAGCAGAGGATGTAAACAGATGGAAATCCATACCATGCTCGTGGATCGGCAGACTCAATATCGTCAAATGTCTACTACCCAAACTGATCTACAGATTCAATGCAATATATATTAAATCCATCAGCATTCTTCACAGATATAGAAAAAATAATTTTACGCTTCGTATGGAACCAAAGAAGACCCGAATATCAAGAGCAATTCTAGGCAAAAAAACAAAATGGGAGCATTAATATGCCAGATATTAAACTATACTACAAGCTGTAGTAATTAAACAATATGGTATGGCACAAAACAGGAATATTGACCAGTGGAACAGATGTGAGAATCCTGATATAAAACCATCCTCATATAGCCGTCTCATCTTTGACAAAGCAGACAACATACGCTGGGAAAAGAATCCCTCTTCAATAAATGGTGCTGGGAAAACTGGATAGCCACCTGTAGAAGGCTAAAACAGGACCCACACCTTTCACTCTCACAAAAACCAACTCACGCTGGATAACAGACTTAAACCTAAGATATGAACTATTAGAACTCTAGAGGAAAAAGTTGGAAACACTCTCCTAGACATCGCCTGGCAAAGATTTATGAAGAAGTCCCAAAGGCAATCACAGCAGCAACAAAAATAAATAAATGGGACATGATCAAACTACAAGCTTCTGCACAGCCAAAGAAATAGTCATGAAAAAACAGACAACCTACAGAATGGAGAAAATTTTTGCATCCTATGCATCCGATAAGGGACTGATAACTAGAATATACTTAGAACTCACGAAAATTAGAAGAAAAATCAAATACCCATTAAAAAGTGGGCAAAGGACTTGAACAGAAATTTTTCTAAAGAAGACAGAAGAATGGCCAACAAACATATGAAGAAATGCTCAACATCTCTAATCATCAGGGAAATGCAAATCAAACCACAATGAGATATCACTTAACCCCAGTGAGAATGGCCTTTATCAAAAATATCCAACAATAAATGCTGGCGTGGTTGCGGAGAGAGAGGAACACTCCTACACTGCTGGTGGGACTGCAAACTAGTTCAACCTCTGTGGAAAGCAATATGGAGATACCTTAAAGCGATACAAGTGAATCTACCATTTGATCCAGCAATCCCATTGCTGGGCATCTACCCAAATGATCCAGTGACACTCTACAAAAAAGACACCTGCACTCGAATGTTTATAGCAGCACAATTCATAATTGCAAGGCTGTGGAAACAGCCCAAGTGCCCATCAATCAAAGAATGGATTAATAAAATGTGGTATATGTACACCATGGAGTACTATTCAGCTCTAAGAAACAATGGTGATATAGCACACCTTATATTTTCCTGGTTAGAGCTGGAACCCATACTACTAAGTGAAGTATCCCAAGAATGGAAAAACAAGCACCAGATATATTCTCCAGCAAACTGGTATTAACTGAGTAGCACCTAAGTGGACACATAGGTGCTACAGTAATAGGGTATTGGGCAGGTGGAGAGGGAGGGGCGGTATATACATACATAGTGAGTGAGATGTGCACCATCTGGGGATGGTCATGATGGAGACTCAGACTTTTGGGGAGGGGGAAATGGGCATTTATTGAACTTAAAATCTGTACCCCCATAATATGCCAAAATAAAAAAAATAATTAAAAAAAAAAAAACCATATTACACTGTAAGAGTCTGCATGTTGTTAAAATCTTTCATCAACATAATTTTGTTTTGTTTTGCTTTGAGACAGAGTCTCGATATTTTGTTGCCCAGGCTAGAGTGAGTGCCGTGGCATCAGCCTAGCTCACAGCAACCTCAAACTCCTGGGCTCAAGAGAACCTCATGCCTCAGCCTCCCAAGTAGCTGGGACTACAGACATACACCACCATGCCTGGCTAATTTTTCTAGGTAGGTGATTATTGTTGGCCAATTAATTTCTTTCTATTTATAGTAGAGATAGGGTCTCGCTCTTGCTCAGGCTGGTTTCGAACTCCTGACCTTGAGCAATCCACCTGCCTCAGCCTCCCAGAGTGCTAGGATTACAGGCGTGAGCCACCGCGCCTGGCTTCATCAACATGGTTTTTTATTGCTGTGTGATTGTACTGCAGTTACTTAATCTTCCTAGTTTTAAACATTAAACCTGGAAAGGCTGGACTTTGGGATGAGTCCGGTACGCTTCATTTGTGTGTACGTGGACAAAGAGACAGCGAGGGCAGCTCAGGTCTCAGCTCCGCTGTGCTTCCGGCAATGACAGTGGGTGTTGCTGTTACCACCACCCAACTGGCCCTGTCACCCTGACCCACAGCACCCCATGCTCATAAAAACATCAACATGGCTTTTCCTTTTTGCTTCACTAAGTCAGCAGGGCCGGAAGAGGCAAGAGTTTTAACTGTACACCATATATATATCATTTTAGTTTCATATTGTTCCTGGGGCACTAATGTCTATCATTATATCTTTTTACTATAGTTATTTTTTTTAATTTAGATTTTCAAAATGCTGCAGATTATAGTACTTATTATTTGGAAAGTGCCAAAAACAGGTAAAGAAGGGAAGATACACCAGTGTTTCAACCACCTGTTAAAATATTGGCATTTATAATTAGTATAATTATGGCAGTTATTGATGTGACCTGGTATAAAGAGGTACTGGGCCATGGGAAAGGCATTTCGAGTCGAAGGGAAACAGGAAGTGAGCGTTCCTGCATACTGTCACCCCATTGCCCAGCTTCCTGGGGCACCTCCAAAGAGAGCTTAGCCCTCAATTTGGATACCAAACCTTTGGAACGTAATGTCATTTGAACATTATAGTTCCCTAGGCAAACATTTTTCAGATGGCCTTTTAGCAGATGGTCTGTTAGAGCAAGATAAGAATATTAATACTATACTTACTCAGCTCCTTTGGCCTTCATCAAAAGCTTTTGGGCTCCATCTGCTGCTTTATTTAGCCTGTTCTCATCTGTCCTGTAGTCCTCACAGAGCTGCTTAAGTTTCCGCATTTTGTCAAGTTCGTGGGTGAGATTTTGTGATGTTTCTGGCAGGTGGATGTCAAATACACGGCTTGCAACCTTCTCTATGTCTTCTGGAGGCACGTTTTCCTCTTAAATGAGAAGGTGGGTTTTAGGTAATCATGTCCCCTTAACAAACACTGTACCTTACAACCACGATGAACTCTAAGTCAAATGCACTTGCATTTGATTATGTGTCCCCAGAACACAGGGATTAGATTGTACGTGTCCTATAGATTCTTCTTCATCCTCAACTGTCCCTTCTCTCTGGAAGAAAATCTGCTTGTGTAGTGCCGAATACTTGTTGAACACTTGTGGGAAAAATGAAAAACTAAAGACTTGGGACATTGTGTATGTTCTACAAAATGTCATCCTAAGAATTATTTATGAGAAGTACAGACTCAAAAGCAACTAAAATGGTTAGATGTCTGTCATTACAATTTAAACACAATGAATGAGATGGTAGAGAAGTACTGGATTTGAAGTCCACAGAACTTGATTCTGACTTTCTATGTCATTAAAAAGGCTCACAGTTTTTGCTCATCTGTATAATTGGATAACTATATCTGATGCTACTACTCAAAGGCCTACTTTGAGATAGGATTGAGACAATACGGAGTAAAGTACCATGTGAATAACATATTATAAAGAAACTTTTAAATACCTCTGTTCCCTGCTTTTCAGAAAAATAAAATTGGCCCCTGTTGAAAACTGAAGTGCAGGATGGATTGCTAGGGTTTAGAGCAATGGCCATTTGCCACTTTACTTCCTGAACACCCATTCTATATAAGGCACAATGTGAAGTCCCCTAGGGAAAGCTGGACTTGAACTAGACTTGGATCTTATCCTCATGGGGTTTACCATCAAGTGGGGAACTATAAATCATTATATTCAAAACGTAACTATATAGGAACAGAAGTGATAAACGTAAAGCAAAATGTTGTGGGGTTCAGAGGAAGGAGAAAATACTTCAGGAAAGACGTTAAGCAGGCATTTAAACTGGGCCATGGAGGATAGCAGATTAAATTTATGGAGACTGTGAGGTGTGGGCAGGGGTAAGAGGCATTCTAAGCTGAGGGAGTCCCAGAAGCAAAAGCTCAGTGTGGTGCAAGAAACAGGGTGTGGATCACTCTTGGCAGGAGAGTGGTGTGTCTGAATGGGAGGAGCTCAAGTCTGGAAAGGCTGGAGGCAGATCGCACAAGTCCCTGACCTTGAGGCCAAGAAATTTAGGCTTTGTTATGGAGACAGTGGGAGCCATACAAGGTTTCCAGCATTTGAGTGACATGACATAAGTATCCTTTTCGTAGCAAAATAGCTTTAGCTGGACTTGAACTAGACTTGGATCTTATATAAATGCAATATTTTACTTTCTGTAATGTTTTTGAAACAATGTAATGAGAATTTTTTGCGAGTAAAGTACAACCATATTTTAAACAGAATCAGGGTGTTGGCTCTGTAAAGAAATAGTAACTTTTTAATTACAAACTTTCTAGTGAAAAGTGAATTTAATTCATTAAATATTTTTGGCATTTATTATGAGATTATAGATTCAAAATTTTATATATAGAATGTTCAGGAGAAGTGACACATACCCTTGTTAATAAGGCATTCAGATTTCAAGGAAAATATTACGATGGTCGAGGAAGAGCTGAATAGTATGGGCATGATCCAATGTAAGGATACTTTTATTTGAGCTTTACAGCCAGGAAAAGAGGAGAAGCAAGGGGTGGGAGAAGGATACTGGAAGGCATGAAAGCTTCCTGGTCACTAGCTCTTGGGACTCTGAGCAGTAAAGTTTCTTGTATGGAAAAGAATTTTTCTCTATGCCTAGTTGTAATAATATTATTATAATAGTTCTCTATGCCTCTGGTAATAATAATCTGGATACAGATTTTTTTCAATTCTTCAAGTTAATTAAAGTGAAGTCTTTATCAGAAACTTATTAACAATGAATAATAATAAGATGACAGGCTCTATGATCCAGTAAATGAAGTAGAAAGCCGGTTATTTAGACCCTATTCCACCATGACCATATTTCACCATTTTCATGCAACTCATTTGGCAATTTTGATTTTATTTTTGTTTTGGTGCCTGGATTGACTTGTATCTATGGAAATAACTAAAGTATTTCTCAATCCAACCAGTTTCTGGATCTGGGGCCAGTCCATACCAATTCATCTAGCTAACTCATTGAAAATTTGCTTTTGAATAAACAAACAAAATGTCCAGTAGACTGATTTCCACACATTACCCCCAATTCATTTTTACCTATTATTTTGGTTAAAGGTAATTTCTGCCTAATTTTAATCTTGAAAAATCATCTAGATGCTGCCACTACACTTTCTAGAAACACTGAGATAGAAAAAAATACCTGGCTATAGGGATCTCTTATGTATATTAAATAGATTAGTGAAGTGGTTGTAAAGATTGTAATGGATGTCCCAATTGTCAATTAATTCCCATGGAGAGTGTTACATTTATTGAATTTGGAAAATGGTTATAGAAAAGAAAGCCTTTTAAGGTTAATTCCTTATAATGTTGTACCTAAACTACGTTATTTGCAGAGAGTGAGGTTTCAGGTCAATTTCCAGCTGCGGTATTTGATTTTTATCTTTAATAATTCTCTGGAGTTTAAAACAAACCTTCCCCCAAATAAGGCACAATGAATAATGAATCCAATAGTTTCTTTTGGTCAGTCACAGAGAGCCAACAAAAGAAGACTTGGATAATAGTCAATAATAATCATCAAGTTTTTAGCTACTATCTCACTACAGTATTTGATAAACTAACAAAAATTTGGCATATTTTGATCTCATATCATCTCTGTCAGCAAAGAGAGTTACTGATCCTGAGGTTAGGGAATCTGATATAGTCATAATGTTGAGTTTTCCTTTTTCAAAAAATAATAAAATAACTTTAAACACAAAGTTCATGTGTTTGGAATTTTAACTAAATTCTAGGATTTATTACCAAATTAATCTTACACAGAGAGCCATACTTTTTTGGCACACAGTTGGTATTTTGAGATTATTCTCATTAAGAAATTTAAAACCAAAGGGTACATCATTTTCTTGATTTAGGCATGTCATTTCCAATTAATATAATTTGAAATTGGTTATGATGTTTGAGTGTACATTTAAAAAAAGAAAGAAATAAAACTAGTCTAATATATATTTTTTAAATTACCTAACAAAAAGTTTTTCACTTTTTTGATTAAAAGACTCATTTTTTCTCCTTCAGATTCACTTTGGTTTTTTATATTTTCCACTTTCTCACTTAGCTGTAAGACGTTATTTTTGGAGACTTCTGCCAGTTTACTTATATTTTTGATCTGGAATAAGAAAGAAAAAAACAATGAAAAAATATACTACAATTAGGCATGCTCTATGATGTTTAATTACTTAGCTGGGCCAAATAAAACTGTCACTAAAATCTAAATAGAAATCTAGATAAAGCATAGATTCATTTTAAAGGACTCTTTCATGAGGTGATTATTCTTTGTTTTCATTATCACATTTTCTTAATAGCATGAATTTATCTTTTAGAACATTGTTAGTCATCAAAATTTTTATTTGAAGACAATACTGATCTAGTACTAATGAATTTTTCTAACAAATATAAAGCACAAAGCTTGTTTTAATGAGGCTTTAGCATTTTATAATACCAAAACTTGTATAGAAATTACTTAAAACTACTTACCTGCACTGGTCATCATGTTTAATGGGCAGACAGCATTTTCTTTTCTATAAAATAGTTACTCTTCTAAACATTCCTCAAATTCAAGTAATGTACTTCCTTTGAAAGCCAACAAGAAAGCATTCCTCCTCTTAATAAATGAACTTGAACTGAGAGTGGGCTACAAAGATAAATTCTAAACACTTTGTACACTTGGTGGAGGAATGATAGGACTAATAGGCTAGCAACCTAGAAGTGCAAATTCTTCATTGTGTGATTTGAGAAAGGTCATGGACTTTTTCTTGGGATTCCAACAAATTAGAGAGAGAGGGAAAAAAAAAAAACACCTCAGAAAGCAATAGGACAATATTGCCAACAAGCTGAGCTTTATTGAATAAATTAATTGTGACAGAAGTAGGGCTAATTAGGATCAAACATAATTAGGAAAAAAAAAAACTTCCCCACAAAAGGAGCTTGCTTGATTTGAGCCATACAGATTTTGTGAAAAAGGATTTAAATTATAGTCATTTGGCAAATGATAAAACAAAATAGAAGTATTTACATGATTAAAAATGCGTATCTTAATTTTTTTGAGTTGATCCTTAATTTTCTAGAACTTTCTTAACTTTAAAATGGATAGCAGTAAAATAAGGATTCCAGAAATAAATATGCTAGGCAGGAAAGCACCAAGTGATACGGATGAAATCTCAGTGTAGATTAGTTGATACCATATTCAGAAAGAAAGAGATCGCTAAATTACTTCACTCTTAAAACATCTCTCTGCAATCCATCTTCTGTCACAAGTGACTCCTGAGAATCCTCTCACAATCTCTTCTGGCACTCTGCCCCTCCTAATCAAGAGGGAACTAGCACACCATTTTATCAACATGACAACCCCTCTCATCCTTTTCCAGTTCTCCATTGATGTGCTGATTGAACCAGATTCTGGTAATAGAGATTTCAGGGGTTACCTTTTAACACCAGTAACTTAACGCTATTATTAACTTAATAGTGTAATCAAGTGGCAATCAGGACTCATGTTAATGGGATGAGATTTCTATTTTTTTTTTTTCTTTGAGAAGGAACAATATAATCGTTTAAAATTACATTAAACAATCAAGGACTGTCTTAACCACTGAGATGTAAGGCCAGGATTTGCATTTGTTATGTTCACTGCCATAGTCTCAACTTCTAGATCAATGCCTGGCACATAGTAGGTACTCAAGGAATATCTGTTAAAGTAATGAAGAATTGCTTATAAGTGAAAAATGATGTGGCAATACAGAATCGTGACTATATAAGTAATTTTCAATATTTGGTCTCCAGATGCCGGCTCCAGAACTTGGACTCTGGAGCCAGTGGACAAGGACATAGGGGAACGGGGGTGTGGATGTGCGTCTTGGCTATGGCTGTCACTCATTCCCAAGCAGGGCCCTCTATACTTCTCTTGATTCTGAGACCCAGATGTCCTTACATTTCCTTTTTGCTCAGGAGTTGGCTTCTACTGCTTGCAAACAAGAGTGCAGTATTCAACATATATGGGTAAAAAATTCAGCTCTTTAAAAGCTTTTACTTCTTTGAGATTCTATGTGTATTGTCAAAAAAGGAACAGACTGGGGATCATGTCATTATCTTGTTTTCAAAACCAAAGATTGCAATGCATTCTCAAAAAAACCTAAAGAAAACTAGGTAATTAAAAATAAGATTCATTTATAAAATAAGTGAAAAGTAAATGAAATCATGTCAAATTATTATAGATTCAATTATAAGGTAGTTAAATGTTAAAACAACTTTATCCTGTCTATCAACACAGGAATATTTCAAAGCATAAGGGTATAGTGTTATTAAACTATTTTCTGAAATTAAATTCTAACATTACAATTTGTATGTTTAGAATTTCAAATATGCCCTTAAATTTATGAAAAATTATTCTTTGCTTTGAGAGATCTATAGTTTTCAAACCTTCAAGGCTAGGCATTTTGACATTTCTATGGAGTGTTTGCTATAGAAAAAACATGTCTATGCAAGTATATGACCTACAATAAAATACTTTGAGTTCTTTCTCTTCTCTTTCTCTTCATACACACACACACCCACCCACCCACCCACACACACACGTGACCCTTGAACAACTGGGCTTGAACTGCACAGGTCCACTTATACGTGATTTTTTTCAATGAAAGTTACACTAAGCGTGCCTGCCTACTCTGCCTCCCTTCCACCTCCTCCACCTCTGCCGCCTCTCCCCCCACAAAGCTGAGACAGCAAGACCAATCCTTCCCCTTCCTCCTCCTCCTCAGCCTGCTCCATGTGAAGAGGATGAGGATGAAGACCTTTATGATGATTCATTTCCACTAAATGAATACTAAATATATTTTCTCTTCCTTATGATTTTCTTAATAACATTTTCTCTTCTCTAGCTTACTTTATTATAAGAATATGGCATATAATACATAGAACATCCAAATATGTGTCGATCAACTGTTTTTAAGTTATTGGTAAGTCTTCCAGTCAACAGTTGTTAAGTTTTGAGGAGTTGAAATTTACACACGGATTTTTGACCGTGTGTGAGGCCTTGGGACCCCTAACCCCTGTGTTGTTCAAGGGTCAATCGTGTACAAAGATACACCCATCTATTCTAAATCTATTTCTAAATCTACATTTATATCCATATTTTTATATTTCAGGCATAAAAACATCTAATATCAAATAAAAAAATCATCTAATATCTAGAATTATCAAGTTAAAAGGCGGTTTTACAAATTTCAGCCTGTTTCTTTGCTATCTCTATGACTTTACAAATAAAGCAAGAGAAGACATTTACCTGATTCTTCAACCCACGAACCTGCTTGTCCAGACTATGAATCACGGATTGTGCTTCCTGGGCTTTTTGGAGTGCGTCCCCCGAGAGGGTCAGGGAGCCGAGGCAGCCGGGACCACCGCACCGCCGGTGGCCCTCAGGGCCCGTGCAGAGGGCGCCACCACAGGGCGAGAGCGCACACGGCAAGTTCCCTACATCTCCGCACACCTTACAGGAGAAATGACTCATGTTAAAAAGCAATTGGTGGGCAGAGCTTTTTTCTAATGCCACCCAGGCTCATTAAGGCAAAGCACTGCTTTATTCATGTGTGTTTCTTCGATAGGTGTTTCATGGTTGGTATGTTGGGGCGATCCATTCAATGTTTCCTAGGTAACATATATCTAACTTATTTATCAATATTGTGCCAATGTGTCATTTTTCTTTTTTTTTTTCCTGACTTCATTCTTCCTATCACATGTCATTTTTATATGTATAGTTTTTTTGGAAAATAGTTAAATGTTTAGGGTTTCCATGTAAATTTCATTTTAACTTTTTTTTTTTTTTTTTTTTTTTGAGACAGAGTCTCACTCTGTTGCCTGAGCTAGAGTGCCATGGCGTCAGCCTAGCTCACAGCAACCTCAGACTGGTGGGATCAAGCGGTCCTCCTGCCTCAGCCTTCCGAGTAGCTGGGACAACCGGCATGCACCACCATGCCTGGCTAATATATATATATGTTAGTTGTTCAGCTAATTTGTATTTTTTTAGTAGAGACGGGGTCTCACTGTTGCTTAGGCTGGTCTCGAACTCCTGAGCTCAAACGATCCTTCTGGCTCAGCCTCCCAGAGTGCTAGGATTACAGGCGTGAGCCACCACACCCGGCTGCATTTTTACTCTCTTAAAATAGAAATTTACTTATAATGAGGCAAAGAGGAGCAAATGTACAAAATCTGCACCATTTTGGAAATAGTAAATGATATAAAAGAATCAAACTATAATCTTTACTCTCTGATTTTGATCAAACCTTGACTTAATAAAAATTTATATATTTTTATTATCTATGTAGTATATAACATATGTATTACATATATTTATATATACATATATTTTTGTATTTATAAAATATAAATATAAAATAAAAATATAAGATAGGGAAATACAATTGAAAAGGTCTATATACTAAGTAGAAACCACAAATGCTTTTATTATATTATAAGATCATGAATATTTACCTTTTCATTTAATATTTGGATATCTGGTATCTTAATCTGCTTTAATTTTTCCAATGACAAGTTTCCTTTTGATGTTAGTGTATCTAAGATGGTAAGTGAGTCATTCCTGGTATTTTCAGAGTTATTTATCATGGAACTAGTTTCATTAGTTTTTTTTTCAGCAGATGATGATATGTGATAATACTTCTTGATGTTTTCTGAGGAGTCTACATCAACACAAATTGAGGTAAGGTAAATTTTGTGAAAGCAAATGAAGTTATATATTAACTATCAAGGAAATCATTCCACAGTTTGGATACTGTCTTGGTCTCAATAATCACTGCAGAATTTCAACATCTTCTTCCTTGAATTTGCATATAATGGAGAAGGATTAGATGTAACAGATACAGATCATTGTGATTTAAGTCCACAGACTTGGGGTAAATCTTGGCTTCACCCTTTACTGCTTGGGTATGTCCTTGAGCAAATCAGTTAATCTCCTAGATTTTGTAAACTGGTGATAACATGTGAGAATTGAGATAATATGAAAATATTCAGTAAAATGTTCTGCAAATGTAAGGTATTAATTATGAATACCTATATAAACTCAAATAGGATAAATAAACTAAGTTCACTTAACTCTATAGAGCAGGAGTTTACAAACTTTTTCTGCCAAGGCCAGAGAAGATTAATCTTTTAGGCTTCTCTGACCATAGCGTTTGTTACAACTACTCACTTCTGCCATGTAGAGTGAAAGCACTACAGGCAGGGTGGAAATAAAGATGTGAGCTTGTGGTCTAATGAGACAATATTTACAAAAACAGGCTGTGGGCAGGATGCGCCCTCCTGCTGTGGTTTGCTCATGCCTGACTTTGAGGGGGAGAACAATAGCTAACAGCTGATTGAGTGCTTCCCATGTGCCTGTACTGTACTTCCCATCAGTTTTCTTCCTTAATCCTCCACAAACAGTGTGAAATGCACATTCATATGGTCATCTTCTTTTTACTAATAAGGAAACTGAGGCTCTGCTGAAGTAAGTTATTTGTCGGAGGTCTCCCTGAAAGTAAGAGATAAAGCCAGAATTTCAACCCAGGTAGTTTGACTCTTGACCCTGTGTTTTTAAGGACTTCTCTATATACTATGGTATGTTTTAATGTAAATTATAATATTATTAGGCCTTTAAACTATAACTCCATATTTTAGGAACCAGAAGCTTAGGGTCTCTACATTACCACAATTCAGACATGAGACAGCCACACCTTACCTTTATAAACTTTCCTGGTTTTTATACTACCATATTCTTTTTTTGTGTGTGACAGTCTCACTCTGTTGCCCAGGCTAGAGTGAGTGCCATGGCATCAACCTAGCTCACAGCAACCTCAGACTCCTGGGCTCAAGCTCATCTTGCCCCAACCTCCCAAATAGCTGGGACTATGGGCATGTGCCACTACGCCCGGCTAATTTTTTCTGTTTGTAGTTGTCTGGTGAATTTCTTTCTATTTTTAGTAGAGACAGGGCTCTTGCTCAGGCTGATCTCAAACTCCTGACCTCAAGCAATCCTCCTGCCTCTGTCTCTCAGAGTGCTAGTATTATAGGCATGAGCCACCATGCTCGGCTCATATTCTTAATATATCATGTTTTTCATTTATCATAAAAAATGTTCCTGTTGTTTAGAATAATTTTTAGCTTTTATTTATCAGGCAAATGTATCTCCATCCTGTGAAGCCCTATTTAATTGCCACCTTCTCCCCAAAGCCTTTCCTAATAAATCCAGGAAGAATTCAGCTCTTGCTGCTCTGTTTTTAGATGTTTCAGCTGCTGCTCAGCTTAAAGATGCTCCAACACAGTCTTAGTGCTGTTGGGGTTGTTTATACTCTTATCTCCCCCACTATACTGGATTATTCATCTCCCTATTGCTACTGCACAATGCCAGGCATTGAGCAAAATTCAGTAATGGCTGCTGGACTGCAAATTGAGAGAATTAGCATAGGGGCAGTTTTACTTTATTCTATCTGGCTTGGGGTGACCTCTGATGGAGTTTGAGTTCTTTCAGTGGGTATTCTGTTCCAGGTGAGAATTTATTTAGGCATTCCTTTAGAGCAATTAGGTATTCCTGATTGCCTTCTATTGTTTTTTTTTTTTTTTCTTTTTTAGGTCAAGATGAGATGAAAACCAGTATTCACATAGGATAAAGAAAAGCTGCCAATATTTTGTCTTCACATGGGTTCATGTGTATTTTCCCTTTACCTCTCAATTAGATGGGTTAGGTGTGAATAAACTCAGTGTTGCCTCTCTTGGTAGGAACAGGTTGTCCACTCCCCAATATAACAGGGATGTCATCTCAAACAGGAGATAAGCTAATCAAGTTTTGCTTTAGAGTTCCATTTCTCCTCCAAGTTGATCTTAGCTTTGGCATGGCTCACATTCAGCTTGATGAACTATGCAATATAAATTAAGGACCTGTAGTATATTACATGACTGAATCCCTACAAAGTTCTTATGAGCAATGTTGTGTTTAATTCCTTTTTGCCTCGTATTCCTTTGCATTTCTGGTTATTGGAAATACAGTGGTTTATACCCAGGAAGACATAGAACCATCTCTCTCTCTCATTTGCTTGTGGCGATATTAGAATCTGTAAGTTGCTGATTACTCGAAACCCCTCACACAAGTTTGGAAATAGAAGATCACATTGGGTGGGTGTTAGTATGTGTTTAGTATCAGACATCATTAGCTTTACTTGTTTTTTTGAGCAAATGTTCTCCAGGCTCTGCAATGTTTAAAATGTTGAAATATCCACGAACAAATATTGTCTTTAATGGGTGTGTTTGCATGCTCTAAAGTGTGCGGGCAGTATGGTGGTAAGCATAGGAAGACTCACTAATGGAATGCACTATGGATTCTATCAAACTTGGTGCAAAAACAGTCAAAAATGCATTTTCTTCCCTTACCCTGGATGCTTGCAGTAAGAGCACTGGATTGTAAATCAATTTCTTCCTGAAGGTCTTTAAATAAGAGGTCTGCCTCATTCTTCATTCTTACTATTGTTTCCTTCAGGTCTTGAAATTCATACACTGCTTTGAATTGTTCATTTAGCTGCATGATTTGTTTTCTGTTAGAGAAAATGAGGGTAAATGTGGTTGCTTGTCTTACATTTGATATATTGGTGGAAAAAACATGCCACAAAAAATTGCCCTCATTATTAGGTATTCTCAGTTAGAAGGGATTCCCACTCACCCTCCAATTTTTCATTTGACAATTTATAATTCTACTTATGGCTCATCTCTTTCCTCTTAATTTAACTTCCTGGAATATTTCAACATTCACTTAAAATATGACCAACATATGACCAGCTACTAGACCAACAGGGTCTAGTAGCATAAAGGATTTCAAATCTTTCCATTTCAAATGTTTATGCTTGTCTTCCTTTGTTTTGGGTTTCAAAACATGTATTCAGACATGGTTCATTTAAGTCAATTAAGAGAGCTGGTCTACATTCAACTTGCAACACATGATAAAACAGAACCCCTTACCCAGCCTGGGGTAAACTTGGTTCTTCATTTAGAATAAATCTGCATTCAGCAAGGTTCTTTTTAGTGCTACTACTATCAGGGTCTTAACTTTCAGTTTTCATGAGTGACAAAGAGGTTGTCTTTCTGGTGAGTGTTCCCTTGGGTGTTTTTCCCCCCATCACCTTCTGCTTGGATGGGGCACACCATTGTCCTGCTTCAGTTTTTCTGGGTTCAGCCTATACTGTTGGCTCAAAGGAATGATGAATATATCCCTCATGATGGGAAAATTGGGTGCAGATCTTAAAGGGTACAGTTGAGGGAAGTTAAAATACTAATTCATGAAACTAATTTATCTTGGCACAACTGGAAAGCATTAACTAATACTTCCTATGTTTTCTGTGATAACTCCTTTCTAATCTATAGACTTTTCCTTCAGGGTCCAACTGTCAGGACTACAGTTCTTTAGGCTAATACAAATAACAACAATAAACATAATTATTTATACTATTATGATTGGTACTATGTAAGCACTATGTGACAGACACTATGCTAGGTGACTTATCTTGAATAGTTCTCACAAGGATCCTACAAAATAGAGACCTTTCCTTTTTGACATAGAGTCTCACTTTGTTGCCCAGGCTAGAGTGAGCGCTGGCGTCAGCCTAGCTCACAGCAACCTCAAACTCCTGGGCTCAAGCGATCCTCCTTGAGGAGGATCTCCCGTGTAGCTGGGACTACAGGCATGCACCACCATTGCCGGCTAATTTTTTCTATATATATTAGTTGGCCAATTAATTTCTTTCTATTATAGTAGAGACGGGGTCTCGCTCTTGCTCAGGCTGGTTTTGAACTCCTAACCTGGAGCAATCCGCCCGCCTCGGCCTCCCAGAGTGCTAGGATTACAGGTGTGAGCCACCGTGCCCAGCCTTGATCCCCCTTTTTGATGAAGAAACGGAAGTTGGAAAAATTAAGTAACTTGCCCAAGTAAATTCAGAGACAGGTGGTTTGACTTTTGAATTTATGGACATGAAGCCTGGGGTCTTCCCATTCCCCCTTTGACTTGTAATTTGTCCAGAAACGTTTACTATATAACGACACTAGGCCTGGAGTGGTAAAGCACTGGAGAAAGTGGCCCCTTCCATGGGGCACCCCCTAGTGAGACAGTGGCCAAGGAGCACAAAGAGGTGGGAAGGTGGGGAAGAGGATACCGGGCTTTCTCTGAGGTGGTCGGGGCAGGCTTCAGGCAGTGTGGCTGTTAGAGAAGCAGGAGTCCAGCAGGTGCACCAGGAGGGAACGGGCATCTTGGCTTCTATGGGCTCATCGCTTCAGGCCTGGCCTGGGGGCAACTCTTCTCTTGCTGTCTTCTCTCTGGCTCTACGTGGGCCTCATGCAGTCTCTTTGTCCAGAGCATCCACTGTGCATTGGCTCATTCTGCTTTCTTGGTGCCACTTTGTCTGACATTTTCCTAGTATCTATAACCACACACCAGTGGTCCATGGGCCAAAGTTCATCCTCAAACATTTATTTCTTTGGGTAAAAACCAGGTGCTATTGGGTTAGCAGCCTGCATTTCAAAGTGGGGATATTTCCATAAAAATCTGGATGTCTGACATCTCTTGAAAAGTGGGGAGATCTGTAATGTAGGGCCCAAATCCTGCATTCCAAAACTCTTTTGAGGGGTATTGATGTGCCTGTTATCACCTGCCAGTTTGACCTGGCCCCATGGCCTCCCTGGGCCCTGCCATTGCATTTATGATGCAGTGGCCCTTTCTCTGAACTATCTAGGTGGGTTATATCTTCTTGCTTATGTAACTTTTTTTTTTTTGAGACAGGGTCTCTGTCATCCAGGCTACAGTACAGTGGCATCATCATGGCTCACAGCAACCTCAAACTCCTGGGCTCAAGCAATCCTCCTTGAGGAGGATCTCCCGAGTAGCTGGGACTCCAGGCATGCACCACCATGCCTGGCTAATTTTTTCTATATATATTAGTTGGCCAATTAATTTCTTTCTATTATAGTAGAGACGGAGTCTCGCTCTTGCTCAGGCTGGTTTTGAACTCCTAACCTGGAGCAATCCGCCCGCCTCGGCCTCCCAGAGTGCTAGTATTACAGGTATGAGCCACCGTGCCCGGCCTTGATTCCCCTTTTTGATGAAGAAACTGAAGTTGGAGAAATTAAGTAACTTGCCCAAGTAAATTCAGAGACAGGTGGTTTGACTTCTGAATTTATAGACATGAAGCCTGGGGTCTTCCCATTCCCCCTTTGACTTGTAATTTGTCCAGAAACGTTTACTATATAATGACACCAGGCCTGGAGTGGACAAGCACTGGAGAAAGTGGCCCCTTCCATGGGGCACTCCCCAGTGAGACAGTGGCCAAGGAGCACAAAGAGGTGGGAAGGTGGGGAAGAGGACACGAGCCTTTCTCTGAGGAGGTCGGGGCAGGCTTCAGGCAGTGTGGCTGTTAGAGAAGCAGGAGTCCAGCAGGTGCACCAGGAGGGAACGGGCATCTTGGCTTCTATGGGCTCATCGCTTCAGGCCTGGCCTGGGGGCAACTCTTCTCTTGCTGTCTTCTCTCTGGCTCTACGTGGGCCTCATGCAGTCTCTTTGTCCAGAGCATCCACTGTGCATTGGCTCATTCTGCTTTCTTGGTGCCACTTTGTCTGACATTTTCCTAGTATCTATAACCACACACCAGTGGTCCATGGGCCAAAGTTCATCCTCAAACATTTATTTCTTTGGGTAAAAACCAGGTGCTATTGGGTTAGCAGCCTGCATTTCAAAGTGGGGATATTTCCATAAAAATCTGGATGTCTGACATCTCTTGAAAAGTGGGGAGATCTGTAATGTAGGGCCCAAATCCTGCATTCCAAAAGTCTTTAGAGGGGTATTGATGTGCCTGTTATCACCTGCCAGTTTGACCTGGCCCCATGGCCTCCCTGGGCCCTGCCATTGCATTTATGATGCAGTGGCCCTTTCTCTGAACTATCTAGGTGGGTTGTATCTTCTTGCTTATGTAACTTTTTTTTTTTTTTGAGACAGGGTCTCTGTCACCCAGGCTAGAGTGCAGTGGCATCATCATGGCTCACAGCAACCTCAAACTCCCAGACTTAAGCGATCCTCCTGCCTCAGCCTCCCGAGTAGCTGGGACTATAGGCATGCACCACCATACCTGGCTAATTTTTCTATTTTTTTGTAGAGATGGGATGTCACTCTTGCTCAGGCTGGTCTTGAACTCTTGGGCTCAAGCAATTCTCCTGCCTCAGCCCCCCAAAGTACTAGGATTACAGGCGTGAGCACTGCGCCTGTCCTTATGTAACTTTTAAGCGATTACCATACATTTCTGGGATATTCGTCTATAGATAATGAGCGGGCCTTATATTTACACTTGTGTTATGTATGACATAAAACTCTGCAGCTTCAACTATTCATTAATCCAGGAACTTTTACTGGGGAGGAGGGCTATTTTGCTATATAAGCACACTTTTAGGGGTTTCTTAGCAGATTATGTGCTTCGATGAGGGTAGAAACTATACCCAATTCATCTGGTTTTGCCCAGAGCAGGTTGGCAAACTTTGTCTGGGGAGTCAAAGCGTCTCTGTCCTAACTGCTCTACTCTGCCATTGTTGAGGGAGACCAGCCACAGGGGAAATGTGAATAAATGGGTGTGGTGGTTGTGTCCCAGTGAACCTTTATTTGTAAAACCAGGTACTGTGGTTAGATTTGACCTCTGGGCTGTGGTTTGCTGACCCCGGGCCCAGAGCAACTAACATAATTCCAAGAAGTGGTTGATGAATGAAAAAAGGATTCATTAATATGTAATAAAAATGATTTTGCATTTTGAAGGAATTATCATACTTGTTATAAGACTTCACATTAATGTATGGACTTCTAAACAACTGAAGAATTTGAGAAGATTGGGCAAATTTTCCCTGGGTGCATCATTGAAAAAAAAATATTGTTTGTTTTTAAAACTACTTCCACTTTCATATCTTGTAGCTCTGCTGGGTTTGGGCTTCCCAATTAACCTCTTAATGATTGCCTTTTTGTTATCATTAATAGCATCTGGAAAAAATCACAAGTAACACTAAGTAGGTAAGAAAAAGGCAGATAAACATGATTAATAGCCTGGCTACTAACTGAACAACTGTCAGTTCCCTAAAGTCAACATAAGTACATTTCTAAATTGAAGGCTGAGGATGTTAAAGGTCAGTAGGAGTGAAGGTAAATCAGGAGTTTGGCTATCTATTACTTATGCACACATCTTACCTAACGGAGTCATGATAATCCTTGACTTTTAAGAATTTCCCAGATGAGAAAACAGGATGTTTCAAAATCCTTTCTATTTCAGACATGTTCTCTCTGAGGCCTTTGAAGTCTGCCTCACAGACAGGCAGGGGCTCCCTTTTATCTTCCATGTTAGCAGCCAGCCTCATTAACCCTTGCGCAGCTTTCGAGAGGGAAGAAATGTCGTGGTTCCACTGATCAAAGCACAAGTGACATCGAAGACAAGTAGGGAATTCCCGGCCATGGCCCAGGGCACAGCGATCACATCGCTGGCCACTGACGCCCTCGCGGCAGCGGCACATGCCTGTGTCTGGGTCACAGGTGGGCTTCTGGGCACCTGCCCTGTCGCAGTCGCATGCTATAAAGGAAGAGAGAGACGGAGCAGAGAATGTCACTGGGCCTTTTGCTTATGACTAGCTCAAGAATAAAGTCCTTTCCTCTCTCCTAAGCATCCTTCCAACTCATATTTCTAGAAAAGGTGAACATTGAAAGCCAATAGTTTGAGAGATCTGTGCAATGGCCATTACATTGCAGCATGCCTCTCTGTGCCACTGATAGGTCAGTTCATGGTTTCCGTGTGGGAAATATTAGACTGCCCTTTTATTGTGTGAGTGTGAGTGTATGCAGATGGGTGTTTTTCATCTATTTGAGTGAGAAGCATGGATTTAATAGTGGACAGCACAGTGATAACTCTGCTCCTACTGCCTCCAAGGGTGATTCAGGCATGCCATAGACTCTCTACGAGATCCCTTGACCACGTTTTTTCTGAGTAAAATCCAGCCGGGGTGTGCAGAACCATGTTGTTTTCTATTATATAAGGAAAACGATCTCATTCTCAAAACTAGGAAGAAAATTAAATTCATTTGTTTTAATTAAAAAAAAAATGATGCCACACAGCACTTTAAGTTTCTGATCAATCCTAAGGATGGAAGATGGGGAGGTCTATTGATGTTACCACAATTTCCAAAAAGTTAATGAATTACTAGCCTAATTCTTTGGAGTAGCTGCAAGGAACAAGTGATTTAAAAATGCATTTGACAGCCTGAGTAAAAATAATGCCAATTACAAATAAGAACTGATTAGACACACACTAGGCTCCTGAACTAGATACCATCTGCCTGGCACATCCAGCCTTGGTCCAGAGGCCTCAGCAGGAACCCCTTGGGGGCAGCATTATGGCACTTCACCAGTGGAGGCCAAGCTTCTCCCCATCGGTGGCTCTTCCCAGGAGCTTTGGTGGGGTCTATGGCCTGAGATGACCATTTGCAGTTTCCTCTACTGCTTCACTAATAAAAGATTAAAAAGCATTTTTATGAAATAAGGTTATTGAAATATTAGCAGGACACAGGGAACAAAGCTCTCTAAGACAGATTTTCCAAGAGCCAAAATTCCTCCCTCATTTTTAAAGTGGCAATTTCACTTAGAAAACTATATAAATGAGGCCTAGAGAAAGTCACCCCTAGAAAAGAGGTATTTGAATGGGGCATGGGAATGAAGGTGATATTATTTAAGCACAAGAGCACATTTATAAGGGAATGGAGAGGAGGAAGGAGCTACCATGGGTGGCTATGTAGGGGTGACCACAATGATAAGACTGTCACATTTGACATTTCTTTGGACTGAGTTCCTCTAGAAGCTGACTTTAAATGAAGATTCAAACATCCTGCCTCTTAGAACCAACCCAGACTCTAAATTTCTGCTGTCCAATATGGTAGTCACTAACCACATGTGATTATTTACATTTAAATTAAATAATTCCATTCCTTAGTTGCTCTACCACATTCCAAGTGCTTTGTAGCAGCCTCCGTGTGGCTAGTGGCTCCTGCATTGGACAGCGAGGCTGCAGAGCATTTCTGTCACTACAGAAAGTTCTACTGGACAGCTCTCTAAATCCTACAACTAGTGGGCACACATGGAATGAAAGGCAAACTCTAAGAGGACGGGCCTTGGTCAGGTGCAGTGGCTCACGCCTGTATTCCTAGCACTCTGGGAGGCTGAGGCGGGTGGATCACCCAAGGTCAGGAGTTCAAAACCAGCCTGAGCAAGAGCAAGACTCCGTCTCTACTAAAAAATAGAAAGAAGTTAATTAGCCAACTAAAAATATATAGAAAAAATTAGCCGGGCATGGTGGCACATGCCTGTAGTCCCAGCTACTTGGGGAAGGCTGAGGCAAGAGAATCACTTGAGCCCAGGACTTTGAGGTTGCTGTGAGCTAGGCTGATGCCATGGCACTCAACCCTGGGCAACAGAGAGAGACTCTATCTCAAAAAAAAAAAAAAAAAAAAGGGATAGGCCTTGCCTTGCTTATTCCCTGTCTAGAGTTCCCAGTTGGCATTCTATGAATACTTGTTATATAAATGAACGAGGGAATACTCGACATACCCAGAGTCTTGGAGGAAACATCTTCTGCTTTGAGGAAACATCTCCTTTCTGGCTTCCTATGATCCACCTCCCAGCCTGTACCTCAACTTGGGATAGTCATTTTACTCAAGATGCTTCCAAATAGCAAAAAATTGGCAAAACCTCCTTAGAGATTTGTTTCATCATAATGACTTTAAGGAATTTTAATATAGGCTATAAATTTCAATATCTATAGGTTAAAAGTTTTAATATAGGGGAAAAATCATCTTTTTTATAGGGCTTCAACAATATTATTTTCAAAACTAGGATTAGACTTTGTGAATTTTCTAAGTCCACATTGTTAAAAAGCCACAGCCAAATAAAGACACTTAAAATTCAGCTGGTTCGTAGTGTGTCCATGGCAGGGCCAGGCTGACTGTACGTGTGAGCTTTTACGATTTCCAATACTTACGCAGGCATTGCCCCCGTGGATCACCGTAATAATCTTCTTTGCACTCACTGCAACGTTTCCCACCATAGCCTAATTTACAGGGACACTGGCCTGTAAGCTGTGAGAACAGTCATGGGTGAGAAATTGACAAGCTTTGTGATCGAAAAACATGATGCATTTTAATAGGAATCATTTTTCCCTCCAGTGATTTAGAACATACAGCTGTGCAAAGGCGGAGGAAGTCTGATTCCCATGGCCAGCAACCACCCCCGACAATACCAAGGATCAGGAGTTAATGATGTGTTTTGGCTTAGGGCTCTTGAATATACTGCCTGCTTCCAGCTGTTCAGGGACAGGTGGCCCCAAATGGGAAAACATACACAGATATAAATGAAAACAAAACACATGATGGGAAATGGGCCACATTCTTTTCCTCTATGGTTATGGGAGTTCCCCCTAAGAGAGAGAGGCCAAAGACCTGGTCTAACTTTCATCAGTTAATTTGGCAAGTAATGTTTTCATTACGGAATGTACAATGTAGTTTCTACCAACTGGATTCATGTTTTGCTAAAAAAAACAACATCTTTTTTGTACTTTAGGCCTAATTGCTTAGTGACAGCTATTTAACTGTGTTTTTGAGAGAAGGCTGAACTTTCCTTTACCTTCCCAACTGGATTCCTGACCAGCTTTTCTGAACTGAGGAGGTTGAAAAATTAACAGGAAAAAATACAAAATAAATCACTAGTGTCACAGTCCTAAATTATACCTGGCCAATTCTGCCTAAACAACAACTCCATTTTTCCAGTGCATAAGTAGCTGGATTCGTAAAGTGACTGGATCTACCAAGTTTCAGTCTATCTTTGGGGTTCTTACAAGCTTTTGCTCAAACACAGGGAGTTATGGGGAACTTGCTGGGCTGGGGCCTGTCATATTGCTGAGTGTCTTGATTGCTGGGTGGTACTTTCTTATACTGGTGCAGAATCTGCCTCTTTGTAACTTGGTCCCATTGTCCTGAGTCCTGTCTTATGGAATTGCACAAAACAGGAAGTCTTCCTCTTCTTGCAACTAGAGATTGGCCACCTCAACTCACCTTTGCTTCACTTCTTTAGGTAGATCACCCCTAATTCCTTCAAGCCTTTGTCACAGAATAGCACGGTTCTACCCATCTCCCTGGTTGTCTTCCTTTGGACACATACTAGTTTGTCCATATAATGTTTAAAATGTGGTGCGCAGAAATGACGACAATAACCCTGGCACTGTCTGGCCAGAAGAGTAGATAATGGGACAGTAACTGTCCTGAATGTGGCCATGGCACTCCCCTGCTCCAGCCCGCCCAGGCATTGCCTCTCAGGCAACCCTGCTATACTGCTGGCTCTCTAGAAAGCCTGGATACAATGAAAATCCTCAGATGCTCTTCACAAGAGCTGGTGCCAAATTATTACTCCCACCCCATATTTATGTAAGGGATTAAAAAACCCCAACTGCAAAACTTTACTTTTACCCTGTTAACATTTCATCTCCTTGTTCTCAGCCTACATGATAGCTTGTTAGGATATCTTGCCTTTTGTTCTGTCTTTATCATATTAGCTGAAAGCTTTGCAATATCTGTAAATTTGAGAAGCATGTTTCTCCAACTCCATCTAAACTGTTGAAAATGTTGATCAGCACATTTGAATCTCTCTGTGGGAATGCACCAGGGACCACCTTCTGGCTGACACAGAGACATTTATCAGTAGTTGTTTAAACAGCTGGGAATGTAAATGTCCACATGTCTTCTCTGTACTCCAATGAAAGTGTTTCCTGATTGTAGAGAACAACCTTCCCTGAGGGATCCCCTATGGACCAAAGAACCCAAAGTACCCTTGATATGGGGGGATTTTTGGTTCAATCAATGCCATCTGACTTTCAGAAGTAGGCTACTCCTGAACTGTGGTCTTCACTGAATGCTGCTACAAATATACTTCCCAGTAGATCTGAAATGCAGGCAGTGATGTGGAGAGCGTTAGGAGTCCCACAGGGATTAGGAAGCTAAGCAGTCACAAAGACATCTACTGATTTATTCCATGCTAGGTGGCTGTGGGTGTGGGGAGTGCAAGGGACCATATGTAACAGTCACAGTCATCCAGTGCCCAGAGCTTGGTTCCTAACACCATTCTCCAGGAAAGGAACTAGCACTGCTTGGAGAAATGGCTGATTCTAGGACTGGGGCAGGGAAGATGAGCCTAGAGCTTTTTGCAGTACCAGAAAGTAAGGAAGTGTTCTTAAAAACCCTACAATATTGGCCTATGTCAAAGGGGCACAAGGGCTGATTAGAAGAGCTTCCTGGGATTAAAGCTGAAACAATCTGAACAACAACATACAGTAGTGTAGGACTATAACCAAAAGTATGGTATAAATATCCATGAGTCTATACTGATATAAATAAATAAATGGTTGAATGAGTGAATGAATGGGGGATGACAGATTTCCAGAAGAATTGGAAAGAATTGCAGAATTCCAATGATTCCAGGAGACTCTCTGCCCTCAAGCAGGTAGAGCATAACTCCCCACTCCTTAATTGTGGGTTGCACATAGTGTACAGTCTGGAAAGGAGGAAAAAAACTAACTTTACAATATAAAGACCTGATAAACACTACTTCAGCCAGGTGACCAAGATTCATGTCAATAGTGACATCATGTTAATAATATGTACCTTTGACATGATATGATAAGAATGTCACTTTACCTCTCTGGTCTTCTTCTCAAAATCCATAACCCCAGTCTACTCATGAGAAACATATTAGATAAATCTGAATTAAGGGACATTCTACAAAATATTCCTCAAAACTATCAACGTCATCTAAAACAGGGAAAGTCTAAGAAACTGTCACAGCCAAAAGGAGTCTAAGGGGATAAGATAACTAAATGTAATGCATTTTGGATGGGGTCTTGGAACAGAAAAAGGACATTAAGTAAAAACTAACGAAATCTGAATAAATTAAGGAGTTAATGACAATGCATTGATATTGAGTAATTGTGACGATGTATCATTCCAATGTAAGATGTTAGTAGTAGGAGAAACTGGATATAAGTTTATTTTAAGTTTGTTTTAAAAAGGATGTGGTGTGTTTGTGTGGGTTGGTGTGGGAGGATTGGAGAGAAAGAAAATGAAGAGAAGGAAAAACACATTCTCTATATAAGCACTACTTTGAAAAGTTTACTTGTGTAAGATTTGACCTTTTGAATCATAAGTTGAACAGTGGAGCTGAAATTGGAGGTGAGCCACGCTTACTAATTGAAAAGACTCCAGTTTCTTAAATTAGCATTTTGATTCCAGTTAAACTCTGATCTCTATATTATGGATTTGACCTTTTCTAAAATTTCTTGTCATTGTTTTACCCTTTTCCCCCAATCTCTATTAATGGGAAAATTGTTTCAAAGAATTGATTCATTAAGCCGAAAGAAGGAAGTCAAAACAACAAAAACCTTAACATATTAATAGTTTTTTCCATAAATAGTTATAACCATTAAAAAATTCTGTGTTCATTGTTTTACTGAGTGAAAATAACATGTGCAGTTTTAAGTAGCACTAACTGCATATGAAACATTGAAGATTTGCTCCCTGTACACTAGCTTGTGTTGATGTTGGTCTGGACGCAAAGATGACATTTTACCCATACATAAAGCAATCAGTGAATTATAGGGAATTTTTATAAATGGAATTGTAGGTTCTGAAGGCACCTATTTATTTTATTTTATTTTATTTTATTTATTTATTTTTTTCTTTCCAGAAATGTTCCTTGCTAGTAGAACACCTATTTATTTTAATTTTGATTAATAATCATTTCTGATCAATGATCTATTTCTTGGGTCCTCTCTTTGATTATGTGTATTACATAGTGAAAAGGGAGGTGACATCTGTGTATACATTCTGACTTCCCCAATCACAGAGAGGCGTAAGGAGAAGGGAAGCAGGCAAAGCTTAACTTTGAGAGCCTCGTTCTCCTTTTTTGGTGTTTTCATTTCCTGATAAATGCTGACTCTATCCCCTATAAGGCCAATCCTGTTTATAAACTGTAATGAACAACTGTGCATAGAGAAAAACATTCCTTACACACTTGCAAACCACGTCTCACCGTCAGTTCCCACTCTGAGTGCACTAGTAAGTTTTAAAGTATCTTGCCTGGTCACAGTGGCTACTTTGGGAGTTCCGAGGGTCACAGTTGCATGACTGACATCCTCTTCCAGAGACCAGATTCCAGTATCCATCAGCACAACGGTCACAGGCCAGGCCGGTGACATTTGGCAGACAAGGGCATCTGCCAGTGATGGCATCACAGAGGCAAGCTCCCCCACCAGGGGGACACTCTGCTGGATTCACGCCGGAAGGATGGCAGGAGCATCCTGGGATGACAAAGCCGTCATTAGAGGCAAATTCAATGATAACACTGGCATGTAACAAACTGTATGAACAGCTTTTTAGACCTGGATGTATCACTTCTTCTCCAAAGGGCTCCGAGAAGAAACACCTTATAATAGTATAGGATTTAGCAAAGAATCTCAGTAGGCTAAGCTCATTCAATGGTTTCTGATCTCCTCAAGCAGCAAGTTCATACAGTTCAACTTACTATGTGCCAAGAACTCAGTTAGGATGACTAAAAATCTCATTTTTCCCTCATGCCACTCACCAAAGTTCCATTTATTTCAATGATTTGAAAACAATGCTTTACTAAATCGACTTGGGTGAACTGAAATAGTTAAAGTATCTTCTGAAAATGAGCAGTTTATTTACCCTGTTTCTTTATCATAGAATCAAACTTTTGTCTTCTTCTACATCAGTGATTCTCATATTTATACATTAAAGTCACTTAATAAGCTTGTCACAGTGCAGATTCCTGGCACTCACTCCCAGAGATTCTGATTCAGTGGGTCTGAAGTACAGCTCAGGAGTCTACATGTTCATTCTTGGGGCCTCCCTCCCCCCCTGCCCCCCACCTGGCGCCCAGAGGCTTCTGGCACAGGTGCACTGTGGACCACGCTCCCCGAGAAACAATGCTTTTGTCTGTTAAAAACAATAGTCACAGACTAGCAACACCAGTGAGTACATTGTGGCTGCACCTGAGAAATCCAGCTGTAGCACTGTACCAATTTTTGCTGAAGAGTTCTGGGCAACAGCCCAATCACCCAGTGGGTGCTGCTTTTGCTTGCTGGGACTGGCCTAACTGAATTGAGCGTGGGAAAGCTGACACCACTCTTATAAGGTGTCACTCAGACACATCTCCCCCCCGCCACCACCGAAGCTTTGCAGACTTACTTCTGCAGGTCTGGTTGAGGGCTGACCCGAAGTAGCCTGGTCTGCAGAGCTGGCAGTTTGGGCCCCGAGTGTTGTGCAGACACCTAAGACACTCCCCCGTCACCCGGCTGCAGGACTCCGGATCAGCTACATCTATGTTGTTGTTGCAGGCACATGGCCGGCAAGGTGCTCCCGAAATTTTTGGATTTCCATAGAAACCAGCAGAGCATTCTCCACACTGAATACCTGAAAGAAGTGGGGAGGAAAAGGGCGTGGGGTGAGGTCTGAGTGCTGGGGGAGGGGAGAGACTGATGTAAACAGGGAATTATTGGGCTCCTCTAGGAATAATGAGAAGTCACATACTTGGGGCGAATAAGGAAAAGTATTCTAAATTAACACATTCATTTTCATTATTATTCATTTAGAGAATAAAACGATTATTCAGAGCTAAACAGTTCATGGTGAAGAATGGATTCTAACCATTCTTCAAAACCTATGGAGCTGCGGGCACAGATTTCTAGGTTCTTATATACTCGGAGTCACCCCTGTGTGCCCCAGAACCCAAAGCTAATCTCAACCCCTGCTCACCCACTCGATCCTAGGGCTGAACTATGGATAAAATAAAGCAGCCTCGCAGGGAAATTCCCAAATAGAAATCGCCTGAGATATGTGTCTAGAAGCGAAGATGAGGCAGAGCAGTACTCTTGGCGTATGCTCCCAGGAGGGTGTTTCTGGTAAGTGGAGTATGGAGAAGCCAGCCTTCTCTCCAACACTCATGACTTCCTACCAAGAGGTAACTGCAGCAGTTTAGGTGCCCAGCCTGTGGGTCCCCTCTCCACATTTTAGTTCATCCCACATGGAAACGCACTTGTAGCCCAAACATGATTTCAATTCTTATAAACTGACCAACCATGGAGAAGTGGCTACAGAGAAGAGGTAAGAATTAACTAGAGCCATGCATAACCTTAGATGTAACAAACAAGGAGAAAACCAGTCATGTAATTTATTATCATGATGGTAATTATCTCTGAAGAAAATAATAGTGCCATATTTTCTATGCATGATTAAATCAAATAGACTCCGTAAGTTTTTTTCTTATTTGCATTATGCAGTCACACTCATGGTTAAACTCTTTAAAATAAGATTTTGGATTGAGCAATAGATACAAATTTTGAGTTAAGACTTACGCAATGTCTGTACACTGCCCAAATGAGTGCTTTAAGACATCTGAGAAAATTAAGATAAATCTCTGAAATATCAAATTGATTGCTTAGAATTATATAAAGAAAGCATTGGACTAAATTTCTAATTTTTAAATTGCTTTAAATTAATTTATTTAAAATAAAATTATCACATGTTAAGATATATATATAACATATAGTATGTAATCACATATATTATATGCCATATAATAACATATAGTATGTAATCACATATATATCTTAACATGTGATAGTTTTATTTTAAATAAACTCATTTGACTTGATTTCATTTGGTCAGTTAGTTTTCTAGAACATTATTTAAAAACAGGTATAGCTCAGTGGAGTTTTTAATTGTCACTGGTTTTTGAACCTTTCAAATTCTTTGTTCAGCAAATTAGCAAATTGTGTCTTCTTACCATTTCTGGACCACTCATCTGTCCAGGGCAGATAAATTATGAACATGTGATCATTTTTCACATTGCAGCATGGGAGAGAAAGAAAAACAAAACATCATGGACGATACTGCATACCTACATAACCTTGAAGACAATTGCAGACTACATCTGAGCTCCAAAGATTCTGATAACAGGAATGGGCAAAATACTGATTGCTTGAGGGCACATCTGGACACGGGCAAGGACGACAGGGCTGTCCCGAAGAAGGATTTCCATAGTAACCATCCATGCACCTGTCAAAGCAATTTCCTTTTACCAAAATGTTCCCAGGAAAAGCTCACATGCTAGCCGATGTGGATTTGCTATGCTTTAGGACAGTGCAACTCTCAAAACTCAGTATTTTCAAGGTGCTCATTTGCTCTGTAAAAGGACTTTTTGTTTTATATTGAAAGTCTCGAGGTATAGTCATTAAACTCCATGTAATAGCACTTGATTTACATGTCACATTTGAGAAACATAAGAAGCAATTTGCCAGGTCAATGTGTGTTATCGATTTAATCTGACATTTTCTGGCTCATAAGATGATTTTAAAAGATGATGGAACAATGGTCTCCCCTACCCATCGCAGTCCTTTTACACTTGAATCCTGCTAAGTCTCTACTCAGTGGGCCACCATTGTGAGATTGGAACAAAATTGAAAACACCGAAACATTAGAGTGCATACGAATTCCATACCTTTCACAGTTTCTTCCAGTTGTAAAGCCTCCGCAATTGAAGCATGACCCTGTCTCTGGATCACAAAGCTCAGCAAACCCATTACAAGGGCAAGGGCGGCAGCTGGGAAATCCAAAGTAGCCTGCCAGGCACTGATCACAGCGGCGGCCGGCCACCTCTCCGTGGCAAGGGCACTGTCCTGTTACTTGGTCACATACCGTGTTCTTCGATCCTTGAGGATGGCAGTGACATGCTGGGCAAGGCAAAGAGAGGTGTTGGGTGGGGATCAGGTGACGCGGTGCTGAGGAGTCACAGTTCCGATTTTGTGTCCCTGTCCCAGGCCAGGGGAATACATGAGCCTGTAAAGCGCTTAGAACACAGCCTGGTACATGAGCCCCAGGTAAACATTAGTTAAATAACAATTCACTGATCCACTTAATAGCATGTTGTAAACAATTGGGCCTTATGGATATTTCTTGTTTATGCAGAGGAATTGAACTAGAGACACGTTTTTAACAACTTAAACTTCCATATATCTCAGGAGTCAAAGTATAACTTTGAGACTATCAAAATAGTAAGAACCCTTCTCAAGATGGTCAGACTGTTCTTTTTCCTAGATGAAATAGTAGAGGCCCAATCCTTTTCTGATAAATTGTTGAATCCCTTGAGCTAACCTTCCCTGTACAAAAATGTAATGCCTGTTTGTTTGATAGGCAGGCACAGGGAGGAAATGTTTGTTCTTTTATGAAGATCCCTGTGTATTTCAAGCATCTTGTAACTTTTTAAAAAAAGAATAGAGAAAGCAATGATGGGCCTGGGTGCTGTCTGCAGGGTGGGCAGCCATGCCCAGGACAGGGACCATCTCTCTGAATCAGGACTGAAAAGACAGACTCCCCTACCTGAAAGAGAAATTAACCTACCTGTAGGTTTTCATGGTTCCTAAGGTAGGTTCCCATGAGGAACAGTATTTTCACTAGTGGTTTACACTGTGAACAGAGAACTATATACTCTGTTGAATTATCAATCATGGATGAAACCCTATCTGAGCCCTTATCAGTGGGGTGGCTTACACAATGAATTCCAAGGCTGTTTGCAACTCTAGCATCAGAAAGGGCAATACCTCAGTGGGGCAGGTCTTACCTGGGGTGACAGTGTTGTCCATTTCTTGACCTCCCAAATCTCATTGTCATTTTAGCCTTCCCAGCCACTGGGCTTACATGCTCGATCATAAAGCTGGGTTTGCACAGCCAACCTCCTTCATGATGTCCCCACGTTTTACCTGCACTACCATCCATTGGGTACAGACTGCAAATGTACAGAAGCATGGACTGTGCTTTGTTCATTACTCACGGTTCCTAAGAGCTCTATACACAGTCGTGCCCACTGATGAACAGATGCATGAAGCATGGTAGAAAAATTTTCAGTATATTTTTTCTATGTAGATAGACAATCTGAATAATGTGGTCAAATTTCCAACCCCCCCCCCACCTCCTTTACAACTCCCCACATTGCTTTGCCTGCCTTCAAAATGTCAAGGTTGTAATAAACAAGTGTGTTTATTACTCGTGTTTTCTTGCTACTTACAATGACAGCCATGCTGCCCCAAACCGTAGCTTCCAGTTGAGCACCTGTCACAGCAGCGCCCGGTCACACCAGGTTTACACTGGCACTGGCCTCCAAGTCGGCTGCAGCTGGACCCAACCGAGCCCTGGGGGTGACACTCGCAGGCTGCAGGGAACAAAGGAAGAGAGGAAGAGGTGAAGGAAGTGGCAGAGAAGCACCTTGCCTTGTTAGTTCACTTCTCCTTCATTTGAGACCTCTCAAATCCTCCTCTCCCTCCACTTCTAAATGGGGCTAACACAGGCTCTACCTCATGGGATTGCTGTATGGATCAAAGGCAGTGTGGTCTGTGAAGTACTTACAACCGTGTTTGGCTCATAGAGTGCTCAATAAACATTACTTAAATTAATAAAAGGCTTAAACTAAATTGTTTTAGGTAATTAATTATTCTAATGTAATTATTACTATTGGTATTATTACTTCAATTCCTAATGCTCTGCACTGGTGCTGAAGTATGTGCCTCTTAGTTTCTGATTTTCCTTATTCCATCTATTTCATGAGTTGGATGACACCTTGACTTCATAGCTCTGTCCTCACGGACAAAGCATTTGCCTGGAACTCAGGAAGCCTCGGCTGCCATTGTAGCTGTCACTCTGTAGCAGTGCTTCTCAACTGAGGGACAATTTTGGCTCCCTGGAGACATTTGACAAAGTTTGGAGACATTTTTGGATGTCACAACTCATGTAGGTTGATACTGGTATCAAGATAGATAGGGCTGCTGCTCAACACCTTATGGTGCATAGGGCAGGCCCCCGCGACAAAGAATTATCCAGCTCAAAATCTCAATAGTGCCCAGGATGAGAAATCTTTCTCTATAGTTAAGTGAAATGGGCAAGTTACATAATGATTTGGGGCCCTTATATTGAAATTTCATTAATTAAATGAAGATTTTTGGATGAAAGAAGTTGTTTAGCGTTCCTTCCAGCCACCAAATTCTAGGATTCTGCATGAATATTTTAGGACCATTGTTCCAACAATCTAGCATTCCAATGCTACTGCAAGGCTGCTCCTTTATACATTTGCCGAACCATGCGCTGCGATTCCAACATATCAGCACACTGCTCTGCTTATCTAATCATCGGGGGGATGGGTATTTTGGTTGTTGTTTGGAACGGATACTACACTAAATCGATTTCTGCACATTCCAAAAAGCATTTGTACAGATATCAGTGCTTCGGTAGAGCCCGTTAAGCAGATACTCACCCACCGCGCCATTGTGTAGCTTGGCAGACATGCTGGCCATAAGCCTTTCACACGCACCGGGGAGCACTTGAGGTCCTATTTCCGAGGCAATTTCCACACAGTTGTGCAGCTGATACTCATCTATGTCCCGCTTGCTGCAGAAATTCTCCAATGAATTGATTTGGGGAATAAGGCCAAGCTTTTGAAACAATGACAAAAGAAGACTTATGTTCAAACTATCTGCTATTCAAGATTCTAGTTATATAAAAAAAATAGATCTATGAGAATAATGGTTCAAAGGAGACTCAATCCAATCCTTTAAATTGCTTAGGACTGTAAAGTTTTAAGATTTTCAATTTATTTAAGAAATCTTTAAATATTTATATTAATTGACTTATGGCAAAGAAAAGACAACAAGCTTTTATCTTTTTACCGTCATTATTATTATATTTTTTTACTTGCTAAAAAATTTTGTCTTAGCTTTGAAAAACTTTTAATTAGGCTTCTTCTGATAAATTAAGAAATTATGGCTTAGACACTGCATCCCATAGTGTTGCTGTGGAACTCCAATTTCACAAAATTCTCAACATGTAAACAGTAGTGTTCGACATCACACTAAATTGGTCCCTTGGAGATTCACAGCATAGATTAGCATATCAAAGGCTCTGAAAAGTCCTGCAAGAAAGACAGTTTTTAAACTTAGCGTTTCTACACTTATTTAACCATTTAATCCTATGTCTAAATAGTACTTTTTAACACGCCAAGAAACCAATATTTCATGGGTACACTTTTGTAATTGCTGGCTTAGGCCATATAGCTACTGTGGGGGCAAATGCATCGTTATAAGCTTATTCTCAAATAAAACTCATCTAGAGTTAATACCTATGTGAAGAAAAGCTGTTCAGGTATATATTTTAAGAAGAGTTTATCTAGGTCATGATCTAATACTATTCAAAATGCTTATTAATGGCTTTGGAAGATACAGTAGGGAATGTGTTGGTAAAGCATATTGACCACATCAAGTTGATCATTTTGAACAACTGGCGTTACAAACAGCATTGAAAACAGGTTTTAATTTGGCAGGTCAAGCGAGGAGACTGAACCTGGCAGCACAGGGAAATCTCCCCGGTCGTCCTTTTGCTTTGTCCATCCTGAAGCTAGTTTCCATGGCCCTTTGCTTCAGCCATCCCCAGTCTTTCCCTAAGTGTCCTTTGACACTCCAAGCTGCTGGAATTTCAACCCTAGATGACTTCAGTTGACCCTCGAACACCACAGGATTGAACCGTGCAGGTCCAATTACAGGCAGATTTTTTCCGCCTCTGCCTCCCCTGAGACAGCAAGACCAACCCCTCCTCTTCCTCCTCCTCCTCAGCCTACTCAACGTGAAGATGATGAGGATGAAGATCTTTATGATGATTCATTTCCACTAAATGAATAGTCAATATATATTCTCTTCTTTATGATTTTCTTAATAACATTTTCCCTTTAGCTTACTTTGTTGTCAGAATACAGTATATAGCACACATAACATGCAAAATATGTGTTAATCAATAGTTTTTAACTTACTGGGAAAGCTTCCGATCAACCGTAGGCTATTAGGAGTTACATTTTGAGGGTCAAAAATTTTACGTGGGTTTTCAACTGCTGGCAGGGGATGGCCCCCATCACCTCACGCTGTTGAAGGGTCGGCCATATTCACAGTGCGCCTGCTCCTCCAGCCTCTGCCCCCATCCTCCCTGCACTCTCAGCTATGTTGTTGCCTCTTACTCCTCTTACTTCACAGAGAAAATAGACCCCAGCAAAGGGACTGGCGCCTCCTATTCCTGCCTCCCAGACTCCAGACTCCCAGGAATTACCACCTGTCCTGGGCTCTTAGTGCTTAAGCAGAAGAGGTGTCCCCACTGCTCTCTCCTCTGCCCTCCAGAAACCCTTCTGTGCACAATGCTTTCCTCTTTGCTCTCTGCCTCTTAGCCGACACTTAAATGGGCTTAAGTCTCTCCCATCTGCAAAGTCACCTCCTTGATCTCATAGGTTCCTCCTGTTACTGCCCCCACCTCTGCCCCTTGACAGCCACATTTCTTGAAACTTGATTTCCTGCTGCCCCTCTCCCTACTCACTCTTCACGCCGATACAGTACCTCTGCCCCAACCCATCCCTGAATGTTGGGGTCCCTCAGGGTTCTCTCATCAGCCCCCTTCTTACTCCACAACTACCTCCTAGGGGGATAGGGGCCTCGGCAGCACCGTGCTGCCATCTGTAGGTGGAATTGATGTCTCCCGCTCACCGTGGTGAGCTCCGGGTCTGCCCTGAGCTAACTGCCGGCTGGCTGTCCCACAGGCTCTGCAAACCAAACACGCCCCAAACTCACTTTCCTTTCTGTGCCACCCCCTGCCGAGTTGCTCAGTGCAGAAAACTGATGGTGGTCATCTTTGACACCTGCCTCCTGGCCATCAGCACTCGCCACCCGCATCAAATCAGTCACAGCCTGGGTGGTCCTACCCCTTAGATGTGTCTAGGAGGCATTTATTGCTCTGTTCCCCTGCCACTTCCTGAATTCAGGCCACCTGCGTTACCACAGTGGCAGCCCCACAGATGTCTCAGCCTCCACTCTCGCGCTCCCAATCAATTTTCTATACCACAGTCACAGTGATCCTTTCAAATGCAGTTTGTTCAGATAATCCCCATCTGAACTTTTCCACGGCTTCCCATTGCCGTAGGGTAAAATCTAAACTGAGAGGATGCTGTTCTCTCCCCACTCCCATCCTCTTAGGTCACTGGTTCTTAGTATGGGAGGCATCACCACCCGCCTAAGGAGCATTTTGGAAATTCGTGGGGGTGGCTTTAGTTGTCACAGTGATTGGGTGGAGTTCAGTACTGGTATTTAGCAGGTGGGAGTCAGAAATGTGAGACATTCTCACGAAACAGAATGTCCCCAACAGCTTTTGAATATTTCACTGAACATCCATGAAGGAGAAAATCCTGTTCCCAATGGTCTGAGCTGAGAGCCTAAGTCTATTTTTTTTTTTTTAACATGTAAACATGTTTATAACACAGCTGTTTTCATGGCTGTCTCATAGATAGTGAGTCTACATCTTATGAGCATCTTCCTATTTCATTATATCTTCTGGTGTATTCATGCCTGTGCATATACATACTGAAGTCCAGATGATTTATTTATTATTTTTTATTTTTCCTCTGTATTAATATTGGCACCTTACATTGGTATTATTTAGAAGTTATAGGTACACGGAGGCTATGAATTTCATTTCAAGATAGCAAAGAAAGTTAGAAAGTATTTGTAATAAAAAGGGGAGGTTGGAGCAGATGAGGTTGAGAACCACTGCACGAGTGACACTGAGCTTTTTGGGTCAGTCCCTGCCACAGCCCCCAGGACCTCGCACCCCACCCTGTCACCACCTGCTTGTCTGTATCCCCCCTTCAGAGAGTGAGCCCCCGGGGCGGCAGGGATGGCACATGTCTTAACATCTATGCCTACTACCGTATCTGATTTTTACTAAGTGCTTCATAAAAATCTGCTCAATAAAGAAGAATATTTACATTTCTACTATTGTATCTTTAAGTTGATACTAATAGGACTGCATTCTCCAAACACAGACCAAGTGGGGAGAGACGAAGAAGAAATCCAGATGGGCTAGGGCTGGGGACGAGGGCAGCCAACCACAGATTGTTTACAGCTATTGGTCTGAGCCGGTTTGGAGCTGACCATTCCTGGAACTCAGCAGATGTACCAGATGACAAGAGTCCCTGTCAGCTATAGGATTTTTGTAATGCATGACTCATTTCTTCTCCTAGAAACTTCTAAGTACTTTATGTTTACCAAGTGTAGTCCATTCCAGTTTCAAAAGAAGAATGGCAGTTTTATATTCTAGAATGCCTAATATACTTTTGATTCTAAACACAGTTTTAGAGAAGCACATAGCATGTAATCTGGATGACTAAACCCAAATTTCAACTGCCTCACTATGCTTGCCAAACAAAAGGCGTTTGTGCAGAAGGAGCACCCGCGGTTGAACAAAGGTTTCATTTGGTCTTCTCGGTCATATACTCTGGTCTTAGCTGCAAATGTTAATCTGGCTGCAGAGGAGAATGAACTTTGAAAGGGCCAAGTCCCAAGCAGTCGAGTGTCTTATTCCCCAGAGCAGCAATAGTGGTGGTGTGGTATTAATGGCAACAGTCTGTAATAATGAAATGTGCAATGAATTCTCCTACTGGACGTTTTGGGGTGGGGACTACAGAGGACACTGGAGGTGCCCGGCCTGGATCCTCTTTGGCAGGCTGGTGTATCCACCCTCCAGCTGCGGTGACATGGGCTCCTAAAAGGGTCACAGCTGTCCCCGTCAGAAAACTGTACTCAGCCACCTGACCCAGGAGTTTATATACTCACTGAGTGGTGGTGGTGCAGGTGATGGTGCTGATGACATGTAGCCAATGACTTCTGTGCATGTAGGCTCACCCCTCTGCCTCCAGGTGGGTTCAACTCTGTGGTGCAAACCCTGCTCCAGAGCTCCCCGAGGGGCCAGACTGAAGCCATGCTGCAGCGAGACCACATCCTTCCTTCCCCTGCCCTCTCCTAGTTGCCTTGCTCCTCTTCTCCCACGAACACACCCTCAACAAATCACATGCGCCTGAGTCCCTGTCTCAGCTTCTGCTCTTAGAGAATCTGACCTAAAACAGGAGTCTAGGGCCTTATCCCAGGTGTCTGAAAGTTTGCAAAGATCAGATTGCTCTCTTAATTTTTATTCGGGCTTCAGGGTTTTCCATAGCTATATGTAAGGGAATGATTGCCTGAAAACTGATCAAATGGATATATTTAAAAATTAAGTTCAAATCATTCACTTATTGCCTCTATTGAACGTTGTTGTAATGATTTCATTTACATGTCTGTATTCTGTATCAGGCTGAGAATTCTTTAAAAACCACATTCCACACCCCAGGACCTCACAGTGCCTGGCCCGTGTCCACTCAGTGAATAGGTGATGAATGGATAATTTGGACAGATGCATTTAATACGGCATCAAGTGATAGTCTTTGGAATTTATAAAGTTTAAAAATATTTAGAATATGTATTTAAAATGAGAAGTATGTTGGTTCTTATACATTTGAGTTTCATGATTATTATAACACCCTTAATGACCTAGGACTTCTTGAGTTTCTTCACTAATTTCACTAGTTTCTACACTGTGAACCTTTCTTTACTTTGCCTTGGTTCCCAACTTTTAGCATTTTTTCCCCCTAAATTAAACCTGTTGGATTTGATTTGTTTCCTTTTGCAAATCACTTATTGGTTCATGAGTGCAGTTCTATTTAAAGCTCCTCAGAGGAGATGAGTTATTTCGATAGTGAAATCATGATAGCTTAAATTTCCCATTTAAGAGTTTGTTTCTGCTTTCTACTTCATTTCTACCATAATATAGTAGAACCTTACCTAAACTCTTACACAGCCATCCATGTGCAGGTTGTAGACCACCTTTGGTTAAGGTTGCCTGATAAAATGTGGCTACAATGTCTCTGTGCAACTATTCAACTCTGTGTTTTAGCTTGAAAGCAGCCATACATGATATGTAAGCAAACAGGCCTGGCCGTGTTCCAATAAAACTTTGCTGGGCTATAGTTTGCCACTTAAATCATGATTTCAGGAGATTCTCACAAATATTCAAAAATGCGATTTTAACGAAGCAATTTGATTTTTATCCATGAAATTACCTTTTATAAATTCCCCACAATTCTATACAATTCTGTTTAAGGTGGGATAAAACTGGTATTTTTATACTTTTCTGAGGATCCTGAAAATTAATTGGAGAATGTTTTCTAGAAAATATTTTGACAATTATTTCAAGAGCCATAAAACCTTGAGTAAAGTAAGGAATACATTTAAAAATATTTTAAAAATACGTATCAAATATACATGGTAGTAAAAAGCAGAAGCAACTTACACAACCACGAATAAGGTAATAGATGAATAAGTAAATATACTGAATGCCCCAACTCTGCCCAGCGACAAGCCTGGCTCTGAAGGGCTGCACAGAGTAAGAGGTTTGGAAGGAATGCCTATGGCCCAACTCTGGGGAAAGATGCTAAAAGAAATCACTCAGGAAATATTTTGCATGGTTCCTAAAAAGGATCGGAAGACTACATAAGTATCATAAGAAATGCTTATGATAAAATGTGAAGTGAAAAAAATCCATATACATAATTTTATGAGCATTCCGATTACAATGATATGAAAGCATAGTATGTATACAGTGGGAATTTACAAAATGAAAATAATTTAAGTGGTTGGCTTTCTACCCTAAGTGCTCTATAATGCCAGCATGCTGCAATGGCTCAGAGCAGGGATCTGCGACCAGGCAGCGTGGCTCTCATTCCTGACTCGCCAGCCCTGCGACCCTGCATCTCTGATTCATCACCTGTAAAATCATGACAGTACCTATCTCACAGGGTTGCTGTGAAAATTAAATAATATGATACATACAACACTTCATTACTGGGACATACTGTTATGTAAGATTTGCAATTGCTATTAGATGACTTTCATAATGAAGCAAAGACATTTATATTTTTCCAGAAACACTTCACCAGGGAGTCTAAAAGTAGAATGATAATGGTGCTCAGCTGAGAATGAAGCATCCACAAAGCTCTGTGATACTTACAGAATCAACCAGGATGTGTGGATGAGTGTGGGACTCTCCCTCCAAAGGCTGGGAAAAATAGACATCGATGGAATAGTGTACATCTGGCTCTAAACAGATGGGTGTGGGAAGGAGCATGATTCTGCATTAAGAGAAATAAAGCAAAAGTTCAGTGACAAAAGTACAATCATATTACCTAAGTAGCCACAGTACGTGGTAGCGTTCCACTTGTGCCGTGAAGTGGGTGCCACTGTGGGGTTGAGGCCAGGTCCAGGTCTAGACCAGCACAGGTGGGTTGGCTGGATGGTGAATTCACACTTACATCCTTAGTGGCTCCTCCACAGGTTTTTGACAACTAGCAAAGTCTTAGAAACCATTGGCCATAGGTTGTCTTGACAGCTCTGGGGAAAGGATGGGATAGATATCCTTCATTCCGTCTGTCACACTGATACCAACAGGGTCTCTGTTTTGTTTTGCCACAAATCTCTGATGAGGCAGAGTGAGTGGCCTCAAAATTAGTAGCTTCTTACCTCATAGACTCTCAGCTGTTAAGACTACTCAAGCTGAATATTTTATTGTTATTCCTGTAACATTTTACTTTTTCACATTTCCAAGCCACTTGGGGGACTGGAAAAGGAACATTCTGGATTTAGAGTCAGGATATCTGGGTTGGAATCCTGGTTCTGCTACACACTAGCAATGAGGGCAAGTCATTTGAGTATTCTTCTTCTTAATTTCTTCTTCACCTGATAAAGACAAAATCTACTTCACCAAGTTATGAAGATTAAATGTGATATTAAATATACTGCATAGTGTAGCACACAGTAAGTGCATAATAAATATTATAGTCTTCTACAACACTTTTCTTCCACTTAGTTCCCAGATACAAATTATTGATGCAGGAATGAAATCCCAAGAAAGCTTCAGTGTTTGAGGTCAGGTCCCAACATACCTGGCAGCCGCTGGCAAGGCAACAGACGCAGGCTTTGGCTGTGGAGTCTTGTGGGTACAGTACTTGTGCCCTCCGGCGGGGTTCACCATGAGCTGGACAGCCCAGTCAGCTGCAGACTAGATGGGCACGACATGAAAGCACGTCACCGTGAGGATGCAGGAAACTTTTTTGCACTTACTCATATATACCTAATGGATAGGACATGAATTGAATTTGCAACCCACAGGCTACTTGGAAAATAGAGCTTTGGAGTTGAAAGAAGTCTTAGAGGTTTGCTCCTGGGCCCAACTCTCTGGTGTCTGAATCGTGATCCAGGCAGAAAGAACACTGTTTCTGGCTATAGCTATACTCACGGGCCTGGAAATACCCTAACCCTCCTGACAGGTCTAAATTTTCAACACCCATCTTCCAAAGAGTTGACTAATTCATCATGTCCCAGATTGCAGAATAATGATTTGGCATCATTCACTAAAGGATATATATATATATCCTTTATATATAAATATATAAAGGATATATATTTCTATATATATATAAATACATAAAGGATATATATTATATATTATATAAAACATATATATAAATATATAAAGGATAAATATATATGCATGTTATATATATTCACATACACATGCATATATATACATACAGAGAGAGAAATATGCTAATTAGCTATATTCTGGAAGCCTTACAATTTGGAAAAGCTTTTTAAAGTTGTCAGGGATATACTCTCTCCATGGAAAAATTAATCTATTTTTTTCTTTTTTAATGGCTTTCTTACATTCACCAAGTCAAAGTACATTGAGCTCCCTCGGCTTTCATTTGTAAGTGAGAAGTAGAGAATTATGTTATATTCAGAATTTCAAACACAGTTTCTAGCAGGAGTTCAGAGCCTCTAAGATCACACCCACCTCCAGCTGTAGAAAATACTTTGTAAGGGAGATGGTTGGTGGGTTTCAGATTACCAAAGAAAAGGTTAGGAACCACTGATCTAGATCAAGTATTTTTCTAATTTGGTTTCTAGTCTGTCTTAGATATTCCTTGACAGGCAGGAGGTGGGAGTGGGAGGCAGCAGAGGTGAATGCTTTTAGTCTTTCTCTTGTTGCAGGGCAAGATCCAAATGCAAGTAAATGTCCCTTCTGTGTCGTCTGTGAGCCTGACTCTGCACATTTGTTGGTTTATTAAATTTCTGGAAAAAAGTCCCAGGAGGACAGGATTCATGTTATTTTTGTTGTTTATTGTTCTTATACAAACATTCAGTCACCACTTCCTTAAACCTGGTACCTTAAATATACATAATAACTCCAGCTTTAGCTTCTCTCCCTGGGATCAAGCATGTGTGCATATGGCTCACTGTGTTGCTTCAATGTCTCTAGGAAACGCTTTGGTTTATAACACTCTCCAGATGTTCTACTTTTTGCACATCATTTCATGATGAACCTTTTCTAGCAAGGCTGAAATGAAAACATTTAGTTTGAGAGTATAGTTCGGTCAGTTTTTACCATTGAAGAAGTTGGAGTTTAAGGATACCTGGGCTTCGTAGCGGATGGCCACAGAGAAATCCATAGGAAAGGGAATGTTTCTGACGGCAAATCTCAAGCCAGCCCCAGGGAGGACCCTGGCAAATCCGGGTCCAGTCCATGTAACAGGGTTCCCCGGAACTGGCTCTCGTAAAACAGTGCGAACTGCAGGCCTCTTGCCAAAAGTCACCGAGCTCTAAAATGGAAGAGGAATGTAAATAGCCTTGCCTACAGTCAAGGCCTAGAAGAGTTCAGGAAAACAAAACAAAACCAACCACCCCAAAACCTAAACCACCACTACCCTCCTCCTCCCCACATTTCCTGGTGTGTATATGATTCATTTGAGTCACGGATAAATTATTCCAACCGGGATACGGTCCAGAGTCCAGCTGAGAATAATGTGCTGAAACTGCAGCTTTGGAACATATGTGACTGTATAGAATGACTGATTTGAAAGCAGTGTCACTAGAAGCCACTTTAATTTTAAATACCCCATGTATTAATGAACTGAGCAAATCCCACACTGCCGCCCTTGGGTGTTCTCAGATACGATTGTGGAGTTCTGGCCAAAATATGGACAGAAAAGAATAGTCCCAGGCCTACTTTATAGATTTTGCCTAATTGTGCATGATAATGAGAAAACCCACATGGATTTATTTTCTAGATATTTCTCCTATGCAAACATGGGAGAAATGCTCCTCTTCTGTCTACTTGGGGGCATATAAGTACAAACCTCCTAAAACACTTGACTGATTAGAATCCCTGATGGTCTCTATACTGGACGTCAGCCTGAGGCCATCTGGACCCTGTAGATAATACATCTTTAATTACTTTTGCATCTGCCTCTCCACACTCAACAGTCTCCACTCAAATTCCTCCTCTTGTTTCTCTTGTTTCTTGCAACAGTCTCTTTCTTGGCTCTGCTCTCCTCTCTCTCCCTGATCCAATACATATTATGAATGCATGCCTCTGCCAACAAAACAATTCAAACTCTAACTGCCAACAGAATAACGCCCAAGTAACTTATACTGGAGTTCAAGTTGCTCTGTGATCCACACCAAACTGCTCTTCATTTGTTTGTTTAGTAACAATTAAGCACCAGCCTCTGAATTAGGAATGCAAAGATAAATAGGATGGAGCTCCAGCCATAGAGGACTTTAGAATCTTGCATTTAAAGGGAGAATGTAAATAAGCAACTGTTCTACCACATTTGGTTTTAATAGACAGGCATATGTAAAGTCATCCATATGTAATGTTTTTCAAACAGTTAAGACACATGAGAAATTGTGGTAGACACACTACGTTCCCCTCCCAGATCCCCTTTACCTGGTCGGTGCACCCAGCCCCCAGTTGCTGTGTACATGGCTGCTAACAGTTCACAGTTGACCCTTGCTCTGGAGAGCTGCTCTCTCACATCTCCCTGGCCCCTACAGCCATCCCCCAGGGAACTCACAGCCAATAACGAACTGATACGAGGGTATAAAAGCCTGGCCCTGTTGTCTCAAAGGGCAGGAGGACTTGGATTGCAGTTTATGCTCCTGAGCTCTTCTGAGGATCAACCCAAGGTTTGTTTTGCCTGACACCACTTCTTACTCTGCCCTTTTTTTTTCTGTCTTGTTTCCTTCATTGTCTTAAAGAGTATTCCTGAAGAACACTTGCTTAATAAATCACATGCAGCTAAACCTCATCTTAGGCTCTGCTTCTAGGGCACCTGACCTGAAACAGTTGATACCAGTTTACCTAAAAGTAGATCCAGAGATGCGATTCTGGAGGTGGATAATTTACTGTTCAGGTGGCAATGAGGACCCCGGTATGCAACGTGTACTGACAATCCCTGGCATGCAGTAGTGGGGTGATTGCTAAAACTGTCACCTGTGGAGAACTGGGGTAAGATAAAAGGGAAAGTAGAGGAAATACTGACTTGAGCAGTATTTCTGGCACTGAAAGATATGGGAGACATGGTAATTATAAGGACTGTGGAAATGAGTTGCTGTTGTTGAATATCTTTGATGAGAGAAAATGACAGGCTCAGGATAATCACCAATTTAAAGCAAAGTATGAGAATCAGAGGGCCTCTTTGGGGACATGCTCATTAAAGAGATGCCCATCTCCTTAAGGGCAGGAAGAGCTGAAGGTTAGGCAAAAGACTTAATTGTAAGAGTTGCAGAACTTCAGAGAAGGCCAAAGTATCAGCCTAGGTAAATTACCTATGCAAACATGCAGATTTCTTGGCCAGGCCCAGATTCTCTGATGTATTATCTCCAGGGTCAGGCCCTGGAATCTGCATCTTAAACTCCCCAGGTAATACTTATGCACGGTGAGATCTGAGGCCACAGGGATAAGGGGAGGTGTGTGGTGACTCATGCTCTGCTCTTCTCTTTCAGGTGAACCTCAGATTGAGGAGAGCTACTCCCAGCATAGAGTCAGAGAAGGCTCCATGGGGATGCGGTGTGGGAACAGAGGCTTCCTCACACAGAAGCAGTGGGAGACATGGGTTCATGCACATGAGGACCTTGAGCCTCAGGTTCTCCTCAGCACTCTTAGACTACAGATAGAACCCACTTGCTGGTAATGGAAAATAGAGCCACCATTGTACTTCCACCACATTGCAGACAATGTAGAAATCTCAAAGCATACAGGAAGCTTATAAGAAAATGCATGCCTTCCTCAAGATCTGCCTGTGCTACCCCACCTGACCACTGGCCCAATACTTAGGGTCAAGTCTCAGCATGTCAGAGTGGGAAAGTACTGGATCTTTGAAAGAGATTACAGCCAAAGGAGCTGCGGGATCTGGCCAACATGTACCACTAGCAACTGGGAGGGAATGGCTGAGTATGTATCCTGAGGAGAGTATGAAACTGAATAAGGGAGAGTTTGTATATTTGGGGCCACCTGTGCTATAGGATTTGGTAGCTGTGCAAAGGCCCTGGGAGATGAATCTAATATGTTACTTGAGTAACTATTGGAAGCTTGGCCACAGTCATGGCCCAGAAGAAATGAAGTTGAAATGCCAGAACTGCTGTAGCAGGTTGGAGAGAGGAGACAAGGCTCAAAGTAGTTGGGATGCTAGAATCGATTTCAGGTACAAGACCAGAAAACCCACCAGCTAACATGTTCCTGGTGGGGGAGGGGCTGGTAGACTCTATCCACCAAGACAGCAGGGATGAACTGGAGAAGACCAACAGTGTCACTGAGAAGCTGGGTATGACTATCCTCTGTGGACTAGTACAAGGTGTACTATATACTATTAAATATTACAAAACTGAGTTCCTTATTGTCAAGGTCACTGCAGGAGTCCAGGTTATCAAAGTCTGGGTAATAGTATTTAACTCTTGAAAGCAAGATGGCTATAATTGTTATGCTGGGCAGCAAGGCTGGCATGAGAGACAAGGGGGACTGACCCACAGGAATCTTCTTTGGAGATGGTTAATAGAACATGGTGTTCCTGGGAGCAAGATCGATGGTCAGTCAACAAAAGTATTGTTTAATGTATATAATCACAAGTGAGCAAGTATGAATCAGCAGAAGGCTGAGGTCAGCTGCACCATGGAAAGACATGATCTTTTGCCAAGTTTCTAGATTAGAGCCACTTCTTAGACAAGGGTTCTTCAACATCACAGCAAGTGTGATTCTCTTACTCATTCTCCAAAGAGATCTATGGTTATTTACTTGAGTAACTGTCTATTGAGGAAGGGGACAGACCCATGTCTTTCAGTGTTAGTGGATACAGGATCTGAGTTGATGCTAACAACCAGGTACCCAAAGTGCCCTCAGAGTGTCCCTTTTATGGTTTTTTTTTTTTTTTTTTCTCACTTTGTTGTCCAGGCTAGAGTGTTGTGGAGTCAGCCTAGCTCATAGCAACCTCAAACTCCTGGGCTCAAGCAATCCTTCTGCCTCAGCCTCCCAAGTATCTGGGACTACAGGCATGCACCACTGTACCCAGCTAATTTTTTATATATATTTTTAGTTGTCCAATTAATTTCTTTCTATTTATAGTAGAGATGGGGTCTCGCTCTTGCTCAGGCTGGTTTCGAACTCTTGACCTTTAGCGATCCTCCCGCCTCAGCCTTGGCCTCCCAGAGTGCTAGGATTACAGGCGTGAGCCACCGTGCCCGGCCAGAGCACCCCTTTTAGAATAGGGGCGTATGTGGGTCAGGGAATAAATGGAGTGCTGTCCCAGGTCCCTTTCATAGTGAGTTCATTGGATTTACAGAACCACCTATTGATAATTTCCTCGAATTCCTGAATATATAATTGGAATGGACCTGCTTTGTAGTTGACATTGGTTCTTTGACCTGTAGGGTAAGAGCTCTTATAGTAGGAAAAGCCAAGTCAAAGCCTATGACATGAGCCCCCACCCTTCCCACTGTCAAGCACAATAGTACGTAAGAAGCAATATTGCAACTCAGCACATCCTCAAAGTGCCATTCTCAAGACTTACAGGATGAAGAACTGGTAGTTCCCATCATATCCTCCTTGAACTCACCAGTCTTTTCCCTGCAAAACTTGGTGGATCACTGGTAGATGGAAGTGAATTACCACAAATTTAACCAAATTGTAGCCCCACTTGCAACTGTTGTGATAGATGGAGTATCTTTACTAGAGGAGATTACTACAGCCTATAGTACATGCTGTACAAAAATGTGTTATTTTCCATACCTGTAAGGAAAAAAATAGCAACAGTTTGCATTTATTTGGGATGGGCAATATTGTGTGTTCACTGTCTTGTTCCAGGGCTATGTTAATGCTCCGACTCTCTATCACAACATAGCCTAAAAGGATCTGAACCATCCAGATATTCTACAAAATATCACACTAATCCCCTATGTTGAGGCTAGTGAAGTGGGTTCATTTGCCCAAGGTGGTGTTATGTGTTCTCCCACAGGGAGAATCAGCACTCTGTGGCCTTGGCTGGCACTACTTTGAGGGCTCTGAGTGTCTAATTCACAAAGGTAGGAAAACATAACATCTCCTCTGCACAAGGGATCCACTTTGTGTAGAAGAAGTTCAGCAAAGGTCATGTGATCTTGGGATCCACTGCCCCTACACAAACCATACCACCCAGAAGATGCTGGCCTGAGAGGGCAGTGGAATGGAGCCCCTTAAAGATGTAGCTGACACATCAGCTTCACTAGCTTGGCAATGGCACCCTATGAGATGGGGCAGCATTCTTCAGGATGCTATGTATTCCCTCAATCAAAGGCTGTTACGTGATGCTATATCCCAGTAGGTAGAACACATGAGTTTGGGAACCATGTAGGATTAGCCATGCCCACCATCACTCCCAGTGACCATGGGAATTTGGGTTTCTAGTCATTGTAACTTCAGGCTCTGTGGGTCTAGAGGTCTGGATTCTTGGATGGGGACAAAGAGTTCCACTAACCTTAAAGCCATGGCTGCTGCATGGTCACATGGGCTCCTCATGCCAGAAGACTAGCAATCACAGGAACCATAACTGATGGGGGGACTTGAGGAATATATATGGCACTAAGGGATCCACTGGGGCATCTCCCATACCTGTGGCCTGATAAGGGTATAGTAAGCAGGGGCTTCAAACTCTGAGGACTGAGGGGATGAGTCATCTCACCCAGAAGTGCTAGTCGAGAATAAGAAGAATCTAGAATGGATGGAGAGGTAGGAGGGAGACAATATCAATTGTAGCAGCTAGAGGCTATAGTCTGTCCTACTAATGTCCTTTTGTAAACTTCCCCAGGACTTATGACCAATCAGAATCCTGGAGAAGCTGTGCCTGCATGTAGTGAATTTAATAGGAGGAGGAAATGCACAGGATCAGCAGCATGGCTGTGCAACTGCATAGTTCCCAGGGCCCCATACTCAAATGGGCTCTATGCTTGGTTTAATGCTTGTCACTCTTCTGAAATAATAATAATTTTCCTTTGAACTTGCTTATAAGTGAAGTCTTGGACGATGGCATGTGCACATGAGCAGAAGAGATATGCATGTGTATCTGCTTCTTGTGGCCCCAAGGAAAGATCTAGAATGGATGGAGAGGTAGGAGGGAGACAATATCAATTGTTGACAGAACACATAGCAAGAAGTGAAATAAAAACAGTGGAGTTAGTTTTGTGCAGCCTTCCCACTGTTCTGGCGAGAACAACAAACATATGTACATATGACTGCAAATCGACAACGTGGATAGGAATACAAATTTGGTAATTCAGTGATCCAGAACTCTCAAGTTTGCAGTTACAATAGCATTGCATGATACAAAGATGAATGATAAAATTCATACTAATAATTTAAATCTAAATTTATATTTTAAATATAAAATATATTTAAATTTAATTTATATTTTAATATAAAAACAATTTAATTTTTAATAGATTTTATACAGAATGACATTAAATCAGCAAAATAATAAACAGTATGACAGGTTGAGAGAAGACCATGAAAGAAAGCAAAATTTTATATTTCAGTGCCTTCAATGGCCCTTTTCCTGGTTTTTGAAGAGGAGCCCTGTAGGTGGGTCTGAGCATGCAAGGATGCAAGGAGTGAGCATTCGTAGATGCTGTTGGTCTGTAGCCGGTACCCGTGCCTGGGCAACCATCTGCCAACTCCTGGACTGTTGGCTGCTAAGTCCATGACTGCCACCTTCTCTTGAGATTTGCCCTTAATTGATGAGATCCACCTCGCCTGGAAGGTCATCCACATCTGCCTTGGCAGCCCAAACCAATGACTGGCTGATAAGGAACACAGCAGGCGCCCTGTACCTCATGGGGGCAGCTCTGTGGTGTGATTTAAGCTTTGGAGCTTCCCTGGAGGATGAGGCCCAAAGCTAGACTCTATCCCAGCCCTCACCCTTTTCTCACCTTTCCTCATTTGCTAGCCTATTGCCCCATGCCACCATAGGTTTTCCTGATGCGCTCCCTCAGTAAAACACATGCGTTGGAGCTCTCTGAGCCTCTTCTGGTTTGGAGTGCTGCCCAATTAAAAAAAAAATAAAAAGGAAAAAAAACACACACACCTGAATCACTGTTGTAATCTGCTTCGAGAAACTCAGCCTGAGGCAGTGTGTACACACTCACACATGTGCATGCACACAACACACGTATGTAAAATTGAAAAAAAAATTCACACAAAATATGACCTTATCATGTTTCCTTCTATTGTGCTAAACTGACCCACTGAATTGATTCCATGGCACTTACTGACTGGAATGACTCGCACTTTGAGTATTACTGCTCTACAGGACCCTTGAGACGGAAACAATGAATGATGTCCAGATGTCAGGGTAGGGAATGTTAGAGAAAGATAAATATGAACTGAATCTTAGGGATGAGTTGAAGTTTTCCAAATCAATAACACACAGGTGGAGGTTTCAGGCAAGAGTTAGGAGAGTGTGTAGTGTTAGAGCAGCGTTTCTCACAGTGCTGCCATGAACCACTTGTATCAGATCATCTTGGGGTGCTCAGCAAACATGCAGATTTCTCAGCCAGGCTCAGATTCGCTGATGTGGCATCTCCAGGCTCAGGCCCTGGGATCTACATTGTCAACAAACTCCCCAGGTGATGCTCGTGCTCAGTAAGACTTGAGGATCACTGATCTGTGCCACAGGGATAAGAGGAGGGCAATAGTGACCCATTCCCCAATCTGCTCTCTTGGGTGGAGTTCAGCTTGAGTAGAGCTACCTCCAGCCTAGAAAATCAGAGAAGCCTTCATGGGGATGTGGCGTGGAAACAGGGATGTGACGTGGGCACAGAAACAAGCCCTGATGATGGGTGTGTGCGGACCACGCAGCAGGAACTCTGACCCTCTCAGCTGGAGGATTCCTCCTTCACCTGAGGTCCATGCCGCCTTATATGTGGCTCTTTTATGATACTTAACCCACCCTGGCATGCAGATGTTTGAGTCTAGGGCTCATTTCCTCCACAACAAGCTTAAGGGTCTAAGTGTTTCTGTTTTCATTCATTCAACCATTTCGCTCACTTGAGAAGTGCTCCTATGTGTAAAGGAGCTGTTTCAGGCGCTGGGTTTGGGAACAAGACAACCTGGTTTGCTTTCGCTCACTGCTCCAGCATAGCCTTTGTGCACATACACCAGGGAATGCTCAATAAGGATCTCAGTGTAACTGATAAATGAAGCAACAGACCAAAGAACAAACAGGCCTACCGCAGTCACACCTTTGAGTGAATAACAGTTGGATGGTTACAAGGTCTTCAGGACTCCTGGGGCTCCTGAAGCCATTGGAAGCCAGGCCCTGGGGAGGGGGCATCATTCTGGCACTGACACCAGCATTGACCAACCTCGAGTGCATTGGGGTCCAAGGTGTGGCCATCATCTTATCTTTTCTTCTCCAGTTAGTAGCGGGGCCATTCCCCAGCACTTTACCTCTCCTCACTAAAATGACTAGGAATTGTGAATGCGCAGTGCCTGACTCACCAACCCTGCAGAGCCCAGATTTCTAGAAATTTCCGTTTTGGAAAGAATTAAAGCTATTGAAGTTTTCCCCAGAGGCTCTAATTACTGTGAGCTGGTTCTTCCTCTCCCCCATTTCTATTCATGAGGATAATAAGAGCTTACTGTGAGCGCTCACACAGGCCAGGCGGGTTCTAAGTGCATTATTCAATCATGGCGTGTCACGGTGGCCGTTAGTAAACGGTTTACCTCACTCTGCTCGCTGGCATGTAGGCTTTGCTCCTGGTTTCTCTTCAGTATTATGTTTCCTCTGTCAATTATGAAATCATTTCCTTGTTGCTGGAAATACACATCACACTTAGGCCAAGCTGTTGCTAATATCTTAAAAAGAAAAGAAAAGACGGTTTAAATATAACCATCAAAAATATCAATTCCAGGTAATCATGATTTTCATTGGAAAGGCTCCAGAAGAAATAATGCAGACAATTTATAATTGTTTTTGTGTGTGTGTGTGTGTGTGTGTGGAAATAGGGAAATTTTTGGTGGTCCTAAGACTGCATGTTGGGTTTTCTTTTTAAAGATACTAGTAAAATCCTAAACTGGGAAAACATTCAATTCTTGCATACTGGTTTTGTGGTATTTAAAAAAGTATAAATGACATGTTTAAATGTTAGATGTCAAGAAGGAAGTTGAAGAAAATCAACAACAGACATGGCACAGAAATTCATAAAATTAGTAGACAGTGTAACTTTTTATACTCTCTAGCCCCATTCTTATTGTTTGTAGATTAAGTTCACATGAGAGGTTATTTCAGGAGAGCCAAAGTCCACCGGTCAAACTAAAGGAGAGAGAAAGCACATTCATGCAACTCTGATTTCCTTAAAACACTGGTTTTTATGGGCTTTTCTTTTTTATCATCTCCTCAGTCACTCAGTTGGCAACCTAGTGAAAATCTCCAATTGTTTCGTTTCCCAGTTTTCACTGCATCCTGGATATTGGTGTCTCCCTGACCAATGGAAATATTGTTGGTTTTATAAAAAAGATGTTTAATTTTATAGGCACCCTAGTTGCTTGTCATGAGCTCGCAGCCTGGAGGTCAGCTGCAACCTGCTTCAGGAACCTGGTTTATTTCAGCATTTGCTATTCTGCCCCTCAGCCATGCTCTCTGCACAGCTTCCAGGCCCCTCTGTGCTGAGGACCCTTTGGATGGGCCATTCTAGGATTATGTCCCTGTGTCCTTCTCTTCCACCAGTTGTGTTCATCTTGTAACACAAAATTATAAACTATTTCACTGACATTATGTAGAAAATATATTTTATGGAATTGGTATTTATACTATACTAAATTCTATGCTATCTTAAATTCAATCAATATTAGCTTGCTGTGACTTTAAACCACATTTTCTCTACAGGTTATTCCTGTAAGAAAGGAAATCAGTGCTTCCCCAAATGCACAGGAATCACCTGGGGCTCTTGTTAAAATGCAGACCTGATTCAGTAGTCTAAGGGCAGGTGTGAGCTTCTAATGAGCTCCCATGTGATTCAATATTGCTGGTCAGCAGACTGCATTTTGAGTAGCAAAGGTATACACTGCCTTTGGAAGAGCCACTGAAAAGCTAATTGTAATTTTTCTTGGTTCTCCAATTAGAGTATTAAAACAATTATTCATAAGATGCAGTCTTAGGCTTACGTTCCTTTCTGTTTCCATCTGTAACCTTTCTCTTCTGTCTGCTATCACCTCACTTAGATCCTTACCTGTTCCCATCTAGACTATGGCAGATGGCTCTTCCCTCCCACCTGGGCTTCACTTCTGTTAGATTAAGTTTGCATGAACACTGAGAACAGTCTTCTTCACATCATTCCATTCTCTTGCTCAGAAAGCTTCAATGAGTTCTCATTGCCCAAAGAAGAAAGTTTAGCCTCCTTAGTAGGAGAGTGTAATTTTGTTTTCCAATACTTCTTCCCTATTTAAACTCCCTGCTTTAACTGTGAATATACCTGCGTTGTTTCTCCTCTGAGCTGTTATTTTTAAGACTTTGGCTAGACTGTCTTCTCATCTATTTCACCAATTGAGATCCTATTGTTTTCAAGTCTCCGGCTACATTATTCTACCTTTGTGTTAAGCCCATTCATAAGGGATCACTCTTGGCTCTGAAATCCTAACACACTTACTGGCTCTCCTTGTCATATGGCACTGCCCCATCCTCTGCCATCTTGAACTATGTAAATGTACTGGCTATAGTGAAAACTCTCGGGACCAGGGACCCTAACTAACCCCTTGCTATACAGCCCTTAGCCTGGAACAAATAGGTAGACAACATTTTAATGGATTAAGGGTAAGAGTTTTGAAACTAGGTGCACCTGGGTTTTCTTGGCTCCTCCCCCACCCCCACCCCCACCCCACCATCCACCAGGTGTATGACTTTGGGCAAATTACTTAACCTTGCTAACGTTTTCTCTCCTCTGGAAATTAGGAATAATACTTAGGTTGTTTGGAGAGTTAAATGAGATACTATATATAAAAAGTGTGAATCACAGAGCATTAACTAAATGAAATAATACTACAGCAGCAGTGATAGCATAGAAAGCATACCAAAAATTGTTAAATCAATGTGCAAATAATTAAATGGTTCCTACATATTTTCTAATACAATTAAAGATAATGTCTTTAGCAGAGGAGGAAAATTATTCACAGTATTGCCTTTTAGTCATTCAATATCGATACCACCTTGAATTTCCTTTCGTTTGTCATAGGTAATACTTTCCAATCCTTTAGGAACATTTAATTTGCCCTTTAAAGCTATTCTGTATTCTTGATATTTTTCTTTAAGCCATGGAGGGAGTAATAAGGATTCAGGTCACGAGGGATGTGACCTGCTAACACATGAAACCAGCATTGTTACAGACACTCTACTCATAACCCCTGGTTCAGGGCTGTGTTAGCTTACTCAGTATTATCCTATTTAATTGATAACAGGATAAACATTCATTCAGTGTGTGGAGGGTGCTGCCCCACACAGCTATACTGAATACATGTTAAGTAACAGTTCTTCTATTTTAAAAAATTATGGGTTTTTTTGGTCTTATCTAAAAAATGGAACTAGTTATGGCCTAAGATATAACTACCAATATTCCTTTCCAAAAGTTATCTTTTCAGCCACCATCATAAAGATGCAATATTAAAGACCATGAAGAAGAATCCGGACATAGGATTGTTTCATTTTGATTCCACCCACTGCAAGTCCCTACATCTAAGTAGGACAGTGGAAGTCTCATGTTCTTGCCTCAATTTTAATCAGTAAAAGAGTGAATTCTAAGCCTCCTAAGGGTCATTTTTATTCCTCTCCACCAACAGTGTCCAGACAGCAAAGAGATTCCAGGAACAACTTGGTCACAAGAACCTGGAATGGGTTTCCCTGTTTTCTTTGTCTACCCAAATCCTATCTTTAGAATAGATTTTCCTATACTTTCTCTCCTTAAAGACCTTTACCTTGACTTACATTTCCTTTGCCATATTCCTGTTTGTGGCTGGAGTCACACTCTTGAGAACCTACCTTATATACCTTATTCATTCATTCATTAGCAAATATCTATAAAGCTCCTACTACGTGTCAGGCACACTGTGCTAGGCACTAGTGCAACAATGATGAATGCTATACACACCCCCCACTCTTTTATAGCTTATAGTGTTATGTAGGAGACAGAAAAGTAGATGTTCAATAAACACATTTTAGGGACAGGCACGGTGACTCATGCCTGTAATCTTAGCACTTTGGGAGGCCAAAATGGGAGGATCACTTCAGGCCAGGAGTTCAAGACCAGCTTGGGCAACATAGCAAGACCACCATCTCTATAAAAAATACAAACATTAGCTGGGCATGGTGAGCATGTACCTGTGGTCCCCGATAGTCAGAAGGGTGAGGTGGGAGGGTCAGTTGAAGCCCAAGAATTCTGGGCTGCAGTGAGCTAGGATCATAACACTGTACTCCAGCCTGGGCAGTAGAGTGAGATCCTGTCTCTAAAATACAACATTTTATTTGTTTTATCTGATGGGTGCACTGAAAGGGCAAGAGTAAATTCTTTCATCACAATTTGATCCAATTCACAAATATGTGCCAGGCTCTGTGCTAGAACTGGGGTACAAAGAAACAAAACAGAATTTTCCCTCAAGTATTTATATAATCTGCAGTTGCAAGATACACCAAACTCTTCTGTGATCTGCATCTGTGGGCAAAAGCACTCTTTTCTAGGTATTTTAACCATGATCTTGAGTGTTGCTGTATGTATTTACTGAGGTGTCATCAAATGAAGTCTGCAGAGAGAGTAAATGAAACACGCACCAAAGGCGCAAGTCCTTGGAGTGGCGTGGCTTCCTCTGCCTCATAGAGATAGAAATTCAAAGGAGCGAAGAAGTACCCGGGGGCTGGTTCGGTGCAGCTGCGACCAACAATGTGTGGGCGGCATTCACACTGCCCATCCTTGGGTGAGCACCTGGAGAAAAAACAATCCATCACGAAAAAACATAGAGGGGGGTGAGTATAAAATGAGGGTGTGGGAGTACTTGGCTAATGCCCCCTGAGTTTGGACCAATTCTTGGAATTGACCGATCAATAGTCCTATGGGAGGATGTGGAGCAGCCATGGGCTCAATACTGGGCTTGACAACGAATCCAGGCAGCCACTTCTTTCCCCAGTGGGTCTTTGGTTCTGCTTTAAAAACTGAGAAAAGAAGACCATCAGGACCTTTCCTTACAGGATGGCAAAAAACTGGTGTTTTCGGCAGGTCAAGTCGCGTGTGTCCAGGGATCTATCCCAGCAGCTCCTGGGATACCCAGGCAGGAAGATTGTGTACCCCACCCTTGGAAATATCTGAAGTAAAAGAAATCAATGTGGTTGTGGTTAACACCTTGAGATCTTTGCTTATCATGGAATAAAATTCTTCATAGTCTGTGACTATGAGCATATTAGAATAAAATGTGCTTTTATGTGAAAATAAGGACTATTTCTATAGAATTTCATCATTCATATTACAGACTTACATGTTAGAATAAGCACCTCCAATGTCACAGTCACAGGGAGAACACCCATGGAGATGCTTTCCCAGGCCCCAGTATCCAACCTGCAGAGAAAAAAGGCTCAGTTGAATCTAGGTATAAAGATATTTGCTGCCCTGTGGTGTAATATTATAATCACTACAATGCAATTGCCATATAGCATGTAGCTAAACAACCTGAACAATCACAGAGCAGCCTTCCTTAACTACACACTCGGTTAATGATCTCTGTGGGCTCATCTCCCAGCTCCAGGACAGGCAAGGGGACAGACAGGTAAAGGGGACAATAAAGGGGACAGGCAGGTTTGTCCATGTATTGTAAGTGGAAATGCAATGGAGTCCACAGGATTCCTCTAACAACATCACTTTATGCTCAAGCTGGGTCACTAAAGTCCTTGCTGGAGAAGTTCTACCAGCCTATTTGCAAGTGCTTTAATAGAAGTGATAGGTTCCCCTTACCAGAACAATCTCTGGGGATTTTATGTACATAATTCTGAAGAGTTTAGAGGTAGAAAAATCAATGAAGCTGATTTGGAGATATGCGAATATCACCACTTAGTAGAGTCATTTGTTTGTAAGAGTCAGTTGTTTTGGCACAACATGAACCCATGTGAGAAAGTTAACTCTGTTGTTGAAGACTTTTTCATCATTGCAACATCTTGACCTTTATTCAATTTAAACAGCTGGTTAGATACAAACAACTATTTTTTGAGCCTGATACCATTTAGGGTAGAATGCTCAGAAACACACTTCCCCTTCAAATCTTAATTTAACATGCTCTGATAAAATTTAGATTTCAGTTAGCACAAGACTCCTGTTTGAAATGGTCTTGTTAAGAATCCATATCCTTTTGTTATCTTGGGAAAATTCTATGCTCGATTTTACTCAGAAAGATTTAAACATTAAACAAAGGACTTTTGATATTTTTCCCAAAACCAAACTTCAGTTGAAAAAAAAAAAAAAGGGACATGAACTATTTCCTTCAGGATGGGGCTGTGAAAACTCCTTCCAGGCCAGGGTCTGCTGTCCTGTCGGCCACCTCAGGCCAGACCCAGGGCAGCGTCAGATGCATGTGGGTTGGGAGCACCTCGTGGGTGCCTGTGCTTAGCTGGGATGGGCAGTTCCCCATGGGGTGGCCCCTGCTCAGCTATTTCCCTCCTGCTAGTAAAATCGAGTCAGCATCGCACACATAACAGTTAACCAGCCAGTGAAAAAAGTCAGCCTGAGCCAAAGGTTTGTCTGGAATCTTCTGACTTGGTATCTTGGTTGATTCTGTGACCAACTATGCACCCTTCCTTGTGTGACACACTTATGGTCACAGAGATTGGTGTGGCCAACCTTCTTCTTTTATGTAAAATTATTTGATTCCCTGATATCTTCCATAGAGTCCCTTCTTCATGCATCCTTTCTTCCTTCTTTTCCTTACCTTCTCTGTCCCAACCTGTTTTTAGTAAAATGACTTAAAATATTAGCACAAAACTATGTCCTCATAGACATATGTTTCTTATTTATCAGCTATATTTCTTCAGCCACATCAAGGTCACTGTTCTTTTATTAGGTTAAGTTTTTTTGTTGTTTTTTCTCTTTCTAAAATGTCATGGTGGGCTGCCAAGATTGGAGAACAAAGAAAAGAGTTGGGTTTGAGCTCCCCCATTGCATGACATATTTCTTTTGGAGTGAAATGGTTTCATTTTACTAATTTTAGAATATACATGCTCATGTGTTTAGTGAAGTCTGTGAAAAATCCAAGAGTTTATTTCCCACAGGAATCTGAAATACATTTAAACCTAAGTTGCTGTTTTTTTTTTTTTTTTTTTAAGAGCCCATCCAAAATATTTTTTAAGCAGGGAAAGGTAGGGGATTATGTGCAAGAGACGAAAGAAAGGCCCCATGGTCTGGTGTCCCCCAAAAGTAGGCAGATGAATACTCTTCTATTCTACTGCTTGGCACTTTCGGGAAAACAATGGATGAGCCCATTGACATCTGCGCCGGGGTTGGTTCAGTCCAAGTCAGTGCTGTGCTGGTAAATGTTTAATAGCCAGCTCTCTGCAGGGGTTGGGGAGAGGCTGATGTATAATGTTTGCCCATTTCTATAATTAAATACTCATACCACAGGGGTATTGAAATGCAACAGGACCAGGAAAGAGGTTAACAAGTCTCTTCTATGCAATGGCCATAGAAATCTGCATCACTTTATAAAAGGAAAACTACAAGGCAAATACATACAGGGCATTCATCGCAGCGTGGTCCGGTGGCATATGAGTGGCACAAGCACTGGCCGGTGTCCACATCACAGGTCGAGAGTGGCAGACTCCCCAGGGGGTTACAGTTGCAGGCTGAAAGCACAGCATACACAGTTATTCTCATTCTTAATTCCTCCAGTCTTGTCAATTCCCCTAAGAGCTCATACCACACAAAAAGCATAGCCACAATAACACAGAACCGCCTGCCCTGCCAGGTTCATTGTCTGCCTGGCTGCATGATTATTGTGCTGCCTATAACCTTGTGCAGGAAATCCTGTGCCAGACACTGGATGGCAATTAGGAGGAGACAAGTAAGTAGGAAGTTGTGCAGGCTGGAGCACTGGCACAGTTATCCTGAGTGATGCTGACCAGGTTGTGTGACTCCGGGGCAAGAATTCGAGTGTCACAGCTATTATCGATGGCTCCTTTTCTGGCAGATGCATCTATCATTCCCTTTTCTCTTCTCTCTCTTACTACCTTGTTAACTTTTTCTCTTTATTCTCCCCCTCTCCTTTTTCTCCTTTGAGTCCTGCTTGCGTTGTGAAGTCTAAGAAGCTATGCTACCAGAGCAGGGTATACCCTTCCCCTGCAGGAAAACCAATGTTCATGGACACAGCTCAAATGTCCATCAACTGATGAGTGAACAAATGAAATGTGGTATATCTATGCAATGGAATATTATTCAGCAATAAAAAAATGAAGTACTGATAATAAGCTACCACGCGGACAAACCTTGAGAACATTACGTTAAGTGAAACAAGCCAGTCACAAAAGACCTCATAGGATTCTAGTTGTATGAAATGTCCATAATAGGCAAATCTACAGTGACAGAAAATAGAGTAGTGTTTGCCTAGGACTGGAAGAATGGGATATAGGGAGGTGGTGGCTAAAAGGGTATGGGGTTTCTTTTTTTATTTTTGAAAAAATAAAATTTACCATCTTAACCATTTTTGAGTATACAATTTTCAGTTGTGTTAAGTACATTCACATTGTGTGCAAGCAATCTCTGAAACTCTTTTCACCTTGCACAACTGAAACTGTGCTCATTAAACACTAACTCCCCAATCCTCTTCCCTCCAAGCTCTTGCAACCACCATTCTATTTTCTGTCTCTATGATTTTGACTACTCTAGGTACTTCAAATAAATGGAATTATATAACATTTGTCTTTTTGTGACTAGCTTCTTTCACTCAGCATAATGTCCTTCAGGGTCATCCATGTTGAAGCATGTGTCAGAATTTAAGACTAAATAATACTTCATTGTACGTATAGACCACATTTTGCGTATCTATCACATACCAATGGAGACTTGGTCATTGTGAATGCTGCTGGTGTGGATATGGGTGTACAAATCTCTCTTCAAAACCCTGCTTTCAGTTCTTTGGGGTTTACACTCAGAAGTGGGGTTTCTTTTTTGTGGTGAGAAAAATGTTCTAAAATTGATTGTGGTGATGATTACACAACTTTTAATCCCCTAAAAATCATTGAATTGTATACTTTAAAGTGTTAATTGTATGGTACATGAATTATGTCTCAACAGAGCTATTACAAACACACACAAAACAAAAATGTTATAGCCTGTTCTTGGAGGACATCAGGTTGGTCAGCAAACCAGAAAGGTGTGTGAAGTGTTGAAAGGTGTGATGGGAAATTGGTTTGACTATATAATTCATTCTCATGATATTTCATTTTGCCATCAAACCCAAGAACATTTTATTACAGAAAGATTCAGCCTGATGCTCTCTAAACATGCAAATAATCCACACTTCCTTACATCGGCAAACATATGGAGCATGATCCTGTGACCAAATGGAAATTATTTACCCAGATTCCCTGAGGAATCTGCAGCTCTATGAGGCCCCAGGCAGCTCTGAACTTCTGTGACCCTACAGACAAGGGTCTGATATTTGGCCTCAGAAAACTGCTGAGGTTTTTTTCTATATCCCCTCCACCCCTTACCTCCCTCCCCCCCTTGCCTCTTTAACTTTTTTCTTTTCTTTGTCAGACACCATATGGACCAATACTAGGAGGAGTGTGAGAAGAAAGGGAAAAAGTAATTAAAAAAATAAAAAGACAAGAAACCACCATTTGATAATTGCCTAAGACGACATCCATCTTGCAGAAATGCATAATGTGATTTAATGAATTTGTATGTAGAGTCCCAGTGGGGGCCATTTTCCTAAAGGTTTCACAATTCGGCATTACATTTCTTGGCACTTTCCCCTGTGTTTGTTCCAGGGGGTAAAATGTGAACACTCCCTGCGGGTCCTTTACGATAAGCTCAGCAAACCAAGAGGCAGAATTCTCCACTAAGTTCCTAAAATTTGCAGAAGTTATTGTATCACTTTTTAAAACCCAGAGGCTGGCAGGGGACTCTTCTGTATTTACAGTTACCCAATTCTAGGGCTGACAGAGTCAACCCCAAGTTCTAAAATGTATTGGGATTGGTGGCCCAGCCCCTGTGGACTTACGCTGACAGCCCAGTGGGTCGGCGGCGCTCAGGCCATAGTGGTTGGGCTTGCACTGGTCGCAGTTGGCGCCTTCCACGTTCTCCTTACACAGGCACTGGCCGGCCACAGATCCCACTGAAGGGTCAGAGTGGCTCACACAAATGCCACCAGATATGGTCCCATCAGGGTCACATTCACAAGCTGGGAACACAGACATGCATTGTCTCAGTTAGTTGCAAATCGTGGGAAGCTGAAATATAAGCATAGCATTTTACCCACACTATAACTTTCTTTGTTTAAATAATTAAATGTGTTTAAATAATTAGACCAACAGGCAAGGGCTGTTTGAAAATGTATCCCAGATCTCTGGCCTTGGAAAATGTTGAATAATTCCACACATATGTATCTTTAAAAACTTTCAAATGATTCAAAAGTCAGAGGACAGGAGGAAGACTGCTATTATGAAAATTGGATGTTAGAAATAGAATGATTCCTTTGGGGATGATGAAATGTTTTGGAACTAGGTCGATGTGGTGGTTGGTTGCATGACACTGTGCCAGTGAATTGTTGTTCATTTAAAAATGGTTAATTTTTATATGAATTTCACCTAAAAAATAGATTGAACAAAAGAAAAAGACTCTAAAGGTGAAAATAAGGCCATGAATCAAGAGTGGGATGTTGTAATGACATCTCTACATCATTATAAGGGACGTGAGAAAGAGAAATCACATAAAATGTCTCCCAAAGCTCTGAAACATAGCTAAAAGGGAAGTCTTCCTTCTCTACCCTAGAAAAACATGTCACCAGGAAAAGTGACATTCTTTTTGATCCTTCCTGGAAGGAACACCTGTAAGAAAGAAAGGGAGGGAACAGTAAGAGGTATTCATATTTTTGTTCTTTTTTTGGAAATCTGCTGGTGGGATAAAAGCTTGGGTGAAGAGATTCTGAAAAATGAAATAAACAGGCACCTGTAGTGGAGGGGGGGCAGCAAAAGTAGCAACCCCCTCCTTTTTTTTTTTAAAGTTGAAATTTGACACCTCAAGGAAGGCATGTCATATGAAAAAGAATGCTGACAGTATGACTAATTCCAGAGAGTAGGACAAGGACTAGAGTGTAGAAATTACAAAACATAGCACTTGATTGAGGATGAGGAAGAACTCTAACAGTGAGGGCTGCCCAATATGGCAGTGGACCCCTCATCGTTGGAGGTATCCATGCTGAAATGGCACCTGCGGCTTTGGCATAGAGGACAAGTGTGCTGGTGGGCATTAGATGGCCACCAAGGTCTCTTATACCTTTGTGGTACTGTGCTTCCAAGGAATTCTACTTTTAAGAAATGCAATAAACATAAAAAATTAATATTGATTTTAAGGGACAATCATGTTCACATTTATACACGTTTGCTTTGGATTACTAAAAACAAAACTCTCAAGTCTAAAACTATGTCAACATAACAGCCATTTAGGTTAGTGAGTTTAGTGGGAAAAAATCCAGTCTAACCAGTTGTTTGGAGTCATTGAGGCAAGCGGGCTTAGCTGTCTGACAGAATCTTTCAAGTTTCAATTGCTTGTTACTGGTTTGTGACTGGTGATAAAATCTTACTATGGAAAAACAGCATTGGGTTCTGTTTAGTTTGGAAAAACCACAATTTTCTTCTAATTAAATCCAGTTGCTTCTAGAAAGAAGGGAATAAGCTGGATTCATTTTCAAAGTTGCCAAAAGGAAAAGGCTGAGCTTTATTTTGGAGATATTCCAAAGGATCAGTATTGAGTCCCAGAGTATAATTTAATTATGCACAGAAGTATCCTCTGGGAAAGGCATGTGAGAGGGTAGATAGTAAATTTTCTTGGAAATAAGTAAAAGTAAACTTATGTAAGGCCTTTAGAAGTCCAATAAAACCTATGTCACAGCCTTTAGAAGTCCAATAAAATGTCTTGCTGTCATATAATTTAGTTCCGGCAAACTTTGTTATCAGTGGTTAAGTCTACCAAATCTTTGTTTTTCTGTATCAAATTTAACTATGTTAATTGTAGAAAACCCCAAATTAGTCAACTCTTCAGCCTGGAGTCTGTTTATATAAATATTTAGGTTCAAACAAGGACAACTTAGAGAAAATTTATATGAGAATGCTAATCAATCTTCTTAATACACATCGTCTGTATACACAGACATAAACATGTGTTTAGGTAACCTGGAGGGAACCGGGGACTCTTGTGACTGGAGTTTGTTGCAAGCTCCTCATCTGCCTTTTATGAAAAAATTCCTTGTTTACAAAGAATGACTTTTTTTTTTAATCTTTTGTTTGCTTTTAAATTTTTATTTTTTTATTTTCTAGAGTGACTTCTTAATTTCATATCAGGTGTACGAGTTTTCTTTCCTTGGTTTCTTTCAAAAGCACTATCAAGTTAATACTAAGTTGTTCTTAAGGAAAAAGACTGGTTGATTCGTTTGAAATATTTGGTTTATTATTTCTAAATCTCTTTCCAGATTCCTAGATTATCTGTTTCACAACACTGTATTTTCCCGTCTCCACCCAAGAGAGCAATTTCAACTTCTTTGGTAAATTCATAGCTTTTAAAACAATAAAAGGTGTTGGCCAGTGAGTGGTGGCTCATGCCTGCAATTTCAGCACTTTGGGAGGCAGAGGTGGGAGGATGGCTTAAGGCGAGGGGTTTAAAAGCAGCCTGAGCAAAATATTGAGACCCTGTCTCTACAGAAAATAAATTAAAAAAAATTATCTGGGCATGGTGGCGTGTATCTATAGTTCCAGCTACCAGGGAGGCCAAGGCAGGAGGATTGCTTGAGCCAAGAAATTTGAGATTGCAGTGAGCTATGATCACACCGCTGCAACACACTGCCTGGGCAACACACTGCCTGGGCAACATAGCAAGATCCTGCCATTAAAAACCAACCAACCAACCAAAAAAACAACCACAAAAGAACAGAAGGTGCGTATGATTACAGATTCTGGTAAAACTTGGAAGACAGAAAATTGCTCTAAAGAAACATATTTTTCTGAGAATCCAGTTCTTAGTATCAATTTTGAACAAGTCATGTAAGATAAATTTTATGAAATTAAATATCTACTAAATAATCTAACAGCTGAAGTGTTTGCAAAATACTCCACTTCTGCAGAGTGTTTGGAGATGCTGTCAAAAGCAGAGTGGGGCCTGGCAGGCAAGTGACACCCAACTGTGGTCTGCCCAGTGGACAGGATCACCGCCGGGGACTTACGGATGCACGCGTAAGGATCCGAGATGGCCTTGAGGGGGTCCCTGTAGAAGAGCGGCCTGCAGTGGTCGCAGTGCTGCCCCTCGGTGTTGTGGCTGCAGTCTTCGCACACGCCCCCACTGTGGCCGCCGCTCGCCAGGTACGTGGCCATGTCGAAGTGACAGCGGTCAGAGTGGCCGTTGCAGCTACACGCTGCAAAAGGAAAGGAGAGTTACCGGGAGGTGTGCCCGGGCCTCGGGACCACTGGTCGTGCACCTGCTCATCCTCTGCGACCTCCCACCACTCTGTGTCGATGCACAAAGGGTCTCTTTAGCACTCTGAGGCTGCTCATATATTTTATATAAAATGTGTTCCTGAAACGTTTAATGGGTAGTTATTAAAAATTAAGTGAACAACAACAAAAAACCATTTAGGTGCTCTAGAAGCAACATTTGTGGTAGTGTTCAGTGATAAAGAATACTTCTACAGACCTATGCTTTGTCACATCAAATTCTTTATGTGAAATGTTCTGCATGCACTGGGCTTCTCAGATAAGATGCAGGTCATTCTTCTCTCAGCTAGGGCTGAGTCAGAGGACTGAGGGAAAGGCAGTCTGTCTGGAGACGTTTGTTTGTCTTGATGGTAACATCTACTCCATGATGGCTGTTTGCCCTGATGGTTTTTGTCCCAACTAGGGCCAGGCTGCGTCTTGCTGGGTCTCCTATACTGTGACTCTCACCGGTGGGGTTTTTCATTAGAGCTCTTCTAAAGACCTTTCGTTCCCTTAAATCCTATTTTTCCTAAGACTGGGGGAAAAAAACTGAACAACAAGTTTGTTTGGAAGTTCATCAAAAATTCAGAGGCAGCAAACATGTTACTCAAAACAAAAACATCTTGTTAGTCTAAATATTTTATTTTAAAATAAAGTAGCCTGTCAAACTCAATCCTGGACCTTATTTCTCCTATTACCCTGAAGATGGGTTTAAGGTCACATTCATGGAATGTGTGGTTATTTGGGAAGGCGGTAGGGATTTCTGCATCAAATCTACTGTTCACTGAATTCTTGGAGTTGCACGGTCCCTATTGACATTGCCATTCCATGGCTCTGTCCCTCTTCTGGAAGGGTGCCACACAACATTCATACTGCTTCATTCTTAAAATGAAAGTTAATTTGTGGTGTGAGAGTCTGAGAAGTTGGTGATTCACCCAACTGAGAGCCATTACTGTATCCCACTAGGAAGCTGTGGAGCTGGGAGCCACAGCTTCACCACTCGGTGCTTGCAGCCCCCCAGAAATGCACTAACTGTTCTTAGAGATAAGTGCACACTCAGCGTATGCAGAGAACTTATTTTCACCCACGTCTGCAAGCGTTGTCCTGGTGGCCTGCGGCTGGCCTCCAAGGAGCGTCCTGGAAGAGGTCCTTGCATCTCTCACAGTTCGGACCATCTGTGTTGTGCTGGCACACACACCGTCCGTGAACCTGCATCGTGCAGGAAGGAAAAGGAGAGTTCAAAGAGGGCTTATCTTTGAGGATGTTGGGCTTCTTTAAATGGAAAATGAAATGCCAGGGCCACCGGGCCTCTCTCATTCTTAGTTTCTCACGTGTAAGTTACAATACTAACCTTTACTTTTATTAGTTGCTTAACTAGCTTTTAAAGTTTTAAAAATTTGATAAGTTCAGTGACCATTGACAACATATGTTGTTGGCATTTCTGAAGTCTAGTTTCAGGGCAGCACATTGCAGCCCTTGGTAAAATGAGGGGCAGGATGGGAAGGGGGGTTTTGTGTGGGTGGGGAGGCATCAGGATGGTTCAGGAGCATACGGGAAAACAGGGAGTTAGAAAAGAGAAGGAAGCTGAAGAAAGGCATGTGATTCTCCTGGATTATCACAAAATGCCCTAAATGGCCCACATGTAAAGAGAGAAGCTCTATGTCCAGTGAAAGGCAGTGGAGTGGGAAGGTCCAATAGCCTCAACACCAAGCCTTATATCACAACACCTAGTAAGTAGTTTAGATTTTTTTAGTAGACACACCCTGGGGCTCTGCATAAAAATACAATTCTACCACTACACTGATCTTTCAAGGCTATTCCTCAAAATGAGAGAGATCTACAATATTAAGACACAGACATTCATAGTGCACAAATATTACTTGGATTGACCATTTTTACAAAATCAGATTTTACTGAAACACCATAGCATTGACTACAGGACCCTGCACACAATGGGCCTTCAATAAATTTTTGTGAGAAAATAAATGTGAAATTATAGTTCCTCCTTGCCAAATTTCTATGCTCTACAAAACAAACAAAAAGAAGGAAAAGTGGACCATCTTGAAATCACAAATTATAAATGCTGCTCATGAGTTCAATGATGTTCATAGGAGGCAGATTCCAGAAGGACCTCTGCCTAGAGGAACTGGAAGGCCCTTGGCCTGCAGGGCTAGGTTGAATGACACCTGGTTCAACGCAACGCTCGCACTCTGGTAGTTGATCTCCGCACAGAGTGCCTGATCTACAGTTAGCACCAGGACAGTGAAAGGCAGGTAGACAGCCAACTGCTTTTTCGGGTTCATAACTCACCATTTCAGGAGGGCTGAAAACGTCTCCCCGCATCTGCTGCGTAGGGCCACATTCGCTAGCGTGGCCATTGCAAAAGCAGCTTCCTTGAACCACCATCTCGTACAGAGCATAGTAGTATTTATCAAGGGAATCATTTTGCCTCCTTCCAAGCATAGTATCCCCAAGGGTATGGAGTTTGGTAAAGTTGATCCTCAGGTTTGTCAACGTCACAAGGTCTAGACAAAGGAAAATAATGAATCAAAGTGCATGTCAACTGTGCCAGTTCAAGGCACCCTCCTGGACTGATAGCTCCTTAGATGCCTATAGATATGCAATTACAGAGCAAGATGGCTGACTAGAGATGCCAGGTGCCCAAGAAGGGACCAAAGCAATGAATAAACACCGAATATTTGACTGGAGTGTGGAGGGGAGAGCGCTGGAGAACAGTAGGGAAGTGGGGAACAAACCTATGGTGGGAATGTAAACTAGTACTGCCACTATGGAGAACAGTATGGATATTCTTCAAAAAGCTACAAATAGAACTACCATATGAGCCAACAATCCCACTACTGGGCATTTACCCAAAGGAAAGGAAATCAGTATATTGAAGAGGCACCTGCACCTCCATGTTTATTGCAGTGCCGTTCACAATAGGCAAGATATGGAATCGACCTAGATGTTTCAACAGCAGATGAATGAATGGATAAAGAAAATGCGGTATATAATACACAATGGATTATTATTCAGGTACAAAAAAGAATAAAATCCTATCATTTGTGGCAACATGGATGGAACTGGAGAACATTATGTCAAGCAAAATAAGCCAGGAACAGAAAGTTAAACACCACATGTTCTCACTCATATGTGGAAACTAAAAAATGTTGATTTCATAGAAGTAAAAAGTAGAACGGAGGATATTAGAGGCTGAGAGTGGAAAGGGGAAGGGAGGGATAGAGAGAGATTAGTAAAGTATATAAAATTATGGTTAGATAGGAGAATAAGCTCAAGTGTTCTATGCCACAATAGGATGACTACAGTTAATAATATGTTATATAGTTTCAAATAGCTGGAAGGAGGATAGTGAATGTTCCCAACACAAAGAAATGATAAATTTTGAGATGGTGGATATGCTAATTACCCTGATCTGATCACTACACATTGTATGTATTGAAACATCACTGTGTACCCCATAAATATGTAAAATTATTATATATCAATTAAAAAATAAAATTAAAAAGTTTTTTTTAAAAGAAACACAATTAAAAGGAATATGCCAAACACAAAAATTTTAAAAAGGAATTGGTGTGAAAAATATAAAGGAATTCATACCTTGGATGAAGGGGCTGTAAGGGTTTTCAATTTCAAAACTAGGATCCAAAACTTTAAAAACAACCTGTAAAACAAATGTAGGTAATTTATAGCATATTATCCCAAAACATAATTGTCAAAAGCAGTCTTAAAGAAGAGATCCTGACCTTACAAGAAGGCTGAGCCATTGCTTCCCAGTTGGTATAGAATATAGATTATCATTTGGGTTACCATATGAATTAAAGTACTGAGAACAAAAATGAATGTAAGTAATAAATCACGGAGAGGGGGGGTGAATGGGGAGAAATTACTTAGTGGGTACAATGTATATTATTTGGGTGATGGATACCCTAAAAGCCCTAACTTCACCAAGACACAATCTATACATGTAACAAAATTGCACTTATACCCCATACATTTATACAAATAAAAGTCATTAGTCATTTCTGGCTCTTTATACACAAGTAGAAATAGACAGAAATGGTAATAGGACTGGTGAAGAGGGCATCTGGGCTGGGATGGGATGCAGTGATGGACTAGTAAGCCATTATCAATTTGGATCCAGCAGGGAATGTGGTAGCTGTCTTCTGCCACCAATTCTTTCTGCTCTACCTGATAAAACCATACCTTCCCCGACAACCCCACACCCACTCTACCCCTCTGCCAGTCACCAGCTTTGCTCAGAGGGATGTTCCTGGCAGGTTCCTCTGGGGTGGTGGTTTACAGCAGTGGTCCCCAACTTTTTGGCACCAGGGACAGGTTTCATGGAAGATAATTTTTCCATAAGATAGGAGCGGGGCAAAGCAGCTCAGATGGTGATACGAGTGATGGGGAACAGCTGTCAATACAGATGAAGCTGCTTGCTTCTCACCTCCTCCTGTGCATCCTTACCCCCTTCCTAAGTTTCATGGAGGACAATTTTTCCACTAACAGGGCAGGGGTGGGGAGAGGGGCAGTGGAGCTCTGTGGCCTAGTCCTTAACTGGCCGGAGACTGGGTGGGGATCGCAGGATTACAGAGCATGAGAATGAGATAGCTAAGGCAGGGCTGCTGCTAGCCTGCACAGCTCGTTTGCAAGGGTTAGAAAGGGGCCTTCCTTCCTCTGGGCGTCCTGGGCCATGGTGCCTAGGTTAAATTTTAGCCCCAGCTCATCTTTAGCTGGGCGCTCTTGTGTAGCATTACTTCTGATAACATATTTATTATTTCTTATTCAGGACTCATTTCAGCATAGACACTTTCATTTTTAAGAAGCCAACAGCTCAAGTTACATTTCAGAAAACACTACCTACATTTTTTTTTCATTTAAGTTAATTTTATTTTTAACAGTTTAAGTAAAGAAATACAAGTAAGGAAACGTTACCTCACCACCAGTTGAGGGTTCAATATCCGAGTATTTGGAGTCACAAATGAGGTCTCCCACTCCGTGGGCCTGGCCAGATGTGATGTTGGGAAAGGAAGTAGCACAGTCTTTTGCGAAATATTTGAACACTTTCCAGGTGCGTCCATAGTCTTGGGAACGTTCAACTAACATTGCAGCAGGCCGAAACGTCTATGAAAAAAATGAGTAAAAGTTGAAATGTTTCTCTAAGGCAGATTTTATCTACTTCGGATTGAATATTGATATTTTCTAATTCTATTTTTTAAAACTTTATGTATATCTTTTAAAATCTACTATATAATAAATATACCAAGATCCTTTTCCAATAAGTGGGGAAGTATTTATGAATACATGCTTTGTCCTCATAATCTAATTTCATTTTTAAAATGTTTATGGCTAAGCGAATTTGAAGAAATATGACATATAAACTGAAAAGCTAATGTAATTAATATTTTACAGCAATTTGTTGCAGTTCTCTTTGCCTAGAATGCTTTTCTTCTGGCAAACTCATAAATCCTTCAAAATTCATCCATGAAGTTTATTCTGATTCTCCAGAGCAGATTAAGCCTCTTGTTTAAGAGGCTTGTTTAAATTCCTCAGCATTCTAATCACACCTCTATTTTTGTACTTATCACTTTGTATTATAATTTTCTACTTATATATTTGTATCCATGACTAGATTATGAGTTCTTTGGGGCAAAGACTGTTTTTTTTTTTCTTTTTTCTTTTCTATTAATTCTTTTATTAACAAAACTAGCACCAGGCCTGACATCAAAATTAAAATTTTGATGAATGATTAAAGACAGACTACAGTACAATGATTTGCTCTGGCATCTGACTAACCTTAATAAAGATTCTTTTTCTTCTCCTTCTTGCTCACAATCTTCCCATATTTCCCTAAATAATTTCCAGCTCTTGTTCTTATTTCCTGAAGATCTTTCTAGTTCTCATGGTCACTATCACCCTGGTACTTGGAGTTTTCCTTTTCTATGTATCTTCTAAGATTTCTTTTTATTAACCATATAATCATTGACTAACCAGAAGTGTTTTTTTTTTTCATTTAAGAGCAAAAACCTATATGACAAAACTCAGTCCAAATTTATTCTGCTTTTTGTTTATTGTGAAGGAAGTAAAGTTACGGGTAGACACTGAGCATCTCGGGAGTGGAGGGGCAGCAGGCCCACACATCTGTACCTTGAAGGTCAATATAAGGTGGCTGAACTGAAACAATGCCTCCAGGTCCAATCTGATGCTCACGTGATCAAGACCTAAAGAAAAATCCAGAAAGAAGAAAATCAGTGATTTTGAGAGACCCGTTTTTCTCTTGTGAGTCCCCCATTGTGTCTTGTCTATAATAAAATCCCTTCGAAGTCACTTGGCTGGTGATCAACACTCTTCCCCAGTCTGCTGGAGTTCTAACCCATGCCACTCCAAGACCAGCAGATCTATGCGAGAGAAGTATGGGTTTTTTTTTTAACTTCAAAATATTAAGGGAATACAAATGTTTTTGGTTACATAGATCACTTTTGTAATGCTATAGATGTGCTCATCAGCCAGATAGAGTTCATTGTACCTGTTAGGTAGCTTTTTGCCCATTCCTTCCTCTCTGCTCTTCCCTGCTTGATTTCCAGTGAGTTTTACTTCCCTCTGTGCACATGTGGGATCACTGGCTGGTTCCAGTTGAATAGTGAGTACATGCGGTGTTTGTTTTTCCATTTTGTAGATACTTTACTTAGGACAACGGTCTCCAGTGTCATCCAAACTGTTGCAAAAATCCCTTAATTCATCCTTCTTCAAGGCTGAGTATTATTCCATAGTGTACATATACCGTATTTTTTAATCCACTCATGAATTCCTGGGCACTTGGGCTGATTTCACATCTCTGCAATTGTGAATTGTGCTTCAGTAAACACTTGGGTGCAGGTGTCTTTTTGATAGAAAGACTTCTTTTCCTTTGGGTAGATAGCCAGTGGTGGGGTTGCTAGACAGAATGGTAGGTCTACCTTTAGTTCTCGGAGAAATCTCCATACTATTTTCCATAGAAGTTGTACCAATTTGCTGTCCCATCAACAGTGTATAAGCGCTCCTTTCTCTCTGCATCCATGCCAGCATCTATTGTTTCTGGACTTTAATAAAAGGTAAGGTGATAGATATCTCATTGTGGTTTTAATTTGCATTTCCCTGATGATTAGTGATGTTGAGCATTTTTTCATATGTTTATTGGCCTTTTGTCTATTTTCTTTTGAAAAGCTTCTGTTCATGTCTTTTGCCCACTTTATAATGGGGTTGTTTTTACATCACTGTGCCCACATCCATGTTTTGGTGGCAACACACATGGCCACTGTGTGGCACCATTACATACTACCAAGGGAGTTCAGAGACATTTCCCATAGGTGCAAAGAGAGGGTTCATTTCCTTGCACTCAAATCCTGACTACATGCAAACATGAGCTAGCAAGCCAGAGTCAATAAAAACCAACACATCCCTCTCTTCCAATAGCTGCTAACAGTCATCTGAACTAGCATTTTACTGTCACTTGGAAAACGACATGGCTTGGAATATTCCCCTTGGAGTGGGGATCTGTGGGCTCCTCAATGGCTACAAAGATGATGGAAGTACCCTGGGCAGGACTTTGCACGGAGCTAGTTAGCCCCAATCCACCCAGAGATCAGGGAGCCCAACCCAGACTCGATGGACACTTGGATCTCTCTAGAACAGTGCTGCCCGACAGAAATAGGAGTCACATATGTCATTTTAAATGTTCTAGAAGCCACATTTAAAATGGTAAAAAGAAGCACGTAAATTTATCTTTCATAATATGCTTAAACCAATATATTTAAAAGTTAGCATTTCAACATGTAATTGATATTTTGAAAATTAGTAACTCTTTATTATACATTCCCCCCCTCAACCTAAGTCTTAGAAGCCTGGGATGTATTACACTGATAGCCTCTCCCAATCTAGATGAGCCATGTGTCAGGTGCTCAGCAGCCACGATCTTGGCCAGTGTGGCCCTGGACAGCAGTGTCAGGACCTCAGTGAACTTGGTTTCAGCTGACAGCTCCAGGGTGAAAGGCTCAAGGCGTTTCTGCTGAGAGGGCAGCCGCATTCCAGGCTTTCCACCAAGGCCCCTCAACCCTTTCTAGAAAGGGGATCTACCTTCCCTCTCTAAAAGGTTTGGTTGAGAACCCCTGTCCTAGGAAATCAGCCTGGACAGAGGCACACTCCCTTTGCGAAGAGATGTGGAGCAGATGCTGGCCGTGGGAGTCAAAGTGGCTGTTAAAAAACAAGGCAGCACACATCATGAGCAGAGGCGACTGTGGTGACAACCACGTCCTGCTCATTAAGGGGAGTCCAGCTACAGATCAATAACTGGGACCCAAAATGAAATGACATTTAGTAGATACCGATCGATCATGTGTCAAGGGGATGGCATTGAAAAAATGGCCTCGTGCTCTACTTGCCCTAAGCTGTCTTATCTATAGTGGCTATTCCCACACCCCCTCCTCTCGCTCTCGGATCCCCTAACGGAAATGTGTTTTGGAGTCTGAAGAGAGGAGGGATTTCAGCTCCTGGTGGTAGAGATGTGGTGAATGCAATCATTCTGTGGGGGTTAAGGAAACTGAGAGGGTTCCAGACCCGCAATGAAGCGAGGTCACCGGGAATGAGCACACCCTCTGGGAAAGCCCCGCCTGCAGGGACATGCATTTGGGCACATAAGGCCCATGGCTGGCGCTGGGACATGCGGGATCTCCAATCAGGCCCACACTTATGGCAGGCGCCAAGGAAATGAGGACGGAGGGTCAGGGCCAGTGCGGGTCACAACTGCTCGTGAACAGAGAAGGGCTCACATCCAGGAAGCAAAGAACTTCAGTCAGTAGCCAACTATCCCTTCAATTCAAATTTTATATTAAAATCTTTGGCTTGCAGTAAGAAGCAAAATGTTCTTTTCCTCTTTCCCTTCATGTGTTAGAGAAAGAAAACGCACATGGTGCTAACTCTCAGCCCTCCCCGGGTATTATTCATTCAGTTTACATCCGTGTGTTTTGGATTAGGCTTCATTTACCAACACTTCATAAAATTTCTTATTTATCACAAAGAACGAAAGGATGCGGAGATATTTTCTTCCCCCACATGGAAAGAGTGAAACATTCTGAATTATGTGCTGGAAATACACTTTGATTTTCCTGTAAAGGAAAATATTTTTTGTTGTTGTTTAAAAGAAGATAAATTTCATTCTTATATTAGGCTCTACATTTTTGGCGGATACTATTCCATTCCAGTGTGATATCTTGTTGTGGTATTATTAAGATGATACAGAGAGGAAAGATGCCTTATTAAAATATTAAGAAATAAAAACTATAAAGGAACTTAAATTATACCATTTTCGGATTGCCACCATTTCTTTTCTCTGTCTGGTTCAAAACTTGCAATGACATTCTCAATGGTGTGGCTGTTGGGTTGGCGGTACCAATCGTATGGAAATCTGGAGTCACAGATGAAGCACTTTTGTTCCTCCTGGAAAACACCATGGTTAAAATTAAAAATAAGGAATTATAATGACTTATTGTTGATCTAAATTAAAAACAAGCTGTCCTTACTATATTTGTCTTTGAAGCTGGCTAAAAATAAAAAGCAGAGGAAATAACAAGACATCAATTTTTCCATCAATAGATGCCTAAATGCAATCACTAAATTAAAATGTGACCTAGAAATTTAATGAATTTATAGATTTGGAGCAAAAATGCAAATTTTATGTGAAACTAATTTCTTCTCATATAACAGGTAGATGACCTGGAAGTTAATTTAAACTGTAGGTGAATAATTAGGATACACTTTTTGAGTTAGAACTAATTCTTTTACCCAAAAAGGTAATATTTGGCAGAAAATTAATGAAACAGTTGGCCACTAGGTTATCTGCAACTATCACCCTTGGTTGATGGTTTTTGGTAGAAAAGCTTCCATGACCAAAACCTTTATATTACATGTGTGTACTACTCAGGAAAAGATTTCAATAAACTCACAACAAAGAGGCCTACTCTCTTTTCCAATTCGCAAGACCTTTTAGTCTCTTAGAGGAACTAGTTTTGCTTTGCATGGATTTTCACAGGTTACAACAGCAAAGACTGGCCTTTGAGCTTGCTTAATTTCATGTGTCCATTTGCAGCTGTCCCTAGAACTCCTAAGGGGCTTTACAAAGCTTTCCAAAGCACTGTCAGTGGCCTGCATAGTTATTTCTGGCTAATCCTTGTGGGACTCTGAAGGAGCTCTTTTGCAAAGTTTCCAGGAGATGGGGCTGTTCTTTACAATCTTCCATGCTAGAAACTGCCTAGGACAGCAAAGATACTCAGCTGGTAGGGACAAAGCGTGTGTAGTTTTATTGCATGTCCTTACCGTGGCTTCTGATGCCTGGCATGATCTGAGCAGGGCCACCTCTTTGCTTTTATACCTACCTGGCTTCCTTCCCTCACTTGGCTCTAGCTACACTTGCTTCTTGCTATTTTTCAAGTATATGGAGAAACTTTCTGCCTTACAGTCATGGCACAAACCATTCAACCTCCCACATAGTCTTATCCCTTGCTCCTTCCCTTTTTTCAGGTCTCTGTTTAAATGACTTCATCTCAGAAGGACTTGCCCTGACTATCCTATGTAAAATGCCACCATCCCCGACCCCATTCCCTTCTGCCATGAGCTATCCTTTGCCCGGCTTTATGTGTTTCCTAAGCCTTTATCCCTACTCAAGACTATATGATATAGTTGTTGGTTTATTGTCTGTCTCCATAATTATAAGTGAAGCTGAATGAGGACAGAGACTTGGGTTCGTTTATTACTATATTGCATTACCTACAATAGTGCCTGGCACATAGTAAGTGCTCAGTAGAATTTGTGGAATGAATGCATGATGGTTTCAATAATTATTTCAGCTAGAGTCTGTCAAAGTGATCCAACCCTTCATGAGATCCATAAAGTCAGTGCATTTTAGAAGGACTGGTCATCATAAGCCTGATTGTCGAAGAAAATCAAAATGTCCTTTGAAAATGAAGGCCTAATGGATGCTAGTTCAGTCCTGCAAAGGGGTAGGCTAGCCCCAGAACTGCTCTAAATGAGTAGCAGAAGCCTTGTGCTTCTGTCAAAAGATGTCAAATCTTCAAAGAATCAACCATACTATGGAAATTATTGGGGGAAAATGCTTAACTTTAGGGCTTATGGGCCATTTTTCTGAAAACATTTTAGGAGCATAGGCTTTGATGGGGCTGGTGCCAGAGGATGCTTAGTTGTGGCCACTAAATGTGGAAGTTCCAACGTGGATAACCCATAGGTCAATGGTGACTGGAAGCTTCTGAAGAAAATGTTTCTTAGATAATAGATGGGGGGAAAAATCATCCTGCATGCTGCATGAATGTTTATCTAGAGTAGTGATTGTAGCCCCACCTGTAATACTTTATCAGCTGAAACATTTTAAGGTTGTTTTCCAGCTCTAAGCTTTCTAAGATTTCTCTCATTCTATAGACAAAGAAGCCCCTGCAGTTGGATTTACTTCTATTTTTGGTGACATAACTTTGAGACATAGGAAGGCCAATCTTTAATTATTGTCAGAGTATGTTGGCTCATGACAACTGTAAGCAAATGTCAGTGGTTGATGAACAAGATGGGTGGTGTTAGTGTTGGAGAGTTTCTAATATTAGAGTTGAGAACCACTTCTTTGTCCAGAGGACCTGGATTCAGTAAAAATCATTTAAAGAGCACCCATCCATGTGGCCTAGAATTGAGCGGAAATTCTACCATGTAATTTCCTTGCATATGTAGAGAATTTGCTTTCTTGCACAAGTACTTCCCAAACTTAGAATAGTGCTAAGCAACCAAGTATTGTCTCCACTTATTTAATCATCGTCTTTTACTAGAAACCAATTAGAATACAAAGCATTTCCCAGAGACCTAAACAGGTTGCCTTAAATGAACAATACATGGAAAAGCCTGGGCCACTAACATTAGGCTTATGTCCAGCTTCCTTCCTGCACATCCTCTCATTTAAGGGGTTGATGTCATTGGATCTCAGGATTTTCTGTAGGTATACTACTCAGATGACCTTGGATGCTTGTTCTGCTGCCAGCATGTGGGGAGAAAAAAAGCCTGAAAAGCTACTGATCGTCTTATAAAACTGTTCTTTAAGGGAAAAAGGCCCCAAAATATGTTTGCACTAGGACTTTATGATTTTTAGACAATACAACCTCCAGGAAATATTATGAAGTTGGTATACAGGCAGTTCACAGTTCTACACCCCCACCCCACCCCACCAAGGCAGAGCCATGAGCACTCACATTCAGCACAGTGGCCTCAAAGCCCTATGGGGTCTTTTATCTTCACTGAATGAGTCAATTACGTTCTCTCTATGAGAATGACTAAAGCAGCTAAGTGGACCAGTAGATTTTACAGCAAGTCCCTTCAAAGACTGAACAAAAAAGACTTAATTCTGAAGGTAACAAGAAATGGAAATTAAACAGATCTATCCTATTTTTTGATTAGTCAAGGTTTCCTGGACTTTGAGTCACATTACAGTTGGCTCTCCAGTTAGTTCTGGGTCTTTGGATTTAACCAAGTTATATGCAAATACTATGCCATTTTAGATCAGGGACTTGAGCATCCATGGATTTTAGTATGGAGAGAAGGGTCCTGGTACTAAGCCCCCTTGGGTACCCAGGGACACTTGCCCCTGTGTCTCTACTGATCAGGAAGGAGTGTTGTCTCTAGTGTTGTCTGAGTAGCCCCATATGTACTTGGAAAAATCTCTATCATTGATTAAATAATGTCCCAGCAAGTAAACAAAGGGCCAACCCACCTCCAGGTAACTGAGGATGCAGTATTTCTGGGCTTCGTTCAGCCCGCAGGTAGAAGAAGCTGCAAGCTGCCTGTTACGGCCCACAAGGAGATTGCCAGTGGTAGGATGACAGGCACCTCTGCGGCAGTCATCTTGAGCCTTGGAGAAACTGAGCCACCCTTGAACACAACAGAAACAGTTACACATAAGGCCGTCTAAAGGCAGCCCTGGCCAGAAGGGAGAGCTGGTTAAACTGGAAAGTTAACAGTCGGTTTATTTTGGATACTGATTTTTCCGATCTTTAAGACTCCGGTTGTGGATGTCATTGGTGCCATCAGCCTGATGGACATCTCTCAGCCTGGGAGGTTACACCTTCTGTGTCCCCTGTACTCTTCTGGGGCAGCCTGTAGCCAATGACTGATGGATACGGGTTCAAAGGGCTGCCACCAATGCCTCAGACCGGGGTCAACTCCACGGTGCGATTCATGCTCAGAAGCTCTAAGCACAGAATCTGGACAGGTTCTGTAAGTCAGTTATAAACATTTGGGCAAATGTGTCTCATTAGGGACAGAGGAAGAAAAACCACCAGTAAATCTTTTTGATGTCAAGTCACCTAGAAGACTTTGAACCATGGTTCCATCATTGTATATCTTCAATGAAGAAGATATCAATGTTAAGATATACAAGAGTCAAGAAGAGTCTTTGACTCTCAGGAAAGATTTACACTGAATTAGGAAAATATTGCTTCCCTTAAGTCTGAAATAAAAGCAGGGTTTGATTGAATGACTGAGAACGCAGAGGTTGGTAAATACCTAGGTATAGTTAGGCACAGCTAATAACTGCATTTGGATATTTATATATTTAACATTGGCTGAAGATGTACCAGACTTTTAAGTTTATTAATAGATGATGAACAGTCCCAACTTTGCTTGCTGGGTGGCATTAGGTATAATAACTCTCTGAGTCTCAGTTTTTTCAAAGTATGGATTCACACTAAAGATAAATGCTTCTAAAATGTGATGAACTAAACTGGAGGTCAGCAGGATTCTCCATCAAAAAAGAATGCTGAGAACAGTAAATGTGGGAGATACTGCACCCTATATCCCTTTCTTGGATATTTACAATGGACGCCAGCATATTGAAATCCCTGAGAAATGCTTTTCATGAAAAAAAAAAAACACCAAACAAAACAAAAAGCAAGTCTCTTTAAAGTTATTTAATCTTGTATTTCCAAAATTTATTTCACCATTCAAGGCATTTTTTATTCAAATCAGACTAACATTTTGTACAATACTAGGAAGACATTTTGTGAAATGCTGAACTCAATTTTCTTGAAGTGTCTTCCAGTCTGAAAAATCCAATGATTCTGGAAGTGAGGGGGTCATTGTGTCTTACTTAAAAATTAGTTTTAAAGTTAAATCTTGGGAATTGATTTAAAGTATAAGCCTTAAATCAAATTGCTCTGGAAAAATTTGTAAATTGCCTATATAGCACAGGATACATAGCTTTGTACACACAAATCCTAACCATAATCCTCAAAGTAATGTTTGAGAACCATCAAGTCAGATAAAGGAAGGAAACGAAGGAAAGTCTACATGCAAAGGGGTGAGCATTCGAATCATTCTGAGTTAAGGTAACTGCTAAATCACTATATGAGCATGTGGGTGAGTAGGGTAACCCGAGGTACTTCTTGCCTGTGGGGTTTGTTCCCTCATAGTAGGTATTATAGTTTGGTAAACAATAATATATCAATATATTTGTTAATTGTTGGGAAGTCTGAATAGAATGAAGTGGAATCTTACTGGGGATTAAAGTATAAAGTTAACCAACATAAAGTTAAATGCATATATAATGAGAATCAACTATAATATTTGTGGATAGCTATTTATAAAAATAGTTGTATTTCTTCTTTTAAAATGCATATTTGAACAGGAGAGTGTAGTGTCATTGCTAATTCAATTAAAGGGTTAGAATCCTGTTTGATTCTGGAGGCCAAATCTTGGCACTGGTTTTCTCTTGATGATAACTCAAAATTACGCAAGGTAATTTTGTGGAAATAGCCTTTGGATGTAAGGGCACAGGACCTATAATAGCTAGAACACTTTGAAAAAGAATAAAAGGGAAGAAATAGCCCTGCTCAATATGGAGGCTTACTGTATAGCTAAATAAACAAGGAAGTGTGATAATGGTGGAGGAATAGACACATAGATCAATGGAATAGAATAGAGAACTCAGAAACAGCATCCATGGATTTTAGTATGGAGAGAAGGGTCAGAAACAGAACCACATAAAAATGCCCAACTGAATTTTGAAGTGTAAAGGCAATTCAGTAGAGAAGGGATAGATTTTTCAATAGATAGTGCTGGAGCAATTGGATATAATAGGCAAAAAAATGAAGTACAATAAAAACCTCACACCTCGAGATAATTAATAAATATTAACTCAAAATGAAGCATGGACGTAAGGGTACAATATAAAACTATAAAGCTATACAACGTCTATAAGACAAAAGAGAAAATCTTTGGGACTTAGGGTTATGTGAAGGATTTTTAGAATTGACAATAAATGCATGATTCATAAAAGGAGAAATTGGAAAATTGGACCTCATTAAAAACTTTTGAGTTTTATCACCATGAGATATCACCACACACCTATCAGAATAGCTCAGATAAGAAATAGGGATAACACCAGATGCCAGAGAGGGTGTGAAAAAAACTGGATCCCTCATACGTCACTGGTGGGACTGTACAATGGTACAGGCACCCTGGGGAAGAATAAGGTAGTTTCTTATAAAACTAAGTGTGTGTTTATCATGCAACTCACCAATTACATTCTTGGGCATTTATCTCAGAGGAATTACAACTTACGTTCACACAAAAAGTTATATATGAACATCCATAGTACCTTTCTTTGTAGTAGCCAAAATCTGGAATCAACCCAGATGTCCTTCATTGGGTAAAGGGTTAAACAAAGTGTGGTACCTCCATACCGTGGAAAAGTACTTAGCAACAAAAAGGAGTGAACCACTGACATATGCAACGACTTGCAAGGATCCCAAAATAATTGTGCTGAGTGTAAAAGGCTATGTACTGCATAATTCCATTTATATCACATACTTGAATAACAAAATTGTAGAGATGGAGGACAGATTAGGGGCTGTCAGGGCTTAGGAAGGCAGATAAAAGGGTAGTATTAGGGATCCTTGAGGTGATGGACCTGTTCTGTGTCTTGACTGTGGTGATAGTCACACAAATCTCTATGGTGATAAAATTGCATAGAATTAAATACTCATGAGTACACGCAGAACTGGCGAAATCTGAATAAAATCAGTGGACCGTATCAATGTTGATTTCCTGGTTGTGATACTGTACTACAGTTATAGAACATGTTACCATTGAGGGAAACTGGGTGAAGGGTATATGTCTCTCTCTTTGTATTATTTGGAACAGATGCATGTGAACTTACAATGATCTCAAAATAAAAAGTAAAACAATAAATCCTCTCTTCCTCAACCCCATAATCACCCCATTAGCTTCTGGATGGTGAACCAAATAAATCTCACACTCTCAAAATACACATGTGGCATGTTCCAGCAGTTTGTGTCTACTTTACCCTTGAGACAAGACAAGACATGAACATTTATGCCAACCCTTTATTTCAGTAGACGGATGGGCCCATAATATAAAAATAATTACCAAAGTGTGAAATAAGCTTGGTTTCTCCTCGGTTTTCTTAATTGTGAAAATATAAATAAATAATTTTTTTTTCATGGACTTGTCTTACATCTAATGAATTTCTTTCCTTCAACTTGATCCCCAAAATAGCCTATATGGCTATTGAAAAATCATGTTTTTTTCTTTTATGTACATATTATTCACATGAACTATTCTATTCATCTGGTCATTTTGTGATTATCATCAGGCATGAAACATGTATAGATCATAAATTCTACAGCTAAGAATATCATACATAATGTCTCCACTCTCACAAGTTACTAAATGTCAGTTTGAACAGGAAATTTTCTATCTTCGATCTCATTGTAAAGATTATTATTCTAAATCAAAAGGAAAACATTTCTTTTTCTTTGAGACATATGTGTGAAGAAAGTTAGCCCCATCATACACTTTTTTTTTTGTGGTGTAATAAATGATCCTAGATTGGTTAACATGGATTTATTTTTAATTCTCTCAGAAACCCAAATCCACATCTCCTTTTATTTTCTGGAGTTGGCATCTAGGATAAATAACTCTTTGGAAGTTTGAACTTTAATTGACAAAGGTGTTTTTAAAAACAAGGTCAGGTGTAACAATTCTGCTGATGCTACATGTGGATTAGCTAAGACTTCCCTTTCAGGGATTTATTTATTCTTTTAGACAAGTTCCATCCTGAATTCTTTTATTGGAGTTGTTGCCTTAGAGATTTCACATGTTTTTATAACCTGACTTGGCCAAACTTGTTTTGATCAGATGTATACTTTTTAGAAAAAATATTCCAGGAAATTTATTCCAAAAAATATTATGGAAATCGAACCATTATTCCTGTAATATTATAGGTATAAATATGAACTTTTCTAAAATACTTGGCAAAAAGTGGCTAGAAACATAAATAAAGTTTCATGCCTGAACATAGACTCAGCAACATCCTTCCTGGGCTGAAGCTTTCAAATGCCAAATCACATTAGCGATAGGTTAGAATTGATATTTATATCTTTTGACGATCAATGTGTTTCTCAAAAAATGACATACAACTTGAAGATAGAATGATATTAAAAATGAATTTAGGAGATCTGGTCATTTAAAGACAATTTCTATAAAGAATCATTTCATAGAAATAACTATTATTATATAATTTCTCTATTTAGTAATTTTGCATAGTGATATAATTTCCTTAAACATGAGACATTTTCTGTTAGAGTTCATGTCAAGCATTAGAAGATGTGAACATTCACAAACATTTATGTGGTCACACACATTTAGTTCTTATGGATAAGAAAAAATATGAAGAATGCATGTTAGATAAAGTTTGCACTTGGCATTAAGTTCCCCAAACCTGTGGGCCAAGACACTTATGATTCTTTCTCATCTTCCTCAGTCAGAATGCAAAACAAAGTGTTTAAATAGGCTCCAGTATTTATATAAATGCTGATGTTCAAACAACCAATGGGAACCATAAACACTAGAAATCTGGTTTAGATTAGGGTAAGGTTAGATTTAAGAAATCCAGGATTGATTACAGTGAGGCCTTTTCTACCTGAGCTAATTTAGTTTAAAAGATTTTCCCTCCAGAGAGCGGGATCCCTTATCTAAGGAGGGTTCTTAGAATTTTTGCAAAGTGTGAGTAAGGTATTCTACATAGAGGCTGGGGAGAAGGGGGAGTCATCTTCAGTGGTCCTTTTGGACTTTGGATCCTGGTTTAGTTTGAAAGAGAACATCCAAGGCAGGTATATCAGTAGTTTAACACAACTCTTTTATAATCATTTGAGGCCAGATCTAAGCCTCCTAGTCCTGGGGCGTGCAGTTATGAACACGAGTCTCTGCTCCCACTGGGCGGTGGCTCACACATCTCCAAGGCAGAGAATTTTCAACAGAGAATACATGAACTCTTATGATCTGGAGCTGTTCTTTCCCCCATTACCAGTAGATCTAACTGGAAAATTTTACCTCAGGGTTAGGGAATTACAAAATTAAAAGGCGAGATTCTGAAAGTTTGCTACCATGAAGAAATACAGCACAAATTTTTGAAGAGATTCTAAGCAATTTAGTTAGCACTCAGTAACCACAGGCAGGACTGTTATAGTTACAGAAAACTCAGATCAAAGAGAGGAATTGTTGGAAACATCTTCTCTATGATTAATGCAAATAATTCTTAGATTAAAAACAGCAGAAGCATGGAGAATTTGGTCTTTTAGATGAGAGCTGCTCCTTACTTAGAAGACAGTATTTTGCCTATCAATTCCTCATAAGACCTCATCACGGGGACAAATATTACTTTCAAAGCAGAGTTATTTATTTGTGAATTAAGAATCTGAAACAATTCTCTCCATTCTTTAGTACCTTACTAGACTTATCTGCTCATAACATTCTTTAAAGAATGATAGAAATAGCTGCATGTGGAAACTAAACATGTTTGAATGGAATTTTTCAGTTGCTTAACACAATTACATAACAAAATAGCTATGCAAATATATAGCAGTATAGAAGAAAGAAGTTTAGACGTGTTTAAAAACTATTCCTACTGAATATCTTAGGACAATTCAATACAAACAGAAAATGGATTTAGACAATTAATACTTACCAAGGTGTAAAAAAAGGATCAGTTGAAGTTGCATTCTTTTGTCAGGAAATGATTAAATTCAGTTCTTCTAGATTAAAAAAAGATTAAAGTCAGTTACCGACAGAATCAATAATTGCCATCATCACATATTATTTAAAAGCCCTCAAACTTGTCTAATGGTTCTTAAACGCTTTAGAGATATAAAATACCCACAATGGCCAGTTCTTTAAAAAATAAGAATACATAAAATTTTAACAAATATTTGTTTACTATTAATGTTTGCCATTTTTTGAAATGGTAAGATTAAAAAGCTTGTGGGAAATAAGATGAATAAATATAATCTCCTTTGCATATTTTAATTTTAACATTTTTTTTTTTGCCCATTCTTACTTAGAAACTTTTTGTCTAAAAATTACAGTTAATATATACTCACTGTAGAAAAGTAGAAAATTCACACAGGCAAAATGAAAGAAAGCATCACCTATAGTATTACCACCCAGAGAAAAGCAATTAATATCTTACTGTATGTTCTTCCATACTTTCTTTCCTTGCATATAAATAATTAAAAAAATAAATTCACAATTTTCTTGTTTCAATCAATACATCCTAGACATCCTTTTATACCAAAAAAATTATTTTTTCTTTTTTAAAAAAAATTTTTTTTAAATTAAATTTCATTATTTTATTTATTATTTTTTTTTTTTTAGTAGAGACAGGGTCTCACTCTTGCTCAGGCTGGTTTCGAACCCCTGACCTTGAGCGATCCTCCCGCCTCGGCCTCCCAGAGTGCTAGGATTACAGGCATGAGCCACCATGCCCGACCAAAAAGATTTTTTTTTATAATTAGTATTAAACCCATGCCTCTCCCCTTTGTAGATTTGGCCATGCCCTCGAGAGAGATGCTCCCCTCCATCCCAGTCACTGTTGTTGGCGTGCTCTGGTGGAGATGGGAGTATGTATGCACCTCAGTGTGTAGGGAGGAAAAAAGGTGAGCTTCTTTCCTGCACCTGCACTTTTAATTACCATATAGTATTCCTTTGATTGCAGGAAATTGAATTTATTTAATGAATTCCTTATTGGTTGATGTGTATTTTGTTTCTAATATTATAAATATTTCTGCTAAATCTTTGTTCATATCCTTAATTATTCCCTAGGATATATTAAATGGAGTGGAAATAATGAACCAAAGAGTATATATGTGTGCATAGGCACACATGTGTATATAAAGAGTATATATCCATACATGCACATATATACATGTAGGTGTATTTATGTATACACATATATGTGTATGCATATATAAAGGTTTTGATGTCACTTTCCAACTGCCATGCAAAAAGTGTGTCTTAATTTACACTCTCACAACAGTCTATGGGAACAACAGTTGACATGAGCCTTTGTCAATATTGAGTATTATGAATGTTTAAATCTTTGTCCATTAATAAAGCAAAAGATTATGCCTCATCATTATCTTAATTTCTTATTTGGATAGTAGGAAGTATAAAAATATTTTTCCTGTGTTTTCAGGTGAGAATACTTTTGACATTCTATTCTTCGAGGCTTTTCTTGGTAAATCCTTTGTTTATCTTCTAGTCTCACATTCCTGACCCCTCCACTCTCACATCCCTTGTTCTTCAGTCTGAGCGCCCCACGTGCTGGTTTCTGAATGCTCTTCTCAAAGGTTGTTTCTTTTGCCTGAGAGGCCACCCTCCTACACCTAAACGCCAGCCTCCCTGTGAAGTCTTTTTAGGGTGTCTTGAAATGCCTGATTGTAGGCAAATTTCCCATTCTGTGATTCAAGCTCTTTACATAGCCTGGGGTTCATTTCGGAAGTCTAAGGCCATAAGAAAATGACTCACTGAGGAACAGTCTTCCTGCAGAATCTCCATCTGGAAGTGAGCTCTACCTGTTAGAAAGTCTGTAATCCTGGACTAATGATCATATATAAAACCTTGTGAAGACCTATGGGGGAATCCAGGATGGAGCCTTAGGGAGGTCCATTTTCTATAAGCCATTTGAACCCAAGCACTGAAACTTTGTATCCATGAAACAAGTCCTCATGTCTCCCTCCCTCCAGCCCCTGGCAACAACTCTTCTACTTTCTGCCTCTATGGATTTGACTACTCCAAGTACCTCATATACGTGGAATCATACAGTATTTGTCCTTTTGTGACTGGCTTATTTCACATAGCATGATGTTCTCAAGGTTCATCCATGTTCTAGCATATGTCAGAATTTCTTTCCTTTTTAAGACTGAATAATATTCCCATTGTATGTACCTGGGGAGATTTTTAAACCACTAACACTCAGGTGCAACCCAGACTAATTAAATCAGAATCTTTGGGGGTGGGTCCCTGGTGTCAGCGTGTTAAAATGACCTCCAGACTATCATAGCAGCCAGAGTTGAGAACCACTGAAGGCTCACAAACACCTAAAGCTCATTAATTTGCCCCCTACCCCTGCTGCTCTCCTGGATTCCATTCTAAGACAAGGGCAAACCCAGTGGTTTCCAAACTTTGTCGCATGTTAAAGTCACCAGGGGAGATTTTAAAACTCCTGCTGCCTGGGTCACATTCCCTCCCAATTAATTTAGAATATCTTGGAGTAAGGTTCTGGCATTAGTATTTTTAAAGATTCTAGGTGATTCCAGTGGGCAGCAAAATTTGAGACCCTCTGTATAACCACAGACCAACTTGCTTGGGCCAGAAACATGAAGGTCACCCTTGATTCCTCTTTTTCTCACCCTTCAAATCTAAATTCTCATCAAGCCCATTTGATCTTAGCTCCTTAAACCATGGTTCTCAAAATGTGGTCCCTGGACTTAATAAAGTGACCAGTTCCTCTCAGTTTGCCTGGACTTTTCTGGTTTTAGCACTGATTCTGGTTCCCAGAACCCCCCTTGGTCCTGGGCAAAGCCAGATGGTTGGTCACCCTATCGGACCAGCAACAGCACCCGGGAACTTGTTGGACATGCCAGTGATTGGGCCCCAGCTCAGGACCTAGTGATTAACAAACTCTAGGGACGGGCTCAGCACTCTGCTTTCACATGCCCTCCAGACGAGTCTGATGAATGCTCAAGTTTGAGAACCACCGTCCTAGGTAATTCCTAAGTCTTTGCAGTGTAAAGCTCAGAGCTACTGCTGCTCCTAGGGATGGCAGCTGACACTTAATGAGAACCTACTCTGTATCAGGTTCTTAACTGTCTGTGTGGCCTGACAACTCCTCAGACAGACATTGCAGGTCCAGGCTGCAGTGCTGGGGCAGAGGACATCTGGTAATGCCTGCAGAAATTTTGGCTGTCACAATAGAAGAGAGGGATGCTACTGGCTTCCAGTGGGTAGAGGCCAGGGATGCTGCTAAAATAAATATGCTGCAATGCAAAGGACAGTCCCTGTCCCCACAACAAAAAATTTTCCATCCCCAAATATCAACAGTGTGGAGCTTGAGAAACTCTGCAAGTGGCTTTAGTGCCCGTAGCCATGGGCCTTATCTTCCCGTCCTTTATTTCCTCAAATAGCTCACCTCGAGTCTTCCTGGTTTTTATTTCCCATTTTAGGTGAGTTAAGCTTCAAACTAGACAAGTATCATAGTGAGTCTGGCAACTTCTACAAGTTATGTTATCTGAAATCACCTACCCAGTCATTATAAAACCTATAGCTGCACAGATAGCCCCATTTCAGGGGTTGTGGTAATCTCATCCGTACCTTCCTTCACTGAGCTACAGATGTAATTGGTACAGCTTTTCTGGTTGGTTTACCAGAGCTGACATTTTGAAACTCACAGGAGCTACATGACATTTTTTTGCGTGCTAGATTTATCAGTGAGTTTGAGTAATATATGTAAAAGTGATTGGGGTTAATAAATGTAATATTATTCCTTCTTTGGATGAAAAGCATATAAAAGAATTTCCAAAGGCACCAGGTGCATTTTGGTAATTGTTTAATGAATGCTGCTAGGTGACACTGGTCTTAAAATGAGTTAAGCCTTGCAATAAATAGTAAAACATATTAAACCGACAATAACTTTCTGGCATTGCTAACTGATTTAATTTATTGACTATTGTTCACTAACATTGCTTTATCTGTCTTCACTTAAAGCCTGCTCCCTGTCCAACAGCTTGTCAAAGAGGTTTTTTTTCCTCCTTTTTTTGCCAAAACAACTTGGATGAGACAGATGCAGACATGAGGGGCAAATAATGCCAAACTGCCCAGCTCCTGACCCACACGTGGACATAGTGTTTGAAAAAAGCCTGTCCACAAGAAAGGCATGCATTTCCACTCCTGTTTCTACTACTGTTCCTTTCTTCTGCAAATTATAGAGTAATTTATAAAACAGCAGATACTTATAACTAACAAATCTTTAAGACTTTTTCCGGCATGCTTAAATGGGTGATCTTACACATCTAAAGTGACAGTTCTCAGAGAAATCTTATGTTTCACTTTCCCCTGTTTAACTTTTTTTCATATAGTATCACCAGAGATTTCAACTGTTTTGCCTAAATTGCATCACAATGAGGGATGCAGAATACAGAGCAATAAAGTTTACTTTTAATTACAGCAGAAATTTTTCTTAAAGCTTAATATTTATAAATATCTAGGATAGTAACAAAATATTTTGAAAATATAGTTCTAAAGAATTTGAGGCTTTTCTAACTTATCACAAGCTGTATCCCCATAATGAAAATAAGCAATCACTGAGCACACAACTTAAAATTGTGCATTTCAACACTACATTTGGAGCTTCCTTCGAGATACAGAAAGGCTCAAATCATTGGCTGTAACTCACCAGGCTTTAGGCATCAATTTTCCCATTGGATATTATTTTGTGTTGCAATAACCTTACGTATACATGTCATCTGATTATCATTCTGTAAAAATAATTATAATCTATGCTCTTACATACTCTATTTTTTTACTTTATGCTGACTCCCCATGTACTTCCCAAATTCTGAACTTGCTGGTACCTTCAATTAATCCATAAAATTCTGATTTACCAGCGAAACAGCAGGCAAGACTCACCGGGATTCGAGCGTCTGTGTTGGAGGCGCAGGCAGCAAACAGGGCGTGTGAAGACACACCTGAAAGTGAGAGTCGATTTAAGTAGAAAACGTTCTCCCTGAGGCACCTAAAATAAGGGGAAAAGAAAGAGGAGAGCTATTCCGAAACCTGCCAAAAAGATGATTGTGAAGTCACCTGCCTTAGGTTTTGACTAACAAGCACACGCACGTGTACACACACACACACACACACACACACACACACACACACACACACAGAGTACACAGAGGGAAATAGAGCTCGATTTTACAGCAAATGTTCTTGTTTTCTCTAAAACCCATTTTAATCTCTAGGGATAATGCAGAGACATTTTGTTCTCTGTTTTATTTATTTTCTAGTTCATGTCGCAGTGGTCATTTTTAGACACCTTGTTACTTAGCCATCAAATGTGCTGAAGTAGAGGGGCTTGTTGCTCACAGATGAGAGAGCCCAGACCCACCCCCATCTGCTTCCCAGGGGTCCAGGTGGAATACTTTCCTCAGGGTTCTCCAGGCTCCGTTCATTTAATGGCTCGCACATCTCCGTTTACCTTGCGATTTGGCAAGTATAACCCTAAGGGAATCGCAGGTTTAAGTGGTTTGGAAATCCATTCTCCTACCAGGTAGGTTTATAGGATAGGAGTGAAACTAAGGAAGAGTCTTAAATTGTATTCACCTGTCAGTATATTAAAATATCCATTTCAAATCTGTGCAGTTTCAGTGGGTAAGTTTACTGGTTACTTGAAGAGACACACGTGGGATTCCTAGAAGCTCATGGAGAATCATCAAGCTTCCCCCTGTGGAAGAATAATGGCTGTGAACCCAGCCAAAAGAAGACATGCAGTTTTCCACAACATTTACAAGTCAAGGAACAGGTTCAACAAACATTCCTCCCACACTAGTTTTATAGACTTTTAAGCATTTTCAGAGCTGTTTTTTAATGGTTCTTCCCTGTTAGTTGTGTTTATATTTATTGCTGTGCTTTAACTTGATACCCCCGTTGTTTTTTAATTGTTTCCTACAGGTCCGGTCCGTCTGCTCACTTGTGATGTTCTAGAAAGCAAACTTCCAGAAGGCAGAAACCACATCTTTTCCTTTTTAGGGCTAAGTGTCAAGGAAGCTTGCAGTCAATATTTGCTGAACTAACTTGTTTTATTTCTTTATATAAACTAATAATGTCCACACAGCATAAGGTAGTGGGAAACCAAGGAGCAGTATTTGGCTTTTAGGTAGAAACTTCAGCAGGGAGTTGGAGTGAAATTTTAGGGACTTTTCAGTTTGTTCAATTAATGGGTTTGTGATTTGTTAGCCAAATACTGTTTTTTCCTTTAGATGTTTCAATTGTTGAAAACAAATTCTAGGCACTAAATGTTTATATTTTAAAATTATTTCAAACATGGAAATTCCATAACAAGTTTTTCCCATTTGATATATGTAAATTTAAAAAGCTTGCTGCATTCTTGAGTGATTTTATTATATCCTAATGGTTTTTCCCTGATATATGTATCTGCAGTTTTATAATGAAAATTGAAGTGACAACATGGTTTGAACTTCAAAAATTTGCCTTCAAACAATTGAAAGAAAATGTTGCCATAGGATATTGCCTGTAAATTGACGCCATGTCTTGGTATATCTGCCTCTGTCTCAGAAAGGCTTAATTATCTCTTAGGATTGGGGCTAGGCCTGGAGGCTGTCAGGCAAGAGATATTTTCCTGAAAAATAATTTGCCCATTGAACAGTTAGTTGATGAAAAGCAGTCTCAGTAAAATTCTTCTTAAACAAAGTCTTGCTACCTCTCATTTTTCTTTTCCAAAAAGAAAATAGCTTTATTGTTTTCCCTGAAAAATAATAGATGCTCATTTATCCCAAATAAGACAATATAAAGACAAAGAAGAAGTAAAAATCAACTGAAAGCCTCAGATTTTTTGGTGAATATCTTTCTAGATTTCTCCTCTCTTTCTCGTTCTTGCTGACTCGCTTTTCTCTCAGAAAGAGAGGATGGTCTGAAGAGCTGGAGCGAGTGCCCAAACTCAGAAGTGTGGAGTCCTACCCTTTATTTCGTTGCTCACAGAACCTTCAAAGCTGGCAAATTCCATTAGGTATAACTTACGTGTCAACATCCATTTGTTGTACGTAAGCAGTTTAATGCCTTCAGTTGAACTAAAGCTGAGTTGGAGAGAAGCGAACATTTCACCTCTCGACGTGGGACGGGGTATTTCCTCAGAAGGCAGCCTGGGAGGAAACTCTTTGGTGGAGCCTCAGTTTATCCAGAACAGCTTAATGAGCTTTCTCTGGCGGTGGCCTTGCCTGCCTTTCCTTCTTGGTGGCCCACCTCACCGCAGGGCCGAGGAAGCTGCGCCCGGAGAGACTGGCCCTCAGCCAAGGAGGTTGCCCCCAGTCAGGGGGATTTCGCCAGGGATGAGGGCTAAGCAGTCTTTATTAGGCACAAGGAGCCTAGCAAGTCCGGACAGGATGTGTGCGGGATTAGTCAGTCGAAGAGGACCTTGAAACAGCTAATCAGCCTTTAATAAGATTCAGTGAACCTGAATGAAGCTAAGATCACGGTGCTTAAGGGAGCTGACACAGCTGCCGAGGCTCTGAAACGACAGATGGGGGTGGGCCTACAAAGTCCTCGCTCAGGGAGGAAACGGCACAACCCTCCCTGATAGGACTGCTGCCAACCCCGTTGGGGTTACCTCAGCGCGACCCCAGGCGGAGAGCCCGTTGGCACCTGGCGAGAACCCCCAGGGATTTACCATTTGGTTTCTCTTATAACCCACTTTCCCAGTTCTTTCCCTGACAGAGAAGGAGGAGAGGACCCCCACATCCTGCAGTGGCCTGGGCCTGAGGTCACCTTGGCATTTTCACCTCAGAATCTGCCTTGGCGAGTGAGCTCTAGTCACAGAGACTGAGGTAGATGGAGCTCGCATGGCATTTAGGAGAGAGTAAGGAGACTCAAGTCCATTGATTTGTTTTTAGAATTCCTGTAAGAATTTAAAAGTGCATTTCAATATGTACAGGAAAGTGCCAAATTTTAAAGTTGTTGGTAAATGTGTAAAAGCTGTAGCATTACTGTGAAAAAATTGTGAACACAGTCAAAGAGTGTGAGACCCTGCAAGGACTTCAGAGATAATTATATTAACTAGTTCTGACTATCTTAGAGATAAGGAAACTAAAATCTAGAGAGTTAAATGGTTCAGCTAAAGCCCCACAGTAGCCCACAGCCACCTTCCACCTTTCCACTCTACCAGCCCATGGTGGATGGCCATGTTAAAGATTCTTTGGTGTGGTGGCTTTGTGACACAGAGTCACACTAGCACACTTGAAGGCTTCAGGGAGTCCAGGGAAATGGGAATGTTTTATAGGAGAATGAAGTGCACTAAATAATTTAATTCCCACATCAATCTTGTGAGGTAGGTACTAAATTATTCTCATTTTCTAGATGAGGAAACTGAGGCACAAAGAAGTTAAATAACTTGCACATGATCACACAGATATCAGCATTTCTTTTGATTGTCTTGAAACGAACTGGTACAGCAAGGAAGCAGGGGAGGTAGAGCAGTAAAGACCAGGTGTTCAGGGGCTATTACAGGTATCAAGTGGCAGACCCAACCCTCCCAGACCCCTTCCGTCCCATCATGCTGAACTGTGCCAGGAAAAATTGTGAAAATCTTTGCGATGAAGAAAAAGATGACTGGGTATTTTGTGTGCTGCATCCTTCTTATTTATCTCTGTCTTTCATTGTCTTTAAGTTATTTCACAACTCTGTAAGTCTTAGCATATTGATAGTAATGCAAATGATTCTTTTCATGGAAATGCAAATTGTGTCCTGTAGAGATGCAACTGATTATTTCTGTATACAAAGCGATACACATAGATATTAGCCAATCGACTTTAGCATTTCTGATGGCCTATGTATATATGTTTTTAAAAAAATACTCCTTTGAACTGGTTATAACATTTTCCTGGTTCTCTCCTTAATTAATGAATTGAATAAAATCTTTGGCACATGTTTGTTTTATATGTCTATGAAAGTCATTTTACTTTGTGCCTGTGTGTCTCATATTAATGTGTCTACGTGTTGTCTACAGCTGCATTGTCTACACCACAGTAGCAGAGCTGAATAGTTATAAGAGACCACACCACCTGCAAGGCCAAAAATATTTGAGTCTTGCCCTTTACAGATAAAGTTTGTTAACCCATAATCTACTTAATGCCACTAGAGTCTCAGCATCACCCCCAGGACACTATCTCTGCAGGCCAGGCTGGGTTTCCCCTTCTGGTGCTTATAATGCCCTGCTACCTACGTCTACTGTAGCAGCCGCCATCCATTTTGGTTGTCACCTCTTATACCTCCGCACCTTGTCTATAAATCACCCCAGGACATGGACTGTGTCCTGCTCACCCCAGCATCCTCAGTGCCTAACATAATGTCTGGCACGTAATGGGCACTCAATATTTGTTGGACGAATGTTTCTCTCATCCTGTACGGGGTCTCAAGGGTATTTGCATTTCACAGTATTCTGAATAGGTATTTAACAGCTGGCTACCTGTCAACCTATTTTTAAGATAAAATGACAGAAATCAATATTTCTTTTAAATCCTCAGAAATGAAATGATATAGCCAAGAAGCGGTGGGAACAGAAGTAGCGAGGACTGGCGTGTTGGGGCTTAACGCAGTGATCGTGCTCGGAGACGGAGGGCTGTGGCTGGCGGGGAGCGTGGGTTTAAACAGTCCTAGGAAGACGGGCCAGTTTTCACTGACGGCCGGACTTGGGCGCAGATGGGCAAGTTGCACAACTCTCAGGAGTACGTTTCTCATTGTTTTCCACCTATCCTCTCCTCCGTGGGTTTCAAAGCTGCTGCTGCTCGTCTTTCTGTCTCCATTCATTCTTTGGTTTTTTCTTTGTCCTTCTTGACGTGTCAAGAAACTTTGCTCTCACTCCTGTGGCATCCTGTATCGCTGAACGTGTTCGAGCTGAATACCCTCTGCAGTCTGATTCTTTTTTTCTGGTAGCTCCTTGTGCTGTTCTGAATTTCCACTTCCAGAAGGCAGTCTTGGTGAGGAAAGCCAAGGGGTCCTGTTCAAGTATCAGTATGGGATTTAGGTCACCAAAACAGCTTAGAGAATGAAAATATGGTTAGGAACAAGACGTGTGGGAAACTCTAAGCACTTTTAAGGAGCTCAGCATTGCATTGTTATAAGTGCCCCCCCAAATTGGCATAGACTCTTTCCTGAACCTGCTGATTCTCTTTCCTCAGTCTTCAGGGTGGGTCTCTGGCCTTGTCCTGCTACAGGATTTGTCATCACTTGGATGACCTAGGAACTCTCTGGTTCCAGACCTGAAACTGTGTGGAGTCTTACGCCACCTCCACCTACTATAGGTCTAGGCACAAATGTCAGTCCCCAAAGGCAGTGACCTTGTTTCTGATCCCTTTGCAACCTTCCTATATCTGATATATTGAGGAAACCACAGGAGGTATTGGCATTGGCAGGATTAGATTCCCATTTACCCATGAGTTATGGGTTGAATTTTGTCCTCTACCCCTTATTCCAAATTCATATGTTGAAGTTCCAACCTCCAGGACTTCAGAATGTGACCTTATTTAAGGATGGGGCCAATAAAGTTACAATGAGGTCATAGTGCGATATTGGGCCCCTAATCCAATATGACTGGTATCTTTATAAAAAGGGGAAATTTGGAAACACAGAGACATGCCCATAGGGAGAAAATCATGTGAGGGTTGGAGAGATGCTGCCACAAGCCAGGGAACCAGAAGCTAGGATAGAGGCCTGGGACAGAGAGGCCTGTG